ATTTCTAACTTTTGCTTGAAACCATTTTCCATAATGTTCTGCTTCCTATGTAAAATTGCATTTCAGGGATTTTGTGCCAAATCCTTCTCAGCCAGATGGCCATTCCAGGAGTTCATTCAGCAACAAGAACATCTTATTCATCATCCAGATACACTCCAAGTTACAATCGCAGACAAGGTACTTCTGTTTCCAAGCCATCTAGCAGTGTCAGCAGTTCAAATGAGAAGCAGAAGTAAGTTTAGCCTATTTTAGATTATGTATGCATGTTTATTGGAATATACATAATTTCTCACAAAATTTGCAGCAATCTGTTGAACCTGTTGGGGTTCAACAGATGGGAGAGCATGATTCACAGAGTCCTGTCCTATGACCAACTGGACTGTGTGCCCAGGATGATTTGTGAAGCAGTGGTGGACAGGAACACTTCCACACCTCTCTTCTCAAACCTGGCTTCCCAATTGCCCCAAGTATTTGGCTCTCAGCCAACAGCAGGACAACAGACTTTAATAGACCCTTTCAATGGCCTCACTACTGGAGCAGGACAAAGTCTGCCAGCAGCATCAGCAGGATTGCCAAATGCACAGGGCCAAACTAACATTCAACCCCAGACAGAAATTCCAAGCTCTCCCCAGGGTTTCCTGTCCACATTCTTGTCTCAAATTGGGATAGGAAACCCAACACAGGCACCAGTTTTCCAACAACCTGCTTTCCAGAATGCCAGGCCACAGCAGTACCCTCAGAGCGTGCAACAAGTGCCATCAGCATCCTCCAATGTGTACAATGTGCAACTGCCACCAGGGGGTGCTCTGGCATCACTCTTGCAATCACAGCAGAATAATGCTTTGTTGACTAACCAGCTGCAACAAGTTAATAATCTACAGCAACAGTACCTTGACAGTTTCCAAGGTTTCACCAGACCACAAAGTTCAGGAACTGTGTCATTCAGGGACTTGAAGAAACGTGCAGTCATCAATGAAAATGATCTGCTCAATTTGTTCTTGGAAGGTGTGGGAAATGAGGTCAGAAGGAGCAAGAGACAAATTGCCATCCAAACTGGCTCCATGGAACAGCTATTCAAGTAACAACCAGTTTTTACTTATTTGGTTCTTTTCACTTCAATGTACACATTATTATCTTACAAGTCTGTATAATAGTTGTCAGACTCACATCAGAGCTGCCTCAAATAAAAAAATTGAAATTTATTCACAATTTTCCCATTCAAATTTTACCATAATTTTTTCTCACAAATCCATAATCTCATATTAGATTGATGCGTTCACATCAACTTTAATTTCCAACATGTTCACAATAAAACATTATGAATGTGCAGCATTCTAAATTTTCCCATACAGTAATGAGTTCAAAACTTTCCTTTACATGCTATGTACTGTACTTTAATCACGATTTTTCCACAAATATGCACTCCACAATAATAGTTGCCCATTTATATGTCTTTTTTTAATTTTTCAAAAGGGTTATACTGTAGTTTTATATGAATGCAGAGGTTTATATTTAGATAATACCTGCTGTACAGTAACAATATTAATAATACAGAAACCTTTCATATTAAGATGTAAATGTTTCATCATTTCAATATACTGTAAAAAATTTATTTTATCTTTTATAATGAACAAATTTTCAAATTGGGTCATATATACCGCACATATGTGCAACCATATTTAAACATATGCACTTGTTCTATTCTGCAGAAAATTCAACTAAGTCAGATTAGCCAAGATTCAATTTGGGAATTGGTATTACAGCAATTATATCAAGCAATACCTGTTTAACATTGCAGACAGAAAAATCATGCATCAAAGTGAAAAGAACCTTTTGTTTTATTCCCATCAAATTCAGAACTGAAAAAATATTTTTGCTCCTGAATTGAAGTGTTTTCAGAAGAATTGTTGGAGAAGAAACAACTAGCTTCAAACTTGCTGATGCAGCTTACCAAGGCACCAAGATGGAGAGGAGCAAGGAGTGTAGGGAGCACTACAAAGAGTGCCCCACAGATGCTCTTGGGTGGATTGAAGCCATGGCCAAGCTCCCACTGCCTTCCATAAATTTTGGCTAACAAATCACCAACACTTCCTTCAAGTCCAGCTTTGTGAAATACCATCAACCCAGATCTCCTCAGTCAACAATGTTCTATGCAGCTTGCCATCCTGTTCAGATTTACCCAGTGTAAAAAAAAAAAAGAAGTTACCATTTGTTGTGAGATGCATTGTGAACTGATGATAAACCTATTATAGTTAATTAAAACCAAGAGAGAGTCATTGAATCCTCACAAACAGGTCATACCCACTCAAGAGCTTGACCCACAAAAATAACTGTCTATGAGGCAACAATTTTCTGGGACACTCCAAATTGGGAAAACCCCCAAATATCATTAATCCACTTGAGCCAAGGATACCTCAAACATCAGGTCATTGACTAGTGTATTTCCACATCAAAGGTCAAAAGGTAAAGAAAAATATGCCCAGGCAAGTAAACAAAAAAGGATTCAAGCAAGGCTTAAGATCGTAAGAGGTCAGAAAAATCACGATTAAATGATTATAGCTAGCCATTGTGTGCTTACCCACATCAATAACTCGGAACACTCCATAAACATTTAAAGCTTGAAGAAAAATGTAATTGGTGCGAGTATTTATCCCGATGGCGTGGTTAGTCCAGGAACAAGTATCAGTGGCCCAGTCAGCATCTGAAAAAAACTCAAATAATTTAGAAACACAATTTCTCACATTATTTTAACATCATCACAGTATTTTTATTCCTTTTATTCTTTATTTCTCTTCTTCATGTTTTTCTCTTAATTTTTTCTTTTCTATCTCCTACTATTTTAAATGTAATTTTTATTTCTCTAATGTCTGTTGTTTTTCTCTTATTTCTTGATTTTTCTACTTTTCAGTTGTTTAAAATTACTGTGCTTATTTTTTGGTCGTGGGAGCGTTCCATTACCACCGACTTGGGTTCAACTTACTTCCGACCCGCAGGGTTGGAAGTTGTGGAGAAAAGCAGCAGGTACTTGATATATGATCCAATACAGTGGCCAACAACTGGCATTAATTCAAAGGAGTCGATTTTTCTCCTACTGGGGCTCAACAGAGACGGTCTTTCATTCAGGGACTTTATTATTAGTGATTATTTGAAGCAGCTAGAGTTTAAATAAAAAGGAAATGAATTTTGTATAAGTGGGTTCTAATTCAGTCATTTTTTGTATTGGTATTCTTGTGCAGTTGGGACTTGCTATAGGTCAAAAACTTCCCAGTCAAATTTGTTTTTGTATCGTTACTGCCTCAATGCCCTCAAGAAAAATGTGATATATAGACTTCCCTGAATCAGACTTTTCACTCAAACCCCCCACAACAAAAATTCCCAGATGCCTTTGGGCTGTTAATCTGGGGACCCCAGACACTAAAACTCAAAATTCCACAATATTCCAGATGGCAAACATCAGTTATCCTGGGGAGGGGTCAGGAATACCAGAGTATGGCAACACAGTGGACCTTTCATGTACTCAAAGGAGGGTTTGAAGGCAAACATTCTTCTCTGGGGCTTTTCTTCAACTTCCCTAAATGCTTTTATCAGGGAAATGCCAAAGTCTTATGCATACATGACCTCAGTCCAAGTGGCAAAGTGATGAAAGGATACAACATTATTGGAATTGGAGCAAAAAGTAACATGGTTACCATGCTAACAGGTTCATATTTCAACATTTTTCAAAATGACTAAACCATTATATAACAATAACAGATGAGATGATCTCAAACAGATCAAATGAATAACGCAGTATTGAAAAAAAGCACAAATAAGTCAGGAGAACAAATTTCGGAAGGAAAATTTTCTCTTCAGATTATATGGCAAACCTTTCTTCCTGAAATATCAGGTAGATGTCGCCTGAATCGCTACCTTGGTCAAAAGATAACCAACCAACCTTCACAGCAAAAAATGAGCCTACATATCAACATATTATGCATACTTTATAGATATGAATGCACCTAAAACATGCTCCAACAATAATAATTTACTCTTGAAGAAAGAAGAAGTTTAATGAGAGAACATCTTCCATGGTTATCAAAGGTTAGTCAAAATGAAACAATTCAAGAACATGTTAGACTTGGAAGAAAGTTCAGGCGACATCTGTGTAACAGTGAAACAACCCATACGAATTAGGGAAATGGTGCTAGTGAGGAAAACTTCCTAAAATGCTCTGTAGAATTGTGCAGCAAACAATTCTTTGTTCCACTTCAATTCTTCAAAACAAAGTTATCACTTCAACAGGCCAAAAAATATCGCAATGGCCAAGCACAGAATTGGCTGACCCAGTGGGGCTCCATATTGCTGATGACGCATACCCATTACTAGGGGATGAGTTTAGGCGATATGGATACGTAACAGCTTTCCAAGAGGAACAATCCACTACAACGGGAGTTTTCAACCACCTGGTCAGGTGTTTCCCGTATACAGACCTACTGATTTTCGTAAAAATCAATTTTGTATTCGGTTTATCAACAAACACGTTTCCGTCATGAATGACAAATCTGAACCGCATTTGAAAAAATTAGTTCTTATTGCATCACAATATTTTGTGCTCAATGTCAAATATAATTGTTCAAACACTCTACAATTTTACCAAATCATCAGAAGAATTATCACATACACATTGGATTCTCACGGAGGACAGTTTCGGGAGTGAACATTTACCTCAATACAATCTGAGGTGAAGGCAACTTCAAACGACAGAGTCGTCAAATATTTAACTTCGTAAAAACATGCATACATCCAGGTTTCATGAGATATGTTAAAGATGCACGTAACGGTGTAAAAAAGGACTGAACCAAAATGAAATCGTCAAAACGGAACCTGCTAAAAGGTTCCTCAACCAAAGATATGAACAATCTCAAGTTGACCTCGACGGGAAGTCGAACTCAAAAACATCACGAGAAGGCTAACCGTCACATCGACGGAGGTCACTGCTGCTCAAAATCTACGACCAGTACCTCGGGATCCTGAGGGATATTCAAGATCCCCGTCTTGGGTGGGTTCGGCCTGATGCCCTGGCTCTCCATGTAACCCAGGAACTGGGCAGGGATCTCGGCCAAAACGTCTTGCGACAACAATGCCATTTCTGCGCTCCGCTTCTCCATCGGCAATCCTGCGATCGGCGGCAAGACCTTCGGGTTCTTCAGAGAAGAATTGAAGAAATTCTGAATGAAAAAATCTAATCTCATTGTTTCCATACAGCGCATGCCTTGTGCACAGTATTTCACAATGACTTTCATTTTGAAGACTAATTCATTAATTTTTCATAATACGCCAAAATCGAATAGATGTTTCGAAGTTTCAGACAATGCCAAAATAATTTCACACATAATAAAAGAGAGTTAATCCCAGCAGTGCTATTAAAGTTTCAAAATAATTTACTTACTAAAGATTAAAATACCTGTAATATACTCCATCTAAATTTTTTTTTTACTGTACTCCGATGATGGGTGCAGTAAAATTGAAAAATACTCTTCGTCCGACGTTTACTTGAACGGATACAATATTGATAGTGATCCATTGAATTTCTGAATTAAAAAAAATAAACCCTCCTTTTCTTTCCCCGACATGAGCGAATAAAATTTTCAAACTTTTCACCCTTTTAAGCAGCTTCTTCCCCGTAATTTGTCGCCACTTTATTCATAACTTTTTCAATACAAAACCATTACAATTTCTATGAACATTGACATGAAATTTTAGATCGTCCAATTACAGCTTAATTCATTGTTCAAAATTTATTGGATTCATCCCACAAAAAATTACAACATACAGGCCTACAGAATATACACAGTAACTTGATTTTTCAATTTTTGGGCTAGCTCCATTTCGTTTCATCATGGAAAGAAACAAAGTAAAATCTCGTTACAACGAAGCCATTATTGGGACCAGGAACGATAAATTCGAATAACTTGGGCAGGGTCGTGAAGAGCTAATTCGCTGTTAGCAATACTTAGCTATAAAGATATTTTTTAAATTCTAGTACATCATAGAGGTCAAGTACAGTAATTGAAAAAGGAACAAATAAACGCATAGAACGCGGTTCAAGTTCAAAAAATGCGATATTAGAAGACGAACCAGAAATTTCCGCATCGGTACAAATTGCACAATGTCCCGAACGGCATAGCGGCCTCTTGAAGATACACGGACGTCGTCGCCGTCAAGCTCCTCCATTGCGTCGAAATTCGCATTTCCCACACCCACGATAATAATGGACATTGGTAACGATGACGCCTCAACGATTGCCTGGAACCAGTCATCCACCGACATTCAACAGTTGGAAAAAATGTATTTAAAACTATGAGAAGATTTTTTAAAATCAAAAACCTCTTTCGTTTGCGGCATGTCAGTGATGGCGCCGTCGGTGATGATCAATAAAATAAAATAACCCGCGCCTCTTTCGTGTCTCCGAGCGAAACTGGCGACGTGTTGGATTACTGGAGCAAAATTTGTGGGTCCATACAGCTGCACTGAAGCGATGCATTGTTTGTACGCTTGTAATACACCTGTGAGCAAGATCATCTCCGATTCACACTTCTGCATACATTTTCAGTGAAACGAAACGTATTTTAAAAATGGACACATTACGAAATCAATAAGGACATAATTCAGAAAACAAAGGAACTTCAAGTGTAACTTCAACTGAGCCTTGATTTCTGAAATTCGGGGCAGATTTCGCTTCAATTCTGAATTTGACCGAAACAGCTGTAACTAAACCTGACAAATCATATCACAGTATTTAACAATTTATCCTAAAACAAGTATAAGTTTCGAATTTATCATTTTTAAAAATGTTCCGTGTTTGGAATTTCTCCTAGCTGAAGGTTCATATCAAGAAGCGGTTTTTTTTTTCCAGTTACCAACTTTTTCTTCAGAAGGTTTTTTTCTTACGTCATAGCCTGACCTTGCTTTCAATAAGGCTTGGCAGGTGTCGCCTGAATCACCAAACGAACAGAATCGTAAACGATCCTAGCTTTTGATTCAAGTAGGTAGGAAATAGAAAGAAGATACTTTTCCATCTCATAATAGAACAAGACGAGAAAATGATCGAATAAACTTACCAGCGATGTCCTGACAATGAGGGTCGGCTTGAAAGTTCACGTAAAATTCGTGCGAAATCCGACCATCCGGCGGTAATCTGGCGCCGAAACCAAGAACAGGAAACAGCTTGTCTGTGTCATAGTCTCGAATTATATCACCAACGGCAGAAATGGCAACTTCGTACTGATTCAGGCGTCCAAGCATAATACTGTGCAACGAGGAAACTTCCTTGGGATCACCATTAGACGCTGAAACGTAAGATTACGCAGGTTAACTCAGGAAAATATAAATGCGAGTCCATTAAAAGTTTCACCGTAATTTCACCCAAAAACACGCAGAACATCAATGCACCTTTTTTCTAAGATATACACACCAGTGAAGTCAATGGCGAAGGTACAAAACAATTCCGTCCCACCGCGGATGAAATCCAAAAATGAAGGTCTTTCAATCAATTTCGAATCTGCCAAGAAAACTTGTCCTGAATTCTTGCACTCTTTCTTTCTCTTTCTGGTTTCTTCGTTCATCAGTTCGTAAGTATTCCTCATCCCAGGTCCTTCCAAGAGTTGTTTCGCCGTCGTGTAAAATCCGCCCAACAAAACATGGGATCCCGACGAATGCCAGTCGTAACAAAGGATTTTCAAGTTTCTGCAGATTGAAAAAGCGTCGAATGAACAATAAAATTCGAATTAATCCAAAGATATCTAATGAACCGCACCATAAGAAAGTTAAAATTAATTTTGAAACTTCAAGAATTGAGTTCTTGAACAGAATAACCTTCACGAAGCATATTCGAAGAGCAGTATAGTACAAATTTTAAAAACGATACTATCGAATTTCTAACTCCGCATCACCGAGAATTAAGATGTGGAGCACCTATTTTTTTTTTTAATTGATCAAAACTCGAACAACACTTCAGATTCAAAAATAATATGCTTGAGACAATTTCAGGAAATTTTCCACAAAAAAAAAACGAAGAGCTTTTCACAATAAAATCTACCTGTCAAAGTCAGCATTGCACAAAGTCGTCGCTCTCAGGGTAAACTTCTTCCAAAATGGGTACGCGGAATTTTTCACCACGTCACCCCGATGAACCAACACGAACTGACCGCCTTCCGTTGATTTGTACACCTCTAGAAAACCATTCGGTCCAGAAAACCATCGACTGTTTACTTCTTCCAAAATGGGTTCGCGGAATTTTTCACCACGTCACCCCGATGAACCAACACGAACTGACCGCCTTCCGTTGATTTGTACACCTCTAGAAAACCATTCGGTCCAGAAAACCATCGACTGTTTTCCAATTTTTGCCCGCGGAATGTCAGTTCAATAGTTTGTTTCGAACTCTGCAGCTCCTCCACAACGAGCTCGATAGAACCGAGGCTCGCACTAGAAGCAGTGCTTAGATCTCCTTGTCCCCTCTTGGAACATAAATTCAGGGACAATTGACCAGCGGACACCAATTGGCCCAGGTGGCATTCCGCGGCACCCAGGAAATCGTGGGCTGATAAATCTCTTGTATTGGCATCCAGGTCGTAAACCTGCAAAATAAACCGAAAAAGATCACCAAAATCATCGGCATTCATTTGATAATTTTGCACAGTGGGCGGCTTTATTGTTTCTCCAATTAGTTCAGCTTTTCATCAATTACAGTTTTTAAAGGTTTCCTACTCATGAAAGCAATGAAAATTTCCAGTTTATCCTCTGAAAAATTAATCTCATTATCCAAATTAATTCAGCTCGGCCGTGACACATTATTCCGAACAGTACAGTATTAAAATAAATATATGTACTGTATACATATACTGTATATAAGAGGTCAAGATAAATTCAGCTCGCTATAGCAGCATTTACTTATTTACGGTAATGTACCAAGAATTCCTCATAATCACACACTGCAAAAAATAAAGTAAATTTCAAGGGACGTCAGAAAAAATTCGCTGAACTGGAAAATTTTTTATAACAAGATTTGAAAATTAATGACTTGAAAACAATTTTCAAACTATAGAACTGTATACATACAGCAGTATCTCACTCTTCTCTGATTTTCCGATTCCTCACTATTGTTTGAAACATGCCCCTCAAAAAAGTTTGTTGCATAATACTGAAATTGAAAATTTTGTTCCAAAGAGATTATTTCAACCGGTACCCTATGGGAGTATATAGGCTTTCTGTCTGGACTAAAAATTGTTGAACTAAAAAATTTTAAATTTTAAACGATATTTGTCCTACATGTAACAAGATTTGACTTTACAAACAACATTCCATCAATGAGCCCACAACCAGAATCTAAAAAAAATTGCTGGTGTAAAACATTCTTCTGTGTATCAACAAACTACGGGAGACATGAGTTGATTTTTTTTAGCCGTACAGAGAAAACCCGTTCACAGTAAACTGGCATTCGTCATAAAAAAAACACAAGTACAATAATGTATTGTTGAAGCATAAACGTCCAACAACAAAAGATTGATATAACAAAACAAAATGTTTTTTTATGAAATTCCAGGAAACAAGAACACGAGGCCTTGAAACCTGCGCGGGTGTTCCCCGATTCCTTCTGAAGATCTCGATTACCAGAACTGGTGGCGATTTCCCATCTTACAGCATATAGGAATACACAGGTTCATATACAGTAGCAACATACAGGTCCTGCTTTCGCATGAAAAAACCATGGTGAAAATATCCCGCGCAATAACATTTTAAATTTCACCATGCATTTCCAAAAATAGCAGTTCAACTTCGCAGTTCAAAATCTTGAAGTGTAGCACAGTGAATTTAATCGCGGAATATTCAAGGAGTACGTACCTAATAAATAAAACCCAGCTTGATTCGTCAAGTTACAACGTTGAAGACGCAGCGTCCCAATGATAGTGAGATCTATAACTGCGATGAGAAGTTTTATAATCGTAATGAGATTTTAATCAATCTCATAAGGATATATAAGGATTATAACGAGAAGTCTCATAATTATAAAGAGAAATATAATGATATTCCCTCGACTTTCAAGCTCATTTTGTTCTTTCGAGAAATTAACATTCCATTAGGTCTGAAACTTGGTAAGCAAGAAGTATATTCCTTACTCACCTCAAAGCGGAGTTTTTGTTGCGCCTCGAATCTGTAGTTCATCACCAATTTTCTCACGAACTGTGGATTGAGGTTGTCTCTGATAACTTCCGTTCGGTGACATTCTCTCCAATTGTACACTCCTGGTTCTGATTCGTAAGTCACGATAAACGGATCGGATTTCGAAAAGTATTCCTTGTTGGCTAAATTCCTGTCAAAACAAAGAAAAATCATCAATGAAGGACTCCTAACACGAATATTTGAGCGTTGGTGTTGAAAACAAATGAAACTCACTTGGCACTGAGGGTAATTTCGACCCTTGACGTGGGCTCCACAGCAACTCCGGGAACAAACGGTTGTTGCATGATGCTCTTTCTTTTTAGATCTTCACTCACACGGCATATTACGAAACCCGCAAGTGAACATCAAATAACATAGCAAAATCCGGAAGTTATAACCATGTACAGATGCCTACGGACAGAGGTCCAACACAGCACGCGATACAATTTAACTGGATGGTAATTCACTCCTGGAATCATGCCCCAGGATGCACGCACCTATTATGTGAAGCTCCGGCGCAGGCGGGAAAAAGAACGAAGTTCGGTTTCATCCCAAGAGCTGGTGCAACTTTGTCACAATTTTCAAAAATGTTAATTTACAAATATGAAAGTAACAATACCCATTATCAATAAAGCTTGGATCCAGAATTGACTCATCATATACTCCTTCGAAATAATTCAACTAGGTTTTTGAATACAGAAAATGGCTTTGACTCATTCACGAATCATCATCACCCATGATGATGATGCTGACTTCAATTGTTATCTGATTACAACTTATATCAGGGTTAATTAGTAAAATGATACTCTCAGAAGTTTTTCACCATCTTGCAATTTACACGCGATCATTCTATATATCTAAAAAAAATTATATCTTCATCACCCCGCGAGTTTTGTAAGTCCACTTCTGTTTTTAATTTTCTGCGCCGACTTCAACGACATTTTCTATGTCATGAATGAATTAATGAAGAATACCAAAATTACTCTTGCAATCACAGCAGAATAATGCTTCGTTGGCAAACCAGCTGCAACAAGTTAATAATCTCAACAACAGCAGTATCCTGACAGCTTTCAAGGTTTCACCAGGCCACGAAGTTCAGGAACTGTGTCATTCAGGGACTTGAAGAAACGTCGTCCAGTCATCAATGAAAATGACCAGCTCAATTTGTTCCTCTGAAGGTGTGGGAAATGAGGTCAGAAGGAGCAAGATACAAATTGCCATCCAAACTGGCTCCATGGAACATCTATTCAAGTAACAACCCGTTTTTACTTACTTGGTTCTTTTCATTTCAATGTCCAACCTATTCTCTGGCAAGTCTGTATAGTTGTCAGACTCACATCAGAGCTGCCTCAAAGAAAAAAAGAGATTGAAACTTATTCAATAGTTTCCCATTAACATTTAGCCATAATTTTTTTTCTCACAAACCCATCATCTCCCACTATATTGAGGTGTTAACATCAACTTCAATTTCCAATATGCTCATAATATAACCTTATAAATGAGCAGTATTCTGAATTTGCCCATACAGCAATGAGTTCAAAATTTTCCTTTACATGCTTAATTTAATCACAATTTTTCCGCAAACATGTATATACTCCATTATAATAAATTGCCCATGGATATGCATTTTTGCAAAAGGAATAGTTTTACAATATGAATATGGCAGTTTATATTTACATGATACCTGCTGTATTGTAACAAACAACAATAATATAGAAATCTTTCATATTAAGATGGAAATATTTCATCATTTCAATGTACTGTACAAATTTTATCTGAATTTCAAAATATACATTTTTCACATATTCAATTGTGAAAATTTGTCATGGAGTTTAAATTTTCAATATAATCAATGCATTAAAAATTTTCCCTTTTAAGATTAATTTGGGCACAGTTGGCTCAATGATTATTCCTTTTTTGTTGCTATAATAAACAAATTTTCAAATTGGTGTCATACTGCACATACATATGTAACCAGTATTAGTTAAACATATGCACTTGTTCTATTCTGCAGAAAATTCAACTCCATCAGATTAGCCCAGATTCAATTTGGGAATTGGTATTACTGTAATAGCAATTACAGTCCAACCTCAATAAGTCAAAAACCCTCCTAAGAAAAAATGTTCCCCAGTCCCATGCCTTCCAATCCTGTAGAAAATAATGTTTAAAAAACCTCCCTAACTCAAAATAGTACAATGGAAAACTTCTCTGAGTTGAATTTTTTTAACGCAAGGAGCCACTGGAAATTTCTTTTTTGCAGGCATTTTTGGGGGAAGAGATCTGCTTCAATTTGAAGCAGCATCCTCCCCCATTTATTGAACAAAGAGAAACTGTTTCCAGTGCCCTGGCATCAGTTCAGTTCACTGCATCAATCACTCACTGAAAAATAAGGACAGCTTTTAAAAACCATTAAAAAAAGAAAACATGCTATTTTCTACTTGAAGTACACAGCACCCCGAGGATGTAGATTTTTAGTCTTGAAAAAGACACACCAGAGCAGCAATCTGTGTTTTGTGGCTCTCTAACTCAGTGTTAATTGATTCTATTGGAATTTTAATTCTGCTTCAAAAAACATTTTGTCTTAATTTTCCCCCCTCAACCTTTTTCTTTTGTCAGAATAAGTGAAAGTGGTCTACTGCCTTACAATAAATTGTAAGCAAAAGGCATAAGCTGAAAACAATGTCAATCAATTAAAAAATAACCATTGTGAGAGCTGTGGAAAAAGGCTCCATGCAAAAAGTGGACAACAAATTTTCAAGAGCAGGAATTATTATTTTTTACATGCAGGGACTGCAGAACTAACACCTGAGGTAAAGCAGCAGCTGGAGGAAGTGGATATGAAGTGAGAGTGATTCTGACAAAATTTATAAATATAAAGAACACTTGAATAAATTGTGGAAAACTTGACTGAAGGAACATTGATTTTGTTTAATGATGAGCCTATGATACAATTCTACTGAGAAAAAAGTACACATAGAATACAAATAAGAGTATGTTTGCTAAGAAAATTGGAGCACAAATATTCACTGCCTGACTTCAACCAATCTTCCAAAACACCTTTTCCACCAACAATATACAAGAACAATGATAATAAATTGAAAATATCTGCACTTTTTATCCTGCAATTCATGTTTCTGGAATTCCATCATGGCTTCAAGGGTTTGCCTACTGCTGCATGGGAGAAAGGGAAATAAATAAATTCCCTTCTCCTTCACAACATGAAATAACCCCTTCCTTCCTGTGCATCTTCCAAATATATTACAACTTATATAGGGGATCTATATATGCTGCCCTTTCCAAGAGTGGTAACCACATTTCCCCCCCAATATTTCATTCCAAATTTTTTTTCTTCAGTCATGTCCCAAAACCTCCCGAAGTCAAATTTTTTTCCTGGTCCCTTGAATTTGACTTGAGAGAGGTTCAACTGTATATGAAGCAATACCTGTTTAACATTGCAGAAAGAAAAATCATGCATCAAAGTGAAAAGACCTTTTGTTTTATTCCCATCAAATTCAGAACTGAAAAGAATATTTTTGCTCCTGAATTGTAGTTTTTTCAGAAGAATTGTTGGAGAAGGAACAACCAGCTTCAAACTTGCTGATGCAGCTTACCAGGGCACCAAGATGGAGAGGAGCAAGGAGTGCAGGGAGCACTACAAAGAGTGCCCCACAGGGCCACAGATGCTCTTGGGTGGATTGAAGCCATAGACAAGCTCCCACTGCCTTCCATAAATTTTGACTGACTAATCACCACCACTTCCTTCAAGTCCAGCTTTGTGAAATACCATCAACCCAGATCTCCTCAGTCAACAAAGTTCTATGCAGCATGCAATCCTGTTCAGATTTACCCAGCGTAAAAAAAAAAGAAGGTACCATTTGTTGTGAGATGCATTGTGAACTGATGATAAGTCTATTACAGTATAGTTAATCAAAACCAAGAGAGAGTCATTGAATCCTCAGGAACAGGTCATACCCACTCAAGAGCTTGACCCACAAAAATAACTGTCAATGAGGCAACAATTTTCTGGAACACTCCAAATTTCGAACACCCCCCAAATATCATTAATCCACTTAAGCCAAGGATACCTCAAACATCAGGTCATTGACTAGTGTATTTCCACATCAAAAGGTCAAAAGGTAAAGAAAAATATGCCCAGGCAAGTAAACAAAAAAGGATTCAAGCAAGGCTTAAGATTGTAAAAGGTTGGCAAAATCACAATTAAATGAGCATAACTTGCATTTTTGTGCTTACCCCCATCAATAACTTGGAACACTCCATAAACATTTAAAGCTTGAAGAAAAATGTAATTGATGCGAGTATTTATCCCGATGGCATGGTTTTTAGTCCAGGAACAAGTATCAGTGGTCCAGTCAGCATCTGAAAAAAACTCAAATAATTTAGAAACATAATATCTCACATTATTTTATCATCATCACAGTATTTTTAGTCCTTTTATTCTTCATTTCTCTTCTTTGTTTTTCTCTTATTTTGTCCTTTTTATTTCTTTTATATCCCTAACTATTTTAAATGTATTTCTTATCTCTAATTTTTGTTGTTTTTCTCTTATTTCTTGATTTTTCTACTTTTTGATTTTTTCAATTTCTGTGCTTAATTTTGTAATTCCTTGTCATTTATCTTCATTTTCCTCTCCATTTTATTCCTCATATTTTATTTCATTTTATTTCCCATATTAATTTTATTTCTGTGATTTATTGTATTTTTCTTTGTTTCATTTCTCATATTTCTTGCGTTAATTCATACCATGAAAAGTGCACATCACAAAAGAGAAAAAAAATGAGATCCACCTCTTTTCTGAGATATCCACAGTTCAAGGCATGCATTCAAGCAGGGAAAAATAGCACCAGTCCTCATCGCTGAGTATCATCAGTTTAGTATTATGGGAAAAGAAAAAAGGAAAACCATTGACAATGTCACAATGGGGAGAGGGGGGGGGGGGGCTGGTCGTGGGAGCGTCAACAGTTTCCTGATTGGACAAAAAAAAATGGCAGAGACGTCAACACTTCGATTTTATACCACAGAAGCGTTTTCATCAGTCAGTGCCGGTGTCACGATGGGGAAGATACAGGAGTCAAAATACCGACAAGCGTCAAACTTTTTCCGTCATTTTTTTGTGTTGAAAGCAAGGCAATCAAAAATGGAGAAGGTCTTATTTGTCTTACTGATTCTCACCGTTTGTGCCATTTTCTACTCAATTACCACCGACTTGGGTTCAACTTACTTCCGACCCACAGGGATGGAAGTCATGGAGGAAAGCAGGTACTGTACTTAATATGATCCATCAATAGAGTGGCCACCTACTGGCATTAATTCAAAGGAGTCGATTTTTCTCCTCCTGGTGCTTAATAGAGACGGTCTTTCATTTCGAGACTTGAGTGATTACTTGAAACAGTACAGTTTAAATACAGTTGAAATAAAAAAGGGAATTAATTTTGCATTCAAAGTGAGTTCCAAGTCAGTAATTTTTTTGCTTTCGGATTCTTGTGCAGTCGGGACTTAGCTATAGGTCAAAAACTTACCAGCGATTTTTTTTGTCTATTCACTGTCCTAATGCCCTCAAGAAAAATGAGATATAGACTTCCCTGAATCAAATTTTTCGAACCCCCACAACGAAAATTCCCAGATGCATTTGGGCTATTAATCTGGGGACCAAGAAAGGAGAATATCCATGAAAATGTAACTAATGCTTCTATAAAAAAAAAAAAACGTGGTGGACCAGCTGCAATTTGGCTGAATCTCCTCTGACATCTGGCCCTCAATAGAGACCAACGTCAGTTAGATATTAAGCATTTATTGGCAGAGACATACTTCCAATTTTTCAAGATGTAGTTCCAACTTTGCACTTTGTACAACAAGGAAGCGTCTCTCCGCAGACAGATGTCGCTTCAATTTATCTGCACATCTCATTTGTGTCAATTCCCCAGAAAGAAAGAATAAACATTGAGAGCAGCAACAAAAATCTCGTTTCATCATCCACGCTTTTCTGTTCATCGTTTTCCTTCAACAGTCCAGCAGAAGACATAATTATAAATATGCCTGATTTCAATTCTACAAAATGTTGCAAAAAACTTTAGCTCCCTTCCCGAGAATGTCAAAAATTCAAATGCTGCTTCTTGATTCTTTAAAATACAGGACAGAAGAACTTCAAGGAACCGCACAAAACAGAACAGAGGCAAAAGAGGAAGACCAAAAGCCAAAAGAAGCCCAACCAGATCCAAATCAGCCACAGGACAGAGAAGATACCTCAGCAGAAGAGGAACCAGAACCTGACAATACCCCAATTGCCTGCAAAAATTTCAATCCAGACCTAGAAGACACACAAGAAATCCAGTACTTGACTATAGGGGACAGGAGGCCCAGGAAGCATCAGCAGTGCAACCAGGAACCCTGGGTTTACTTCAAAGATGATAAGATTTACATTGATCAAGAGAAGTATGGTCCCATGACTTGTACTTTTGAGGGTGAGGACAATTCATCAATTCTCAAATGCATCACTGTACTCTAGAAATTGAATTCCTCCCAACAGAGGTTTTATTCATTGATGACACAAGGAATGCGCCATGGCAGGAGTTCAGATCTGACACTTCCTACACTCTCCAGCATTCTGATTTTGTATCTGTCTACTGTGAACACAGGAAAACATATAAGAAGTAAGAAAAGAAAAATCCAATGAATTCCAGAAGACAAACTAAAACTTTTCAAAAATCCACAATATTCCAGATGGCAAACAGTTATCATGGGAGGGGTCAAGAATGCTAGAGTATGGCAACACAGTGGACCTTTCATGTACTCAAAGGAGGGCTTGAAGGCAAACATTCTTCTCTGGGGCTTTTCTTCAACTTCCCTAAATGCTTTCATCAGGGAAATGCCAAAGTCTTATGCATACATGACCTCAGTCCTAAATGGCACAGTGATGAAAGGATACAACATTATTGGAAGTGGAGCAAAAAGTAACATGGTTGCCATGCTAACAGGTTCGTATTTTAACATTTTTCAAAATGACTAAACCACGATATAACAATAACATATGAGATGATTTCAAACAGATCAAATGATCAATAACGCAGTATTAAAAAAAAGCACAAGTAAGTGAGGAGAACAAAGTTTGGAAGGAAACTTTGGTCTCTTCAACTTAAATGCCAAACCTTTCTTCCTGAAATGGCAGCCAGATGTCGCCTGAATTGCAACCTTAGCCTACATATTAACATATGCATACTTTAGATATGAATACATCTCAAGAAACATGCTCCAACAACAATAATTTACTCTTGAAGAAAGAAGAAGTTTAATGTGAGAACATCTTCCATGGTTATCAAAGGTTAGTCAGAATGAAAAAATCCAAGAACATGTTAGACTTGGAAGAAAGTTCAGGCGACATCCATGTAACACTGAAACAACCCATATGAATTAGGGAAATGGATCTAGTGAGAAAAACTTCCTAAAATGCTCTGTAGAATTGTGCAGCAAACAATTCTTTGTTCCACTTCAATTCTTCAAAACAAAGTATCACTTCAACAGGCCAAAAAATATCGCAATGGCCAAGCACAGAATTGGCGGACCCAGTGGGGCTCTTTGCTGATGACGCATACCCATTACTCTGGGATGAGTTTAGGCGATATGGATACGTAACAGCTTTCCAGGAGGAACAATCCACCACAACGGGAGTTTTCAACCACCTGGGCAGGGGTTTCCGGTACAGACCTACTGATCATTATGCAAGGCCATTCCACATTCAGAGAGACGCACTTGGAATTCACCAAACTGGATGCTACATGAACATCACTTCCAACATGGTGACATAAAAAAATTTAGTATTTTACCAGAATTGCCAATTTTAAATACAAGATTGAGGTACTGTTTATCTGAATATTGCATATAAAAAACAGTGCTTTTTACTAGAGATAACTTGAAAAGTTTGCTTATTCAGACAAAACAGGCAATATTACAGAGTAAAATTCAACTCACAATCTCTGACTAACTTAAATTCATCCAAGTCTCTTTTTCAAGTACTGTATCTGAACAACAGGAATACTTTACAATTCTGCTCATACATCCCTTACAAAATTTTGAATTGAGATTGAAACATTGTCAATGACAGTATTTTAACCTTTTGAAGAGCATTATTCCTTATTCAAGTCAAGAGGAAAGATATGAATATTACCGGCACACAAACCAGTTAAGATTCAGTAAAAAAAAACACACAAACTATAACATAATGTAACTCACAAGCTTCAACAAATTTAAGCATAATGACCTTGTATGCTGCAATGGGTTTGAATACCTAAAATTCCAAGTATTCAAAATTACTATTTTTTCTCATATCGCAAGAATTCTTTTTAGTAAATTTACAAAGAGCACAAAATATAGATTAGGTATGTTTTTTTAGCATATATGAGATGCTCTACTCAGCTTAAGTTTACCAATTGAATACGATACTCTAATTTCTTTCTTCATTCATTTGACATTCAGAAACTGCATTTTTTTTTCAATTGTTGTGTGCATTAAGAGATGCATACGTAATTCATAATTCAACAGTAGTATTCTCAAGTAAGTTACACTTTATAGTCACTGTAAACCAAGATAATCCTGAAAATTTGAGTACTGTACCAAAAAAAAACTTGGATCCACTGTCAAGAAAAAAAGAGGACGAAATTCTCAATGCTTACACTGTACTTTAAAAATATAACTCAAATCCTGTCGAATCCTAACTCACAACACTGCCTCAATTGGGAACCCAAATACGGAATCAAAACACATTCTCGTTTCTGTTCAGATGGTACAGAAGTACATCAAGAAAATATGGAGCGCCTACGCCGACAGGCTCAAGTTCTTCGTCAACTTGCAAAAAGAGTATTCCCAGAATGATGAATCCAAGCTAGGCATGATTGACGGAGAATTCCGCGCATTTCTCAAATGGCTTCAAGATTCAGAAACTTTGGAAAACACCATTTTGATCATATTTGGAGACTACGGGAAGAAAGCCGGGTCAAAAAGTAACACACATCAAGGAAGAAACGAGGAAAGAAGACCTCTGATGTGAGTAAAAATGAAATAAAAATACATTCTAGGTGACGTGAAATACCCAGTAATGTGGGTACATGTCAGAATCAGAGATGAATCAATATTTTTAAATTGTAGAGATGAATCAATATTTTCCTCCTCAAGGTACATAAAATTACCGCAGTGGTTCCGGGAGTCCAATCCAGTCATCGTGAGGAACCTCGAGAAAAACTCGGAACTCCTCACGACCCCGCTGGACATCGCAAAAACCCTCAAAGACATCCTCGTACTCAAAAAAATCAACTTCGCGAAAAGGCAAAGTAGGAAGAAACAGGCCCTCAACCTTTTCCGCCCCGTCCCGAGGACAAGGACATGCGCAGACGCCGGCATCGACCCGAAATGGTGTCCTTGCACAGACTGGACAGTCTTGGACACAACCTCGGATTTTGCACAACAAACTGCTCGGAAAGTAGTGGAATTCATCAACGACTACGTGCTCAAGCAACTGAAAAATTACAAAAAAGAATCTCTGCCTTCGGAGACGTGCGTGACTTTGGCTTTGGACACGGTTTCGCAATTCATCAAACTCCAGGGAACAGGTAAAAACTGAGAAATAATTTTCTTTGTTTCAAGATTCTTTCTAAAAATTTGAACATAAGGAAATGACGAAATACACGAGGTGCTTCTCCTAGTCACCAGAAAATTTCGAAGGAGAATGACGAAAATCTCTGGCGAATTTTCAAAAATGTCCATCAACCCGTAAAATTATTCCATTTGATTAAAAACACTCATAAATAATAATCCAGGTCTGATTCCCTTTAGAGTGTATCAGGAATAACGTCAAACATGTTCAAGAGAATCCTTCACATTTCCCTGAACGAAACTCACGAAGAAAATGAATAATTCGCTCGGAAGGGTTGAATTGTCTTTCGTAAGACTGCAATGAGGATTTCTAAATATCTAAAGGATTCCCAAGACTTCTGAGAAACCTTTCTTATCTCACTCAGCCGCTGATGGACTCAACAAAGAAAAACCCCGGGGAAACGAAACGGAATATTTTGAGCTGTTTTTCACAACGATTCCCGGAGGAGCTAAATTCGAAGCCACCGTCAAAATAATCGCAGGATCAACAAGTCCAGAGATAAACGCAAGTGAAATATCAAAACTAAAAATATGCGTATCGTGAAATTAACCGCTTTTTTTTTCCTCCTGAAAAAATCAATAGGAGGATTCAATAAGCAGGGCAAATGTTTACCGACATCATTCATTTTGCATCGAAAGAAGACTTCCTCAGGTTCGAAAATTCTGCTACTGTAACAAACAGAAGGTGAATAATGGCACGCAATCCGGCAACAATGAAACGCTTCAACAAGATGTGGATGACGAACGTGCGCCTTCCGAAGAAGTGAAATCCACTTGATCAAATTTTTGAAATTACAGTATTTGGAGTAGGTTCACAATTTTGAACAGGAAGCACGATTCTGCGATGCACTATTGAATACAGTGAAGTAATAGGCATTTTTCTACAACGCATTTTGCTCATAACATGTTGTTTGTTTGGTTGTGATGAATGGGAAGCACGTTTATTTTTGGGAAAAAATGGTCTTTAAATTTTTTTAAGCGGCGGCCACAACAAAATCTGATTAAACGGCCAAGAACTTGAAAATTATGCCCTCATGATGAAAACACGTTTGGAATTTATACCAAAGCTACCCCAGAACCCTTACTTTTTTTCTCAAGGTAAAAGTACTCAGTGTTTCCAGGTGAAAATATTGAACAACTTTCAAGAGGATCAAAATTTGGTTTCCTTTCACTTGATTTTCGTATAAATCAAATTTTGTATTCGGTCTATCAACAACACGGTTCCGTCATGAATGAAAAATCAGGACCGCATTTGAAAAAATCACTTCTTATTGCATAACAATATTTTGTGCTCTTGTCAAATATAAATAGTTCAATCACTCTACAATTTTACAAAATGATCAAATAATTATCACATACACATCGGATTCTCATGGAGGACAGTTGCGGGAGTGGACATTTACCTCAATACAATCTGAGGTGAAGGCAACTTCAATCGACGGATTCGTCAAATATTAAGCTTCGTAAAAACATGCAAACATCCAGGTTTCGTGAGATACTGTACTACAAAAGTCCATGCAAATACTGTACTGTTAAACATGCATAACGGTGTAAAAAAAGGACTGAATCAAAATGAAATCGTCAAAACAGAACCTGTTGAAAGGTTTCTCGACCAAAGATACAAACAAACTCAAGTTGACCTCGAGGGGAAGTCGAACTCAAAAACATCACGTGAAGGCTAACCGTCACATCGACGAAGGTCACTGCTCAAAATCTCCGACCAGTACCTCGGGATCCTGAGGGATATTCAAGATCCCCGTCTTGGGTGGGTTCGGCCTGATGCCCTGGCTCTCCATGTAACCCAGGAACTGGGCAGGGATCTCGGCCAAAACTTCTTGCGACAACAATGCCATTTCTGCGCTCCGCTTCTCCGTCGGTAATCCTGCGATCGGCGGCAAGATCTTCGGGTTCTTCAGAGAAGAATTCAAGGAATTCTGAATAAAAAAATCTGATCTCATTGTTTTCATACAGTGCATTCCTAGCCAGAAAGTACACGAATACTGTACAGTATTTCACAACTTTTACTTTGAATACTAATTCATTCAGCTTTTCATAATACGCCAAAATCTAATAGATGTTTCGAAGTTTCAGACAATGCCAAACTAATTTCACAAATAGTAATTCTCTCAATCAGGATTCACACGATGATTTCAAAGTTTTATTAAATGAACGATTTCTAATTTTATGGACATACATTAGGTAGAACTTTATAAAAATTTAATGACATGAGGCTACTACCCGTGTGATTAAAATGGAAAATACCCTTCGTCCGACGTTTACTAGAACGGATACAATATTGATTAGTGATCCATTGAATTTCTAAATTAAAAAAAATAAACCCTCCTTTTCTTTCCCCGACATGAGCGAATACACTTTTCAATATTTCCCCCTTTTAAGCAGCTTTTTCTCCGTAATTTGTCGCCACTTTATTCATTACTGTTGAAATACAAAACCATTGCAATTTAAAACAATTGCAATTTCTATGGACATTGACATGAAATTTTAGATCGTCCAATCACAGCATAATTGATTGTTCAAAATCCTCGCTTTGGATTCATCCCACAAAAAATTACACCCTACAGGCCTACAGAATACACAGTAACTTGATTTTTTAATTTTTGGGCTAGCTCCATTTCGTTTCATCATAGAAAGAAAAACAGTAAAATCACGTTACAACGAAGCCATTGGGAACAGGAAAGAAAAATTCGAATAACTTGGGCAGGGTCGTGAAGAGCGAATTAAAGAGAGTTAGTCCTAAGTGTGCTACTAAAGTTTCAAAATAATTTACTTGCTAAAGATTAAAATACCTGTATGTAATCCATCTTGAAATATTTTTAAATTACTGTACTCCGATGATGGGCACACTAAGAATTGGAAAATACCCTTCGTCCGACGTTTACTAGAACGGATACAATATTGATTAGTGATCCATTGAATTTCTGAATTAAAAAAAATAAACCCTCCTTTTCTTTCCCCGACATGAGCGAATACACTTTTCAATATTTCCCCCTTTTAAGCAGCTTCTTCTCCGTAATTTGTCGCCACTTTATTCATTACTGTTGCAATACAAAACCATTGCAATTTAAAATCATTGCAATTTCTATGAACATTGACATGAAATTTTAGATCGTCCAATTACAGCATAATTGATTGTTCAAAATCCTCGCTTTGGATTCATCCCACAAAAAATTACACCCTACAGGCCTACAGAATACACAGTAACTTGATTTTTTCAATTTTTGGGCTAGCTCCATTTCGTTTCATCATAGAAAGAAAAACAGTAAAATCACGTTACAACGAAGCCATTGGGAACAGGAAAGAAAAATTCGAATAACTTGGGCAGGGTCGTGAAGAGCGAATTCGCTGTTAGCAATACTTATTCATAAAGATATTTTTTTAATTCTACTATATCATAGAAGTCAACTACAGTAATTAAAAATGAACAAATAAACGCATAGAACGCGGTTCAATTTCAACAGATGCGATATTAAAAGAAGACGAACCAGAAATTTTCGCATCGGTACAAATTGCACAATGTCCCGAACGGCATAGCGGCCTCTTGAAGATACACGGACGTCGTCGCCGTCAAGCTCCTCCATTGCGTCGAAATTCGCATTTCCCACACCCACGATAATAATGGACATTGGTAACGATGACGCCTCAACGATTGCCTGGAACCAGTCATCCACCGACATTCAACAGTTAGAAAAAAATTTAATCAAAACTATGAGAAGATTTTTAAAAATCAAAAACCTCTTTCGTTTGCGGCATGTCAGTGATGGCGCCGTCGGTGATGATCAATAAAATAAAATAACCCGCGCCTCTTTCGTGTCTCCGAGCGAAACTGGCGACGTGTTGGATTACTGGAGCAAAATTTGTGGGCCCATACAGCTGCACTGAAGCGATGCATTGTTTGTACGCTTGTAATACACCTGTGAGCAAGATCATCTCCGATTCACACTTCCGCATACATTTTCAGTGACACGAAACGTATTTTAAAAATGGACACATTACGAAATCAATAAGGACATAATTCAGAAAACAAGGGAACTTCAAGTGTAACTTCAACTGAGCAAGCGGCGTTGTTTCTACCAAGTCTCGTGCCGCTCTCATTTTGTTTACTTGCCACGAGATGTAGCTTAAAATTCAAGTCTTGTGAGATCGAAGTTAGAGGAAGTTTTCATAGTTAGCATCAGGTCGGTGTTGGTCTGGTCTGGATCGGAAGAATTCATTTTAACTTAGAATCAAAAGTTAGGTTCATCTATGATTCAGTTCGTTCGGCGATTCAGGCGACACCTGCCAAGCCTTATTGAAAGCAAGGTTAGGCAATGACGTTAAAATAATCTCTTCTGAAGAAAAAGTTGGTAAACTAAAGAAAAAAACCGCTTCTGGATATGAAACTTCAGCTAGGAGAAATTCCAAACACGGAACATTTTTAAAAATCATAAATTCGAATCTTATACTTCATTGTGTTAGGATAAATACTGTAATATGATTTGTCAGGTTTGGACACAGCTGTTTCGGTCAAATTCAGGATTCAAGCAACATCTGCCCCGAATTTCAGAAGTCAAGTTAGGAAGTAGGAAATGGACAAAATAGAATTTTTAATCTCATAATCGAACAAGACGAGAAAATGATCGAATAAACTTACCAGCGATGTCCTGACAATGAGGGTCGGCTTGAAAGTTAACGTAAAATTCGTGCGAAATTCGACCATCCGGCGGTAATCTGGCGCCGAAACCAAGAACAGGAAACAGCTTGTCTGTGTCATAGTCTCGAATTATATCACCAACGGCAGAAATGGCAACTTCGTACTGATTCGGGCGTCCAAGCATAATACTGTGCAACGAGGAAACTTCCTTGGGAGCACCGTTAGATGCTGAAACGAAAGATTACGCAGGTAAACTCAGAAAAATATAAATGCGAGTCCATTGTAAGTTTCACCGTAATTTCACCCAAAAACACGCAGAACATCAATGAAAATTTTTTCCAAGATATACACACCAGTGAAGTCAATGGCGAAGGTACAGAACAATTCCGTCCCACCGCGGATGAAATCCAAAAAAGAAGGTCTTTCAATCAACTTTGAATCTGCCAAGAAAACTTGTCCTGAATTCCTGTACGCTTTCTTTCTCTTTCTGGTTTCTTCGTTCATCAGTTCGTAAGTATTCCTCATCCCGGGTCCTTCCAAGAGTTGTTTCGCCGTCGTGTAAAATCCGCCCAACAAAACATGGGATCCCGACGAATGCCAGTCGTAACAAAGGATTTTCAAGTTTCTGCAGATTGAAAAAGCGTCAAATGAACAATAAAAATGCCAATTAATCCAAAGATCTCTGATGAACCGCACAATAAGAAGATTAAAATTAATTTTGAAACTTTAAGAATTGAGTTCTTGAACAGAATAACCTTCACGAAGCATATTTGACGTGCAGTAGTACAAATTAAAAAAAAAGATACTATCGAATTTCCAACTATACATCACGAGAATTAAGATGCGGGGCACCTATTTTTCTTTATTGATCAAAACTCAAACAACACTTTATATTGAAAAATAATATGCTTGAGAGAATTTCAGGAAATTTTCCACAAAAAAAAAAAAACGAAAAGCCCTTCACAATAAAACCTACCTGTCAAAGTCAGCATTGCACAAAGTCGTCGCCCTCATGGAAAACTTCTTCCAAAATGGGTTCGCGGAATTTTTCACCACGTCACCCCGATGAACCAACACGAACTGACCGCCTTCCGTTGATTTGTACACCTCTAGAAAACCATTCGGTCCAGAAAACCATCGACTGTTTTCCAATNGTTGATTTGTACACCTCTAGAAAACCATTCGGTCCAGAAAACCATCGACTGTTTTCCAATTTTTGCCCGCGGAATGTCAGTTCAATAGTTTGTTTCGAACTCTGCAGCTCCTCCACAACGAGCTCGACAGAACCGAGGCTCGCACTAGATGCATTACTTAGATCTCCTTGTCCCCTCTTGGAACATAAATTCAGGGACAATTGACCAGCGGACACCAATTGGCCCAGGTGGCATTCCGCGGCACCCAGGAAATCGTGGGCTGATAGATCTCTTGAATTGGCATCCTGATCGTAAATCTGACAAATAAACCGCAAAAGATCGTCAAAAGCTTCGGCATTCATTTGAAAATTTTCCACAGTGGGCGGCCTTATTGTTTCTCCAATTAGTTCAGCTTTTCATCAATTACAGTTTTTAAAGGTTTCCTACTCATGAAAGCAATGAACATTTCCAGTCTATCCTCTGTGAAACGAATCTCATTATCCAAATTAAATCAGCTCGGCCGTGACACATTATTCTGAAAAATGTATGCAAGGCTAAGATCAATTTTGCTCGCTAGAGCAGCATTTATTTATTTACGGTACTGTACCAAGAATTCCTCATACCAAAATACAGCAAAAAAAGCAAATTTCAAGGGACTACAGGAAAAATTCGATAAACTGGAAAATTTGTTATACTGTAGCAAGATATGAAAATTAATGACTTGAAAACAATTTTAAAACTATAGACCTGCATACATACAGTACAGTATCTCACTTTTATCTGATTTTTCGATTTCTCCCTATTTTGTGAAACATGCTCCTCAAAAAGGTTTGTTGCATAATACTGAAATTGAAAATTTTGTTCCAATGAGATTATTTCAACAGGTACCCTATACGCTTTCTGTCGGGATAAAAAAAATAGTTAAACTGAAAAATTTTCGATAACGATATTTGTCGTACAGTACTGTATCGAGATTTGACTTTACCAACAAAGTTCCATCAATGAGCCCACGACCAGGATCTAAAAAAAAATGGCTGGTGTAAAACCTTGTTCTGTATCAACAAACTCTGGGTGACGTGCGATGATTTTTTTAGCCGCATTTACAGTACACTGGTATTCGTCATAAAAAACCACAAGTACAATAATGTATTGTTGAAGCATAAACGTCCAACAAAAAAAGATTGATTTAACAAAAAATGTTTTTTATGAAATTCCAGGAAACAAGAACACGAGGCCTTAAAAAATGCACGGGTGTTCCCCGATTCCTCCCAAAGATATCGATTACCAGAACTGGTGGCGATTTCCCAACTTACAAATAGGAACACACAGGTTCATATACAGTAGCAACATAAAAGTCCTGCTTTCGCATGAAAAAACCATGTTGAAAATATTACGCGCAATGACATTTTTAATTTCAAAATGCGTCTCCAAAAAGGGCAGTTAAAAATCTTGAAGCATGCGCACAAGAGAGGGACTGCAGCTGCATGGGGAGTGAGGCAGGGGGAGCAGCGTAAATTCGGCAGCTCATATGTGAGCTCCGGCGAGAAGTCCACTCACGGAATTTAATCGCGGAATATTCAAGAGTACCTGATAAATAAAACCCAGCTTGATTCGTCGAGTTATGATGTTGAAGAAGCAGCATCCCAATTATAATGAGGACTTATAATAGCAATGAGAAGTCTTATAATTGTAATGAGATTGTTATCAGATTATGTAAGGAGAATTCTCATAAAGAGAATTGTAACGATAGTATTCCCTCGTCGCGCAAAGCTCATTTTGTACTTTCGAGAAATTAACATTCCATAAGGTCTGAAACTTGGTAAGCAAGAAGTATTCCTTACTCACCTCAAAGCGGAGTTTTTGTTGCGCCTCGAATCTGTAGTTCATCACCAATTTTCTGACGAACTGCGGATTGAGGTTGTCTCTGATAACTTCCGTTCGGTGACATTCTCTCCAATTGAACACTCCTGGTTCTGATTCGTAAGTCACGATAAACGGATCGGATTTCGAAAAGTAATCCTTGTTGGCTAAATTCCTGTCAAAACAAAGAAAAATCATCAATAAAGGACTCCTCACACGAATATTTGAGCGTTGGTGTTGAAAACAAATGAAACTCACTTGGCACTGAGGGTAATTTCGACCCTTGACGTGGGCTCCACGGCAACTCCGGGAACAAACGGTTGTTGCATGATGCTCTTTCTTTTTAGATCTTCACTCAAACCGCATATTACGAAACCCGCAAGTGAACATCAAATAACATAGCAAAATCCGAAGTTATAACCATGCACAGCTGCCTACGGACAGAGTTCCAACACGCGAGATACAATTTAACTGCGTAATTCACTCCTGGAATCATGCCACAGGACGCACGCATCTATATTATATGAAGCTCCGGCGCAGGCGAAAAAAAAAACACGAAGTGTGGTTTCATCCCGAAGAGCTGGTGCAAGTTTGTCACAACTTTAAAAAATATTAATTTAAAAATATGAAAGTAACAACCCATTATCAATAAAGCTTGGATCCAGAATTGACTCATCACATACTCCTTCGAAATAATTCAACAGGGTTTTTGAATACCAAAAATGGCTTAGACTCATCAACGAATCATCATCACTAATTGACTTCAACTTTTATTTGATCAAAACTTATATCAGGGTTCATTAGTAAAATGATACACTCTTAAGCTTTTCGCCATCTTGGAATAATTTAAACGATCATTCTATTAAAAAAAAAATATCTTCATCACCCCATGAGTTTTGTAAGTCCACTTCTGTTTTTAATTTGCTCCGCCGACTTCAATGACATTTTCTATGTCATGCATGAATAAATAAAGAAAACCAGAATTTGAATAAATTAAGAAGTTCCTAATACAGTAACAGTATCCCCAAATCTCTCAGCAATAAGGAATGCTAATCAAAAGCATATAAGAAATATTTTGGCTATTTTGTTTTTGTTGAGGGCTATTTTCATGCTTGAATTGGTGAACATCTTCCCTATCGCTCATCATTCGAAATGTGTGGACAACTTTCGAATTTAGAATCCATAAAAGAAAAATCTTCAAGATTAAAATTTTGTTTTTCTTTGAAACAGGCTTATTGGATTTGGAACACTGTCACCAATGAGATATTTTTTCAATTTTTTGAAAAAAATGGTAGCCCTCGCTGGGGACTTTTGCACTTTCACGAAACACGGAAGTAAGAAACACACCGAAGTACTGTATCTCGAAAAGATTGATATCACTTCCGTTTTTTTCTCCTCTACGCTTCAAAATGGGTGAGTTCTAATTGGAACTTTAGTAAAAAAAAAAATTACTGCGTTACTCTCTGACAATTCTGTAAACCCATTCAACAAGGAAAGCGAACGACTCGAAAAACATACGAAGAAGACTCGCATCTTGATTAAAACTTATCGTGGGCTATCAAACGAATAAAACTACAACAGCTCCAAAAGGATGTTCTCACACCAATCTTCCGCGCCATCACGGTAGGCAGCATCTTCCGATCACTTAAAAAGCAACACGTCACCTCTGCACTTCTCGAGAATCATAAAAGGAAACCACTCGCTGGGGAATAGAACTCAGAAGACTTCGCGTTAACCGATTCGCATACGCTTCGTCTCCGAGAAGGTCCGTGTTGTTATCATCATTGCACGGTGCGAGAAAGATATCACGGAAGGACACCACAGAAACTGCACAGCCGCCCTTGGATCTCACCGAGGTCGCCAATTCCAACACTTGTTGGCAGTCATTGCTGCCGTAGTGGTGCTAGTGTTGGCTGTTGCCGCGTAAAGGGCGTAGCTAGTCTTGGATTACGTAAAAAATTTGCTAACGGGTCCTTCCCGTTTTTTTTAAGTTCTTGACCGACTTCCATCTAATTTTTAGTATTACTTTCGAACTATTCAATTTGAATCGTTATATTATTGTAGCTATGGCTACTGTATCTGTAAGAAAATAAGCGTACATTAAAAAAAAAATATCAGTCATCCTCAAATTTTGTTCGACACGCAGTTTCAAAAGCCTTCTTGCCCGAATCGGTCCAAAGTCCAACATTTACTGAGATAAAAATAAATCTTGTAAACGACTTTTCCAGTCCAACTCCGCACCACCATTTTAAATATAACGCGTTCTCGTAGCCACTTCACATTAAAAACAATACATATCACAAGGTACTTCCACGCGTTTATTAATTTTATTTTGTAATCTGAAAGCGGATGAATCACCAGGAATCATGAACTCAACACTCACAGACTCAGATTCCCGCAAATCCGCAACAACACCGGCGGTCAAAACGAAAACCTGGAAAAACTTAAGCCCTTCTTTGGCTCGACCTCTCACAATCCCAACACATCGCCTTAAAACAGGGGCCATGAACGGAGATCCCAAGGACACCAGTTGCCCCAAGGAAGCCCTATAAGCATTCAACACTCCGGTAACACCATTGCATATCCCGGGACTATCTTGAAATTGCACCGAAAAATCACTCCCAGACACGCCGAAACCGAAAAAGTAGAATTTCGCGTTTTCCGAGTATGTTTGGATCACTAAGCTGACTGCGGTCAAAGTAGCTTGATAAGAAGACGGCCACGTTCCTTCTGCGTAGTGGAGGGAAAACGGATTCGATCGCGCACCGTTGTAATCTAAATACAATCAACGAAGCATATGAAACTCCGGTCAGTGAAATAAAATAGTTCAGAGATTCTCAATCTGTGCTCCGCAGAGTTCAAGGGGCTCCCCATGAACTTCAGAGGCTCCAGGGATGCTAAAGAAAAATATATCTGTGAAGGGAAGGTTATGAAGAGTTCGAAATGCAGGAGTTTACTATAAATTGGCAAGAATTCGCGTGTCACGTATTTTTAAGTATAAATGATAATTGAGGAAAGAGGAAAGCATTTTTAAAACACAGATCTACCAAGCTCCATCACAGAATACATTTTTAACAAGGGCTCAGAAAAATCCAACCGTATTTCAAAATAAGCCTCTCGCGTCAAAAGAAAAAAAGGTACAATACGTGAAATGGAAAAACCCAGACCCACACACAACACAGCCCATAAAAAATCAATAAAGAAGAGTTCCATGGATAATTCTACGCAATTCCTTAGAAACTAAAAATGCTGATGAAAGGTGATTCTTAGAACATCTCCATTACGTAATGTATACAGTTATAAATTCCGCCTTCTCGAGTGTTGTATCTTTCGCCCCGAAGTTTCATCGAAAACAAGGATACAACAATGAATGATCAGTAGATGTGGAGTAGTTTTCTCTTTGCCCTATCGCCAAAAGATATCAAGGAAAACTCACATGAGAAATCAACGCAATAAAGCGTCCAAATCTTGAGTCCGTCCCGCAAATAATCCACGAACGTCTTCATGGGTTCCAAACTGCAACCCTCGAGCAAAATTCTCGCCTCACCCTTGTGCAAAGTGCCGACACTCGAGCTCAAACCAGACAACAATTCTTGGGCATCGGTCAACCATTCAGCATACACCTGGGGTTTGGAGTCGAAAAGGCCTCGGGGTCCGTGACACACGACTCTTAAGCAATCGGAGCCCCGAACGGAAACGATGTGATGATCTTCTGGATGGTAGTCGACGGGTTCGCATTCCGGGGTAATGAGTTCTACTGCCGACAGCGTTATTGGGGCCCATTTCGGGTTCCGAGCCCGACACCATTCCGTGGACCGTATGATGACTCCGTCTTTCATCAGAGATAATCGGGCTGTCGGAGGTCGGCACCAACACAGAAGTCCTGAGAGGCAAGACTTCAGATTTTCAAAAAATAAATGATACATCACTTTCTATGTCGTGTATCCATGTTATTTGTATTTTTCTAACTGGAAATTTTTCAAATACAGAGTGAAATACTTAATTCGATCAAATACTAATCCTAGCGATACCAATACTAACGATTTTCGATAGACCAGGAAAAAACCAAATTGTTGATGATTATCTGCTTTTTGAATGAATTTAAGAACTTTGAAAATTAAAATTCGCAAATATATAGTTGATTTTTGGTAAAAAAAAATTTAAACTATTTATAAGAATTTCAAAACTTAAATTCAATTTTGGAGAAAACTGTCATCAGTGTTCGAAAGATCGTGCCCATAAAACACTATGAATTCACCTTCCGTGCACAAGTTTCGGGCACAGAATGTCAAAGAAACCAATTGCTTGGATTCGGGCAGTTCTTCTACGATGTAATCCAAACTAAGGTTACCGCTTCCCGTGAAATTCAATGTTCCAGAACTGCTCAAGACAATTGAGGGCACTTCGACTTCGGCGAAATCCGGAGGGGAACTGTTCCGACCTCTGATGGATGAAGAGAAAAACATCAACTTAAATGAACAGACGCCGTCGATAAATCTTGAAAAATCTTGCGTGACGATCGTCCGAGATTAGATTTCACACTCTTCATAAAATTAATTACGTAACCTCGTACGCGAGCAAGATCAGCGAATCTTTCTGGCAATGTATGAGGGTCAAAATTTTAAACGGCAAAGAAAGCGAATAAAATATCCGTAACGCCTTGTAGTTCAAATCAGCAGGATTGTTCAACGAGGAAAGAATCAATTACCTACCGATTTTTTCCATGAATAAAAAAAATTCATCGAAACCGTCTCTCCCAATCTCAAACTCGAAAGTTTCTATTAAAAATTGTTTAATCCCTCGAATGCCGTATCTTAGAAAAACGCGAATACGCGCGGGTTCTTGAACGTTTTGCGAATCAAAATAAAAATTTTGGACAGCTGGAACGTAATTATAGATTTTCAGCGACGTAGTAATAAATTTTTGCAGAGAAATATAGACAATAAATTAGGTGAAGGGCTCTTCCGCTCTTCAAAAAACCCCAAAAAATACAGTATTTTTATTGCGTTATTCGCGAAGCTCGCGATATTTCTGCAAATCATTCACGATTGCACCTCATCAGTTTGTGATAAGATTAATTTTCCATGAATCAAGGACACCTTTCAAAAGATTTATCCCCAAAATACATGCAGAAGCTAAGTTTCTTCAAGACTGACAGGGCTTTTTTTCAGAAACACTTCGAATGTATCTCACAGAAAATCGATGCACGAACTTGTTCTATTAATTATGAAACAGCATTTTATGCAGCTGCCCGAAATAGAACGGAACCTTCCTGCGTCACTAAGTTCCATAAAGTCATCCACTTAGTTGTAGACAGATAAGGAAATAGGGTTGTTGATACTCGCGATTGCTGGCACTATAATAAAACAATGCTGCATCGGTTAATGAACTCGGTCTGGTTCAGTAAGAAGTTTTTCACAAGATAAATATTTACCGTGAAGCTGTAATTGGTTACAAAACCTTCATAGAAAATAATGGTAAAAAGTACAGTATAATCAATAAATAAATTACTGTACTGAATAAATTGATTTTCAAACTGAATATCGAGAAAATAAACTTCGGCAGAAAAACTTCATGCATCAAATTTTTTTTGCGAAGAAAATCTTTTTCCACGCAGCCTTCATGGGTCCGTTTATCCGCAGTCTGAGTCCATCGTGTAAAATCGTAATACGCGAGACGTCCATTATCCGGAGTACCACAGTATCAAATGGAACACGTCGAAAGAAATATTTATACAGCAAAACACGTACCGCAATTCGAATCGCAGGGTTTGTCTCAGGTAGTAACAGTACTCGAACACCACGGTAGTTTCCTGAGACTCCTGAGCATTGCATGCCAGCTTCCGCTCGAAATTTCCCACTGCATTAGTCAGGAACACACTCAGGACTGAGCCTCGCCGCAAGAAAGTCATACGTGATGAACTGCGTCATTCCAACAGAGGAAACGTTAACACAACAACCTGAGAAACTCGGCGATAAAATTACCAGGTTAGTCACGTTCTTTCGACGTCACGTAATTATTCCGACTGGTGATTTAAGGCTGGTAAATAACAATAACGCAGACACATGAAAAGTCCACAGACTCTGAACATGCTAAACGAAGTGTTTGCAAACCTTTTCAAATTTAAAGCCTTCTTCCGAAATAAAGAGGCACGTAATTAGCATTCGACTTCGGATGGTATGTTTTATTTAAGTAACGGTCCTTCTGAATTCAAAACGCGATTTTTTTTAAACCACGCAGATTTTGAACAGATGCGGTAAAGTTTCGGGCTTCCCATGCTCAGGTTTGGATTTTTTTTAAACATAAAAAAGTCGGCTTATCGACTCAGGTAACATTCGCCTGCGATCACAGAATATAGAAATTAAATAGAACTTTATTATAGAAAGAAGGGTGAGAGGTTAAAAAGAGAAGGAGTTATTTTTCTTTTCTCAGCTGAGGTCACCAAAAAAATTTTGTCATAACTTCAGTATCAACTAAATCGAATTTTGAAAAGAAATTCAAAGCCCCCAAGAGTTTGACAGAATTGCCGAATGCACTTGGACACTTTTTATACGGTGACCGAAAAGGAACTACGTGACGGGAAATTTGTGACTGACGAGAAGACGTCGAACTTTAATTTTAATGTTTTCCGAGTCCCACAGTGGGTTTTTTCTTCTTCTTCTGAGATTGAAACGCGAGGGAATTATTACTGCAACAAAAGCGAACATCGGCCAACCGACATTTTTATAAAATGCCGAGAATTGAATTATTTTTTAAAGTTGACCAGTTTCGATCAGTTATTTTCCGTACACGTACCACAAGTTGAACTGCACTTCGGCGTAATTTTCAAGGTAGACTCGGAACACACACAATTTTGCCTTTTCAATCGTTGAGCAACATCGTGACACCTTCTGTGCTCAACGTTTCGGGCAGTGAAGAAATAACGCAATGCATTCAAAAATTATTATTCAGAAATTATTCCCAGCTTTGAATTTTAGTCAAAAGTGATGCGCTGTAAGGCTTCTCGGCCGCGAAAATCCGCTTACCGTCTGAACAATCGTCTTACACTAGAGACATTTTCCTCACCTAAACGAAAATCGAAGCATTAACATCGATTTGGGCAACTGGGCATAATCCACCGGACAATCGTCAATATCCCAACGAGCTTGGTCGCCGAGACAATTCTTCCCCACTTTTTCCGTGACTTGTCTCACACTACGGCGCATGCTGAAATTTTTAATCGCTCCAGTCACCTCAGAAACTTTCCTGTCGACATAAAACAATGAATAAACCTCCACAAAATACCATCAACGCTTCGACTCGTCAGATGGAAATGAAATCAAACGCTGTTCTTCCGGTGCACGTAAATCGAGTGAATCTCATTACAGTTTCTCTTCGGTCCGAATTCGAAAAACCACGTCTCGATCACAAAAAGGATTGTGGATTCAAATCACCAAAAACCTCTTAAAAACGAAATGTAAAATCATTCATAAACTTATCAGCTGAAAGAGGGCACACAGTTTCTTCAAGGTCCCCGCGAAACACAACTTCAATTCCTGACCTTAAACAAAAAGAATCGGAATGACAATGTCGCGATTGAAAAAAAAAGTCCCATCACATGACTATTAGCTGATAACTCTCCAAAAAAATCGTTCAACGGCGAACAGCACGGTGTCTAAGAAAAATAGCGAACCTCTGGCAATAATATGACAACACGAAAGGGGACGTTGATCGTCTTTATACCCTCAAGAAGCAAACAAATCTGCAAGTTCAGTCATATTACTTCCATAGGCGAGCTAATTTTTTCCTAGCTCAACCCCGCAGAAACACCACCCTTTCCCTAAGCCTCATCGGAGCAGCTCGTCGATATCCTTCGAACTCAAAGCATTCACCGCGGGTCTCATGGGCGCCGAATGCACGACAGTCGGCGCCAGTGGAACCGGGCCCGCCGCCCGGGCCATCATATCGTTCATGGACACTTTCGGGCCACCGGGCCTCGGTAACAAATCTTCAAACGCGCGCGTGTTTTGGGATGGCGCCGGTGGAGGCGGCAAACACTGTTGCCCAAACGGAGAGAGGAAACCTGTCGGGCTTTGCACTTGGGGCTGAACTTGGTTGAGTGAAGGTTTGCCGAATGCGTTCATGTTGGAATTAATCAAACTAGATGTCAAGTCTCGATGAGCAATTGGCGAAGTGACGGAAGTGCCCGGCCAATTGTTGGAGGATGCATTTTGATGCGAAGCTATAGATGGGAACGTTGAAGACTGCGGTATTCTGGTTGCAGCTGGTGGTGTCACAATTGGTTGAACGGTTTGCGCTTTTGAACCCGAATCCAGTGATTTCGCCAATCTTTGGAAAAAACAATTTTCAATCAATTACACGTCGAACATGACGCATTAGAGCGAGTTCTAGTCTTACATTCCCACATTAAAATCAGATCTGTCTCAGCTTCAAAAAATGCCAGAATTTAAGAACGAGAATCACAGTTGCATTTTTGCAGAGGTGTGGAAAATGTCGACAATTTTATCTGAACAAAAAATCTTCCTTCATAAGAAATTCTTTCATAAAAACCAAGCAAAAATGGTCACAGGCCCTCAAGTCCGCAGTGCGATAAATAACCAAGGATAGATAAGCTTTGAATAGGGAATTAATAATTCGGTAATCTGACTGACAGGACAATACGTACAAAATATCAGAATGGTTTTCAAACCCAAATTTAGAGACGGAGATATTGGTATTTAAATTGGTATTTAGATTGGTATTTAAACAAATCGTTTGACAATTGAGAATACCGGTAAATAAAAAACCGAAATGGTCGTAATGTAAAAATGAACTAGGGATAGGCATGGAACAAGTATTTGGAAGCTTACCTTTGCTTCTCTTCCAACGACAAATGCTTCAAACTAGGCTTTGGCTTCGAATTGCTGCTTTCACTAGGGGCACCATGCCATTCGATCGCTTTCATATCGTCGGCAACCGGAGGCAACGCTTTTTGACCGCCACCGATTCCATTGAAATAACTTGACGAACTTCCTGAATCACCGGCACCAGGCCACTGAAGTTTCGCTTGTGATACAGCGCCTGCTTCAAGAGTCGACTGAAACGCGGATCTGAGCGAGAATAGAAAATAGAACCGACAATTTAATTTTAGCAAATTAAAATGACAAGACATTATTTTCTCATTAAAAGCCGAACGCCACTTTTTGCTGTCGCATAGGTGTCGCTTGAATCAAGTTTCATTTCACCTGTTCCGAGTTTAGTTTGATGAGGTCGTACTCGTACTGTATCACATTCATTTTTTTACATAAGGGACATTTCGTTAGGCAACTTGATGGAGGTAGACCTACTCTACAACGAAATTCAAGGAACAAGAAAATAATTCGTTGCCCTATAAAATGGGGAAACCCTATGGGACCAGAAAAAAGTTGTTGTACAGAGGAAAACGTTTTCAAGAGAGAAAGATTCCACCTGTATTCCTTTTTTCTTTCAAATAATACCTGCTCAGGATATGAGACTTACTTTTGCTCCTTGCGCATCTGATCTAGCTGCTCAACTTTCGGTCGTTGGTCGGCTTCCACACGATCAATCATGTCCCTAATGACGCTCATCACATTGTTGAACTGCACCAAACTCAGTCCACTCTCAATACACATGGGAAAAAGGAATGGGAGCACTTGGGTAGCCAACACGTCCTTGGAAATTCCCAATTTGTTCCCATCCATGGTAAGTTTATAAATTCCTGAAAGCAAGTATCAGTCAGTATACAACTCTTTCCGCGATTATTCTACATTAAATTACAGTTGGCGGAACTTCGATTCATAAAATGAACGCAATTTCAAATGAAAAAGAAATTTTAATTTTCAATTTTAAGAAACCAACCGAGTACGCCCATCAACACTGCAGGTTCCCTGGAAGGAATTTTCGGCAAGAAAGGCAAGATCTCGTCCATCACCAGCCATCGATCCAAGTTTTCCAAAATTTGCCCAATGGTCAGTAAGCACTGAACTCTTGTCTAAAACATGAAAAAAAACGCAAATCATTAAAAACTGTACATCGGTTAAAATGAAGTTCAACTTACTTTCAGAAGTTTTGTTTCTAAGCATAATGTTTTGATTTTCGGCAACATGGCATTTTTCAGTGCAGGGTAATCGACTAACGGGGCGGCTTTCGGAACGATTGACAGCCCAAGGGCCTGAATTTCCGGATCCGGACTGGAACAAAACAATGTTACATCAAATTCAGTAAAAAAAAAAAAAAAAAAAAAAACCGAGACCTAGATTCTGCGGAAACTCAATTTCTAAATGGATTGGAAAAAAATTCGCTATAAATACAAGACGTACGCCAAAGCACACTTTCAACGTACCGATCGAAATAAGCCCTAGCTTACGAAGATTATTTTGAATGGACGACTTTCTGAAATTAAATTTTCATTCATCAGATGGCAGATCAGGTCGAATTTTCCCAGAGGAATCGGAAAAACAACGGGGAAACTCGGGGATTAGGAATAATTTCAGTTTCACGATCGCTACTCAGTTTTTATTTGTACTGCATATTGAAAGATTATTTCTCAGATCACACTGAAAGCATGAGTTCAAAATAAGCCGAAGTGAATTTATTTCCAAAAATACCATCGTAATACCCGTTCTTTTTTATTTTTTTTGGAAACGCAGGCATGATTTTGAATAAAAACAGAATGAATCTCACTTTTCAATCGCACGGTAAATAACAGGCAGAAGATATTCGCGTACATCCCCAGCTGGCGTTTTACTCAAAAGCAGCTCCATTCTTTGCAAGAATATCAGAGTGATCTGCACAGGATCGGCTATTCGTAGCACAGGTTTGAGACCCGGTAAAATGTATTCCCTAAATTCCTCTGCTGATGCTTCTTCCGCAACAACCAACACAGGTCCAAGAACAAACGGTATCATCGGCGGATTCACGAACTCTTTCGCCAAACAAGGCACAACTCTGAAGAGAAAAGTATATCTCGTACTGTCTCTTCAATAACTTCAGGTCAAAAAGCAATCATGTAAAAACTTCAGTCCCGGTTCATAAATTACGAACATCGGCATAATTTTAAAGCTTCTTTGAGATTTTCTTAGCCAAGTTACTCTGATACAGTAATACGGAAAAAATGGTCAATTCATCAAACTCTATGTTCGAATAACTTTATGGAAAGCACGTGCGTCTCAAGTCTCAATGGCAAAATCATTTATAAACTTTCATGAAAAATTTATTGACAAATTTATCAAGAAAAATTGATAAAAAATGATCCAATATAATAAGTCTTGAAAAATATGTGACGCACCTGAGGAGATTGACTCTAAACGGTAGTCCTGGCAAAACCTGAGCCAGACCCTTGTAGAATTGGGTCTTTTGCACATTGTCCCACTGATACATGGCGTCGAGATAGCTAAGAGTTTTGACACCAATGTCCTGAAAATATGGTGTTTCTCCTACTTGCCCTGCTTCCGGTCGGATATCCGGATTGTGGCTCAAAAGCATCTTCGCTGTTTCCCTCAACCCGATCGGGATGCACGACAAATTATTCATTGTCAAATGCTCCAGCTGTGAACGATGGAAAGTCCGAAAAATTTCTCATGAATAACTTTATTTTTCGTTCAAGATGCCCCGAATTACCGTAATATATAATAAATCATTTCTCTGCAGGAACAATACATTGATCTATTCTAAATTTCAGCATTTAATTTTTCATGCTTCATCAAGAAGTATAGTTGAATAAAAATCATTTTGAAATGCAGAGAATAAAGCCATATTTTTCCCAACAAATAAGACAGTTAACTGATCATCGTTTAGGAATATCAGAAATTGATACCAAAACACAGAAAAAAGCTATCCGATTTCCCGAATCAATTCTTAAAATTTATCTTCTTTCCATGGCAGCGGAAACTACAGTACTGTACTACATCTTGTTGATTTCAAAGGATCTAAAAAAAATTGAAAGAATGACGCACCTCTCCGGCATTTGTGCGGAAGATCTCGTAATTGTCACCGTTCCTAAACAACGGTTTCCCACCGGAGAACAAAGCATACATCAAAACACCGACTGAGTACATGTCACACCAGGGACCTATCCGAGCATTTGTCGCGTATTCGGGCGCTAGAAAGTCCATGTGCGGTTGGGCATGGGGTGGAAGATACGAATTGTACTCCACAAGTTTCCAGAACGGCTGCAAAATTCGAAAGAAACCCAATGAGACATTTCAGAAAATTCAATAGAAAAGCACACAATGAGTTGTAATCCAATGGCAGATACTCACTTCAGAGCCTTCTGGGCTCTCGTTTTGCACGCAGAAGTCAAACCCAAACAACTTCCAGGCACCAGATGCATTTACAACGATGGATTCCACAGCAATGTTCCTATGTACTAGTTTCACATCCCGGTGTAAGAAATTGAGGCCATCGCACAACTGGACGAGTCCGTATTTTATTTCTAGCTCGTCGAGTTTGAAACCGTCCAATTTCCCCAAGGAATCTGCATCTGGGCAATTTTCTCGATACCCAAGGATATTCCCCAGGCTCGCAAAGACTGGTTCTGTCGCGAATGCGAGGGCATCTCTAAATATCAGCAAAAAAATAAGAATGATACTGAGACAAGAGTGCCTGAATCACTACAATAAAGGATAACTTTCAATATTTCAGCACGGAAATTTTAGATAAAATCCACGAATTTTCCCATAGAGCACTGTTGGGCAAAATTTAATATCTTTTCCACAGGAACGATCAGAAATGAAGGATACCGTCACGTGATGAATACGAATATTGCTAATTGAATCTTCCACAAAAAATTAATAATATCTAAATTTAATCTACCGCAGAACTCGTAATTTTCACCGCCAAAAAAAAACCGTCTTTCCTCAAATAAACCGATGGTAAATGAACTTCATTTCCCACGAAGTAAAAAATAAATAAATATTGTGCCATATTTTCCATATTTATCTGGTAAGTTTTAGAATAGACTCGAATATAATACCGTATCCTTTTCGACATGACACGAGGATTACATTTTCTGCAAACATTAAATAAAGTACAATATTTCATGAAGCAATTCAGTTACCATATTAACGCGGATATAAGCAGGCCCCCAAGATTTCTCATGCACAAAATGAAAATTCCATTAATAAGCGAATATAGGCACCCCTTCCTTTCATGTCGGTCGGACTTTCCAGGAACCAAAAATTTCTAACTGAATTTAGACTTTCCCCAGAAAAAGAAAAGCGGATTCTCACAGCCCTTGCTCTTCCCCTTCAGTCCATTCGTCATGCTTTATGAAGTGTTAAAGGCTGACCATTTCTTGATCATTTTAAACATCAACTCAAAAAGAACTGAAGAGAAGAAGTGGTCGACCTTTTTGAGGACCGCGAAGAGGAAACTTTCCTAATGTTGACGCATATTGGCACTCCCAGTTTTTGAGGTTTTAAAATTGGAAAAAACGGGTGATTATATTCGCGTAAACGCGTTATTTAGGGATACAAGAAAAAGGTTATCTTATTCGCTCAAAATACAAGTTTTTTCATTCGAACATCATGAACACTCCGGCTGAACCAACAAAATATATTCCGGGATAGGTTCATTCTCCCATACACCGTTTAATCAAAATTATAATGGAATGGAGGAACTAAAACCATGTTGCAAAATCAAAAAGGAAGTTTTGATTCGAATGAACTCGAAGTACCTGGATTCATCCAAGGGATGTTGAACGACGAGTACGTTTGGGTGCCTGAGCCTCGTGACTTGATTAACGCCGCGTCGCAAATTCTCCAAAACCTGTTCCCGCGCGTTCTTCGGATACCGCTCCAACAACTTCTTCTCGAAAATGAAAACAGCGGCTTCCTGCTTCGTCGACTTCTTGTGCCCAGAATAAACCTTCCAGAGGAACCCGGGACCCGCACTGGCAATGTGTTTGACAACCTCGTATTCCTTGGTCACGTTGTTTCCGGGAAGGGCGGCTTGGACTTGAGACACGACTTGTGCAGTGTTGCCGACGGTGCTGATGAGGGTGGACCTGAGTTTGCTGAATACGTTATCCATGGCTCACACGGCGCATTAAACGTAAACACATCGGGGACGACGACGGGGCACTGAAGGATAAAAACACCGCTTCAATTTCCGAAACACGAATTTCCTGACGAAAACTGAGATTCGAAAAATGAAATCACTTTCACACACACACACTTCCACCAGGAGAAGAAAGGGCGTCGTTAGGAAGCGATGCGTAAAACGAAAAATTCGAACGGTAAAATCAACCTACCTACGTACACACCGATTCAATCCATCTTATCTTAAGAAATCATACGAACATGAAATCAGAAAAAAAAATGTAGCACACTTCCAAATATTTTCAAGAACAGAAGAAACACATTTATTAAATTATGATCAATTTTTCCCCTTTGCCGCTCATCTTATTCGACAAGAATTGTTTTTCCGAAAAGAAGACCGTCGTAACACTTTCTCCTCGTGAGAAGATTAACAGATCAAATCAATTTCACTTTCCTCGCGCTTTTTAATCTGGTATCTTTCTACGAAGAGTGATTTTCGGAAAATTCAATTTCCACCTGCAGAAAAGATGGACATGATCATGATACATTTTTCGTAAGCAGAAATCATCAACAAATCCTGAAAATTAAAATTCAACGTCTTCACTCGCAATTTAATTTCCACTCACTAATGTTCCGAAATCATCACCAAAGAAGCACTGTTTCGTGCGCACCGTTCGCGACCCCACATGAATTCCGTGCTCATCAACCACAAATATCACAAGAAACGTCCATTTCAAATCACACCCCACAAATCCTGCATCCCCTCGAACATTCTAAATTGTGGCAACGAAGTTTTCTGGAATGTCGTTTCGTCTTCGAAGAACATTAGCAGATCACTTATAAAATTTCAACAACAAAATCGATCGCCGGTGGGAGGAATAAGACACAAAAAATGTAAGTGTTTTTCTGACCAAATCAAACAATACCTTGTCTCTTTGTGCAAAAAGTACTATCGTTGCATAAGAATCCGTCACTCAAATTGATCCCGATGATAAGCCGACAATATGTTTCAGTCTAGTTTCACAGATCTGTAGATAAACCTCACAAAAACGAAGGAGGCGAAGAAACTCACTGAACCTACGGCGAGGAAAAAAGCATAACAAGTAGACAACGTCCAGGAAAGAAACTGCGAAATTTGCAACAATCCTGAAATCTCGGTTCGTTTGATCACGTAAAGCACGGCGTAAATGAACATGAATCCAGCTGATGCTCCCACGCTGAACACACTCCTCCACCACCATCTGCAATACAAATCACCTGGTGAATACAATGAACTTGAAGAGGAATACTGTACCTCATTTCGGACAATCTTCAAAGCCTACCTAAGGAAGAATACTTTACATTTGACATCCCCAATATTGATTTGAAAAATTAAATGCCAGCACTTATTCACTTGTTCTACTTGAAACAGAACAAGCGTCTCATTTCTATGGACATTAACTATCAAAAATGAATAAAATTGCTAATAACGCTTCTTTCGCCTCAATGCCCACACTCACTTAGTTCAGTTCAGATTCGGTTGGAAATGCAGACACCTTTCAGACATTCCTAAGAATTACTAAGGATTCAAGGTTTAAAAAAAAAACTCTACTTGAGTTGATCACTAATCGTCTCACAAAATGTTCGCACAAAAAATTACCTGTAATCCTCCGCCACCAGAAGAGAATACGTCAAGCAAATTGACACCGACGCCGTGATGAATATCAGCATCATCATCATGATCAACAGGAGTCCATACAAAGTGTATTCTTCGCGACCCCAAACAGCTCCGAAAATGTAGTAGAGCTCAACGGCAATCGCCGAACAAGGAATACAGCCACCAAATATGATGTGCCCAGGCCAGGCTGAATAAATGGGAGACGGCGGGATTTCTCTAGGAACGTTCTTCGTACGACAAGGTGGCTCAAAAGTAGACGTTAGATTCTTTCCCAGGAGAGATCCGATCACCGTCAAAGGGTAGCCAACTAAAAATTAGATAAACGAATATATACTGTACTTACGTTTTTTGGATTCCAGAGCAAAATAGAGTACCCAAAGGATACGTAACGTTCTCCAGAGAATTCGATAATCATTTCTTCACTCTACCGACTGAACCCAAGTTCCACCCAAATCAATACAAAAACCGATCGAAATCCAAAAGTTTTCACATTTCAACAATTTCGGCCTTCCGCATGACTCATTCATGATTTCACGCGATTCCCAGAATTTGACTAACCCCAATACATTAAGAAATACCTCAAAAACTAAATAAAGCTACTGTCATTCTAATGATTTTAACAAAATGATTCCTGGAATGGTCAATATAAGTGTTAACGACACAGAAGACTTGAGAGGATCGTTCGCGGAAAAATAAAGTTTATTTCTTCATAAGTATTTCCCTTTTGTAACTCACCGAACATCCAGAGAGCAACGAGAGAAATGAGGATGGAAACTGGAAGAGCCTGAGTAGATCCATAGCTCCAAGCGACGCAGTTATCCACAGCCCAAACGACGAAGAAAGGTCCCACGAAGAGCGCAGCAGTGACGTTCACCAAGGAAACCCACTTATCGCCATCCATCATTTTGTACAGAGCTCCGGAAACGTAGCCAGCAATGATGCACGTGAAGGCAAACAGGACACAACCAGTAGAAGTCGCTGCACCATGATTCGCCACATCGAAAAGTCTCATGATTCCCATGACAACCAATCCAGAGATCAGGACTAAAAACTGACTACCGGCACCCACAACCGCGCAAAATATTCTTTTAAATTTAGGATATCTGAATACATCCGCGCTGATGCGCTTCCACGTGGCTTCCGAATCTTTGACATCCCCTTCTTCTGCCCCTTCAACACCACTCGAAAGCTCTCGTCCAAGCATTTTTGCCTGAAAATGAACGGATAAACAACTATCTCGCGTTCCAAGCAAATCGGAACATGTTAGGTCTCACCAGTATAGCACTAATGAAGATCACCAACAGGATATTCAGGGCAACGGAATTTATTATAGATATCCAATGAATTCTATCCATATTTTTCGACAACTTGTTCACCTTGACAGCCATTTCGTCGGGGGAAAGCCTGAGAAATTGAAATCCTTTTATGACGAAAAAAATTCAAGTGGCAAATCGTCCTTACTCAGTATAATTCCAACGTGCAGAATAAGAGTAAGATACGCCTTTCATATTTTCAGCAGACTTCAAACTCACAGGATCTTCCATTTTCAAACATGCGGATAGAATCTGAAAATTTAAAAAAGCCTTCAGAAATATACATTTCAAGGATTTGCCGAAACACACCTCTTTATTATTGTGGTAAAAAGTAAAGACGATGTGCTTAAACAGGTACTGCTCGTGGGTATGCGGTAACAAACTCGTTTCCATGGTTTCCCCAAGATATCCACCGACAGGTCGGTCTTGCACGAAAAATTCGAAGTAGTACTGCTCGTCGATCGCACGCCTCAGGAATTCCACTTCTTTAGCAGTGAGGTTCAATACACATAAGACCCTTGATTCGACATTTTCTGCGATGAACATAATCCGGATGTAGACGACGACATCTGAAGATTAACTACCTTACTCACCCAAAAATTTGATCCGAAAATCCGAATACGCCAGCTTGTTTCCATCGAGCGCTTGCCCGACAGACATGCTCCTGAACTTGATCTACATGTTAAGAGAACGATTTCATCAAGTATTGATAGCATTTCATTTCAATAAAGATGATCTCACCGTCTCCGGCCGACAGAGGGGCAGAGAATAATATAGATAAGTCTCATGAGGGTTCCTGAATGGCCCCACCTTGTTCACAAAAATATCTACGGCCTGCAATTATCAAATAGCTGATAGGTAATTAAATATTCCGTGCGAAACCACAGAATGGACTCACCTTATTGGCGTCTGCGGATACAGCATAATAAAGGATTGATACGAGAATTCTCGCCCAAAATAGACGCGCTAGATTCATGACTGGTTCAATGGATTATAGAGAAATTGATAATTCGTGCAGACGGTACATTCGACGTTTATAAAAGTCTTGGTAAATTATCTTCTTAATTCGGGGTAGACGAGTTTCGGGACTGTCACATTAAATCAAGTTCCGTCATATTTGAATGTGTGATCTTTTGTTTAAGACACAGTAAAAATAAACTTCAGTGCATCTGAAATGCGCAAATTATCTGATAACATCCCGCAGGAATATGCAGTCGTATCAGATAATTTGCACATCGTCACTTCGAAACGACACGACACCCAAGCTGGAGACGAACTCCGAGATGTCAACACAGGCGTCCTGGAGCTAGAACCAAATGAAACGTCATGATTTTCCTCCCGCAAGATGTCACTTCTATCATATGAGGGGGGGGGGGGGCACGGTTGCTAAATTGGAGCTTATGTAAAGTACTTCACGCATAGCCCCTGTTTGTGCAAGTACTGTATATACTGTAAATGCCCAATGCGCATGGTATACTGTTGTCTCCTTCGAATCTTGGCTTGATATTATTTGAGCCAGCCAGCGTTCCAACCTTTGGCACAGATATACAGTAATAGCAGGCATATCTTTATTTATGGCTTGTGTGCATCAATAACTATGTACAAACCTGTACTATAGAATCTGTTTATAACAGAGAATTGTTTAAAACGAAGTCATTCTTTAGGTATGTTTCAAATAGCCACAATTGTTAAATGGCTAAATTACGCTAAGACAAATGAACCTAAACTTATAGTATTTTACCTGTACACGTATAAAATACAGTAGTTGCTGTTCATCATACTAATTGTAGCAAGGTAATTTTGAAATCCACGTTCCATTGCATCATAATGTTTCAAGGGGAGAATTACATTGGCCAAAAATCTGCTACAATCTCTTTCCTATTGCTCTTTTTCAACTTTATTTCTTGGGTAATTCCATATTCAGTAGGAATGAACAACGTGATTTAGTTTCCTCACAAAACGCACACGCAGTTTCAATACCGTTTTAATCATTATTTTGTACAAAAAATTACGCCCTTCAGTTTCATTCTGTTATGTACACATGACGCGTAATCCCTTTCAACATTTTTTTTTTGAAAAAATGCACATGAGACGTGTACCGAACCAATGTATAGTACAGTAGTTGATGTGTATTATATGCTAAGCCAGCAGATTAATGTAAAAAACACATAATTTTGATGATCTGTTTTCAGGAGCATTTTCAAAATCATGTCTTTTTTCATACAATCTTGATGAGCAGTACAATATTGGATGAAGAAAGGGTGATTAATTGTTTGCACATAATCTTTGAAGAAGTATTTTCCAACCTTCAGCGACTTAGTAATTATGGGAAATGAAAGACTTTTTCTTAAACCACAAGACTCTCGAATGGATAGCATTTGTTTACTTCCCCATCAACATAAGTAAACCCGTAAGAAAATTTGGCATTCCATTGTTCTACATATTAATCTAAAAAATTATGCTAAGAGCAGTGAATGGTAAAATTGTGAATTTTAAGATCATTTAAAAAATATTCGTAAGTAAGAAAAATGATACTCGAAAAATAATACTTGATTCAAATTTTAACTTTCTCGACAAATTTTCCACACACTGTTCACTGAGTGGAAAACTTGAGCCATAACAGGAAACTAGCAACTTATCATCATGCAAGGTACCAAAAAAGCACAGTATTACCACATAAGAACACGTTAAAAATTTGGAAAACATTCCAGATGCATAAAAAAATTATGAAATTTTCCCCATTCTTACCAGCGCTTACAATATTCAATGCAATGCAGACCTGGGACAATCCTTGCACGCAGTTAATCTAAATTCTATGACAATGCATCAAGGACATGCTTTGAGAGATGAATCTTTCAGCCTTAAATGAATATACATAACCACAACTGACAAATCGTCATCAATAACATTATTATTCGACCCGTGACTGAGCGAGCAGCGACGCAAGCAGGGAGCTCATCAACAAACCAGAGATGGTCGAGTAACAGAAGTTCATGTACACTCACTCTGACATAAACAACGATCAACACGGAATCTTTAAATAAATCAACGACTGGTTCAATTTTATATAACGAAAGAAAAAAGAGATGGGGAAACAGCCGTGAGAAAGTAATCTGTGAGACTGATGGTAGAACACGAATTCTCGTACGAATGGCAGAACCAATTTAAAAAAAGAATGAATGGATGACAATGAACGGATGGATGGTATGGTCGGTTTTCTGGATGGATGTGCGGATGCGAGAGTGGGCATGACCGGAGCTGGAGAACAAAGAGCACGCCTATTCACCGCCACCGACTCCCCCTGACATGTTTGGCACCAAGGTCGCTGGAGCTGCACTGGGCTTGCCAAAAATTGGATCTTGACACATACAAAAACACAGAACAGACGCACGTTCATTCTTCACAACATAAAATATTAAAATATATCAATTTTCTCCGATTCAGTGTAAATTCATGCTTCCCGACAGGTTAGAGAAGCGTGAACTACATCAGTATCTTAATGTCAGTCCAGTTCTTTAAGCCTTTCCGTTCTTCAAATTTCATGGCAGAACCGACGGTCTTCAACCGAAATGCTACATTGAGATCCCATCTCCAAATTTTAGCGGCTCCTACTCTATACAGTATACGCTTCATAATATAATTCACTTATTCGTATGTTTAAACCAATTTCATTCTGCAGCATAATTTAAAGGCATTTTACATTTCTTCTTCCTCACCGGAACAGCTATAAAGTTGAAAACTAAACACATGAACACATTCTAATTTAATTGACCAAAGGAGCATAAACCGGACAAAAATCATCGGACTGTGGACTGAAAAATTTCGAGAAAATGCAAGAGACACGATCAACATTACTTCAAGAAAAATTATGCACTTGGGGACATCTTGCGCTGAAACGATTACAGAAGCAGATTTCGTAGTCGACTTACAAAAATAGGAATGCTCCATGGCTTCCCGGGCAGTGAGCCTCTCTTGGTGGTCATAGCGCAAAAGCTTGTCCAGGAAGTCCACTGCCTCTGTGTTCACCAGGTGCTTGTTATCAGCATTTTGAAACCTATCCCACCGCTTCCGCGAGTGCCTATTGGAAACAATCGGGTCAACTCAAAGAAACACACTGTACGTATCAAGCAGCATTAACCAATTATCAAATTCCTCACCTTCCCAAAATATCGTTGAACCTTGGGTCCAGCTCAATCTGATACTTGTCTAAATACTCGTACAGTTCTTCCGTACCCAAAACTTTCACTATCCGCACGAGCTGGTCGTAATTATCGTGTCCATGGAAAAACGGCTCTTTCCGAAAGATCATGCTCGCGAACATGCAGCCAAGTGACCACATGTCCAGTGAATAATCATACATTTGATAATCTACGAGCAGTTCGGGTCCCTTGAAGTAGCGCGATGCCACGCGGACGTTGTACTGCTGCCCTGGATGGTAGAACTCGGCCAGGCCCCAATCGATCAATCGCAGTTTTCGATTCTCGTGATCGATCATCACATTATGGGGCTTTACGTCGCGGTGCATGATTCCCATGCTGTGACAGTAGTCAAGCGCCTGAAGGTAAACATCATCAAGTCACACTCAAGAAATCCATCCAAATATTCCACGAACGCACGCACCTTCAGAAGTTCGTACATGTAGTACCGAATGTCGAAGTCCGTCAAAGTTTGATACAGCTGCTTGAAGTCCGTGTTGTTCACGTGCTCAAAGATCACAGCAGGCGTGCGAGACACCGGGTCCTTGACGACAGCCTTCAGGGATATGATGTTTGTGCCACCACGCAGGTTCTCCAAGATCTTGATCTCACGTTTAATTTTCTTCTTTTTCACCGGCTGCAACAAAAAATATACCGCTGAAATCGTTGCACTTCGTAAAGTAAAAGCTTTCCGATGACGCGGCTTGTCGCATTCTCACCTTTAGAATTTTAACGACACACTTGTCAGCGGTGGTTATGTTTATGGCTTCGAACACCTCACTGTACTTTCCTCGACCGAGCTTCCTAACGAGCTGGTAATCATCTTGTTGCCCCCACTCGATTACATGGCTCTCGTAATCCCAGTACTCCTCGGGACGGTGTGAGTTCACGTCAGCGTAAATCCGAGCGCGTGAAGGCAAAGGCATCTTCGGCTCCACAGTTCGACTGAGCAACCACTCGCGATGCGACCAAGGGACCCGAGACGCACGAATCCACGGCACAAGCCGTATCAATCCGTTTCTATCGCCAGGTTCTCACCTCCACATGGAGGAAACGTTTCCAAACTCCTCTCGCAACACAATTTTGATAATTATTCCCTGCAAATAAGAGAAAATATGGGTTTCACAAACTACACACGATGTAAGGCACCATTCCCTGGTTTCTTTCGTTTAAACCCCCTTTTATCCCGAGAATTTCATACACGGGTGTCGCCTAAGTTTCATTCAGCTTTGGTGCCAATCGTTACTTTGGGTAACTTCAGCAAGAATGGAATTGATTCAAGCATGAAGTATTTCCGAGGAACTACGTCTTGAGCATTTAATATTCTACATATCCCTTGATGAGCAATGATGAATATTTCCAAGTATACGTTAATGTTCAATAAGCATTTCAAATTTGAAATCTCGGTTTTAAAAAAAAGCACACAGAGTTGAGAACTTAGGATTTTGTGTCGAATTATTCGGTCTTTTTAAATTGGTTACACGTGTGGTCACGACGGAGATCGAGGCGACACCTAGCTGATATTAAAAAAAGTCGAGAATCGAGGGTTCAAGCAGAAAAATACCAGATCCGTTTTCACACAGCACATGAAAACAGCACAAGAGATGCACCTTATAAATTATAAAAAATTCAACAATACTCAGCTCATGCTACGAGGATTCAACACCTTCAAGCAATAAAAAATACAATGAAAAATACTTCACGGGACCACCTTTGAAACATGTTAGGAGGCTCAGAAAGGCGAATTGACCAATATTGAAAAAAAAATTCACAGGTATAATCGCATAGTACTCTGAATTCGTTGGCGGCAAATCGGACACTTTCTCGTACTTCTTTCCATGAGCAAACGTCGACATTCTTCGCACAAGCACACGTGTCGACATGGAAGAATGACAACGGACTTCTGAGCATCTTGACAAACTACGCAGTTGCCAATCGTAGATGACTGGTTGTGGCCACTGATGCTCCCAGCTATGGAGACAGCATCTCCGTGATGCCTAAAAAAAGCAATAGAAAATGCACAACTTTTAAATATTATCGGTGAAACAAAGCAGAAAATACATTTGTTTCAGTTTCGCTGAAAGATGATGACTTCCAAGGGATCAACCCAAGTCATTTCATCAGCAGATGAAAACTTTTGCGGTCTCAGAGAAAAGTTTCTCAATCTTTCCTGATTTATTTCAACAGAATTGTACTTCTCAATAACTGAATGAAAAACTGAATAGTCCTTTCGACTAGGTTTGATTTTTTTTTTGTGTACTGCATTCGAAAAGTTACTCCGCACGGAGAAATTTGTCTATCAAAATTTCCCGTTCCTTGATTAAAATATTTTCGTGAGTAAACAATTGAATTTAGCTTTATTTACTTCCCAAGATATATTTTTGTCTGGTTTCTTCCAAAGGCAGTTCAGTGTGTCTCACATAATGAAACTAAGTAATCCGTTCGCAGATACGTTTTGTTACGAAGACCTGTTGTTAGCGAGTAACTCGTGTCTTCAAATATTTATCAATAGTTGCAGTGGCTTTTGGCTTCCTGTGTTTCACTCTAGACTGCAAAAAAGTCGAACATTCAGAATATTTCATCAAATGCATTCCGGCTCTTAAAATCATCGCACTAAATCGAGGGTTTTTCGTTGCCTACAGCTGGAATGTGGATCGTCACTCACACAGATTTTGAATGTTCCTTCTATCATTAACAGACATGAACAACCAAAAGTGCCTCGGAAAGTCAAAGATTTTTAGACAGCAAGATAGAGGATTGGATTCCCATCTTGACAGACAGGCAATCATCAAATCCTGTAAGGAAAGGAACATTATGCTTACCCATTGCCAAAGGAATGAACACTTGCGTCGTCGAAATCCGTAATGTCGAATTCTTCGCCGGAATCGCTCATGTCATCCCGGAATTCTTCATTCGAAATAATAATCCTCCCAATCCGCAATGCCATCGTTTGCCACCGCCTAAACCGCTCCCTCGTAGCATTGGACCAAATTGGCGTGGTCCTCTTCAACAACCAAACAATCCCACACACAACAACCAACCCCAGGACCGAATCGAACAACGATTGCTTGAAATTCGACACCAGCCCAAACGTGGCCCATCTCCCGAGCCCCGCGAGCCAACCGTGAACAGCCAGCGACGTCTCAAACAGCCTCACGACCATTCCACGCAACAGAAGAAACACGCCATAGACAGCCACGTGAACTAGACTCCACACAGTCCAAACAACGGATTTCGCCAGGAAGGCGACGAATTCAAACGCGAAAAACACGGAAGACACCGAAAGAGCTGAAAAGTACATCACTTGCCCGCAGCTCCATCGCAGCAACGAGATCACTGTCAAAAGCCCGCCCTGCAAGCCACAAATGGTCGTATTCACAGCACCAACCACACTTGAAAAAACTGACGTGAATCCTTCCTTGAACCGGAAAAACGTTTGGGAGACTTCGGAGAAGCTCCATTGAAGTGCCTTGCTGCTAGCGAAAGATATAGCTATAACCTCTTCCCCGAATGTGCACAAGTCCTTCGCAAAGGCCTGAGATGCGTATACTGCGCCTCCTGCAAGGTTCCATCCTGTGACTGCCAATAGAGAGATGATCCGGAAGAGCACGGAGACGATGGCGGAGTTTATGCCGAAGATCGTTTGCAGCCATGATGTGACACCCAGCAAGAATGACTCAAAATAACCGGCGAGGAAACTCAAAATTTCGATCATTCCATTTCTCGCTACTTTTTCAAGAAACCCGTCTGAAAAAATGAAGATAGATCTAAAAGTAATCCAAGAAATGAAGATAAAATACACGCACAGTGAAAATGTTAAGTACTGGCAAAAAAAAAAACATTTGATCCATTTCCGCATGCAGTTGAAAGTTTGAATCAGCAAAAGCTCTCGATTCAACATTTTAAAATTTCTGAACTGAATGGTTTCTCTTAAAAATACACGCAAATTCTGAGGGGTTCATATTTTTCAACATTAAAAATGATCGAAACTTTGAAAAATTAGGCACCCGATTGAACGGTTGATCATAAGACAAATATACGAAGTGGTTAAAAGGTGGACCATAAATTGAAAAAATAAAACATAACGAATAATTCTTCTTCTCAACTGCAGGCGGACTAGGATCAATAGGTGATCAATCAATTTACAAGAGGTACCAGCAGGGTTCGCCAGAGAAAAACAATTTTATTTTTCACTCGAGCATACCAAGAACCTGGTTCAGATATTGAGCTCGACCGCATTTCGTTGACGGAGTTTCTTCAACGACTTCAGGCTCGGATTCGGACTCCGAGGCCTCTCCGAATCCATTCTTATTTGCTTTGGTACTCGCTTGCGGAATCTCAACTTGTTTTTTCCGTCGCAAATTCTGCCGCATGAGAGTTTTGATGGAAGATCGAGGGAAAACAGGAATGAAGTCAGTCAACTTTGATTCCTCTTTGTTCCTCTGCAGAATGGCAACCGGCGGCTTTTTCGATGGCTTCGCGGAATCCGGGTTCAGCATTCCATCAGGTGGTATGATCATGAGAACATTGGTGATCGGGCCTTTGTGTGGCAAGGTTTTAAGACACTGTCGACTTGAAACGGACCATATCCGAACGGATGCGTCTTCTGAACCCGACACGAGGGTTGCACCGTCTTCGGAAGTCGTCAAGCAAGATATTGAGCTGCTGTGACCGCTAAAACAGCTGGACTTTTTCTCATCGTCCCCCAGATGACGCTCTAAAACTCGAGGCTTGAAATTCAACAGGTATAGTGTAAGCAAAATTATTTCAGCCATTTTTCTCACATCCTTCAGTCCAAGAAATTACTGTACTAACAAATTCACAACAATTCTTTAATAAGCTTTCCCCTTCGTGTTCAACCCTTAAACCACTAAAAGCCAAGCCAATAATCATGATTCTTCGCTCTGACTTAATTTCAATGCCCGACCACCCACAATACCTAGGGTTAATTACGGTAGGTATTACAAGTATTTAGGTGTCATTTGAACGTCGTAAAAAGTTACAGGCTTTACAAGAGTCATAGGAATAATGATGCGAACAGACGTACAGTACTTTAAATTCTCGGCATTGAAGAAAAGGTTTGTGAATCTAAATTTGTTTCGAAGATGCATCGTCACTTCCCTCAGAATCCGTTAAAAGCTCCGTCGTACAAGGGACACAAAATGGAAAAAAAAAAAATCATCAGACATCTTCCGTCTGCGATTTTCATCGCGATTTTCCACATTTACTTCATATCATGTTTTCAGCATATATTTGTAATATATGATATACTTTATTTGTATAATATTTGTTCTTCCGTCGTGGGGAAGTTGATGATGAACTATATTAATGAATTGGGTACATTTTTGGGACACCCAATGAATATGGTCAGAGAATCTTGGGCAATATCAATTTGAAAATCTATTTATAATTTCCAAGAGTCGAAAATAGTTTTGTCGCAAATCTATTGTAGTGTAGATGCGATTCTATTGTCAAAACTTTCAGCAACAGACTCGAAAATAAGGCGAACGGAAGTAACGCTCCGAACTGAACATTCTTGTCACTCACCGGGTTTCTGAGATTCACGACGAAGATGGACCCATCTTGCCCACCGGCAAAAAGCGTGCTCTCCACCGGATCCACGCAAACACACATAATTCTCACATCGAAAATAACCGACAGCAACAATTGCCCACTGACGAGATCGAACACTTTGCACGACTGGTCCAAGGACGCCGTGAACACGCGGGCGGATGAGCCGCCTTTCCCGACCGCCACACACGTCACCGGCAAGGCATGATCAGCCCACACGTGTTCCGGACTGCAAGCTTCGTCACCGGCGGCCTCGTAACTTCCTGCCAGGGCTTCCGCAGTCGACCACACTATCACCAAGCTGTCGGTGCCTCCGGAAACAAACAAGCACCCGTCGTCTGTGAACTTTATTGAGGACACAGGTTGGTAGTGCCTGAAAATAAATTAAAAAAAAACGAAGCGTGATTCTCGGAAAATTAAAGAACGTCGAATCCGAAAATCATGATATACAAAAATATCAGCAGCATATCACCGAGATTTCACAAACCAAAAATATTACGGTAGAATATTAAGTTCCCCTGAAAAATATGCCCCACTATTTTGATTCAAATGTAATGCGCGTTTCTGGAGAAAAGTTTTAAATAAAAATAATATCAGAATGCGTCTTTCATTTGATGGCAGCCTAGATTCGCACGTGAACCTCACGTTTCTTTCGAAAAATATATATAATATCCAGCACAATAATGCAATTTAGCGAAGTATTAAGATCAGAATGAATTGACCAATTCATCCTGTCACATTGAAATTTGAAATCCGAATTCACTGGATTAAAAACTGTACAATTAGGTCAATACAAAAATAAAAGAACATTATTCAGGATTTTGTGAGTGAGTTTCAGCAATTTGCGCTACGCGAAGTAGGTGAGAATTTAGGCGCGTGAGTCGGAAAAAAACCGAGCGGGAAAATTCAGGAGAGATAAGAAAAGCAGTTCAATGACCCACCTTCGTATGATCGATTTGAGCTTGCCAGTACTCGTGAGCCAAACATACAATTTATCCTCAATGCCAGCGACGCAAATCTGTCCATCAGGAGATATTGCTAATGCAGTCACCACACCAGGCGTCACCGAATTCAGGCACAACTGATCCTGAAAAAAGATTACAATAAATCCGACATTTTTAAACGACAGAAAACTTGATGAGCTCAATGAAGAACGATTTTCTTACTCGCTTGTGAATTTCCCATAACTGGATCACAGGTTTACCGAGCTGGGCAGCGACTAAATAGTGGTCGCAAATCAAATGCAGCGTTTGTGGCGACGAAACTCCTCCCTTGTAAGTACTTCGACTTGATCCACTTTCAACATCCCATACACAGGCATTGAAAAACGGATTATTCATATCCGTCGTGAGTAGAACCTGTCAACAAAATGAAGTTTTGATACAGTAGAGTACATCCAATAAAAAATGAGTCGAAAACGCAAATTCACCTCTTTCGGAAACTTCATCTTGAATCATAGACCGGTTTCCTGCGAACACACAGAAAAAACTTCAAAATATTCACTTCCTCATGAACAAATATCCCATTAAATCAGAGATATATTTTGAACACAGCAATTGCTTTATACACTTTGAGACTAGAAAACGGCTCTCCGAGATCCTTCGATTACACAAGAATCACATGACACCAGATGAATCACACGGTTTTTCCAGCAGACGATGGACTTTCAAAGCTTCAGTGAATGAGACTAGAATTGCATCACGGCACTCGGTTCAATCAGACGAGGGTGTGTTCATAATCGAAGCATTTGATTTCCACATATATAGGGTTTTCACTTAGGGACAAGGCCGCGTGATTGCGGGTAAGCGGACGGAATCGGTTCCTTCGAAACTTTGTGCCCTCTAAAAGAGACAGAGGAAAAAAAAAGACACCCGAACATTATAATTGTTGAAGTAGACCACCGAACAATACGACCAAAAGAAAATAAAAGACCAAATAGTCAAATCCGATGTTAACGCGGACACATACAACTACAAAGGCTGTATCCAATTGTATCCATTTTCATCATTTTTCACGTTTAACACATGATTACGAGACGCTATTCTTTCACTTCGCTTCTAGAAAATCGAGGCACGTCATGAAATTCGCATGCAAAATGCTACCACACGAGGTAGTCCAAAAAACGGCTTAAAGTCCAGCCTCAAACTTCTGCATTATTGCATTACAAATTAATAGTAAATGAAAACTCATTGTCCCTGTATTTCTTCGCTGGTTCATGACCATGAATACGACACACTACAGTGATTCTCATTTGGGACTTAGAAGGGAATCTCGGATTAAACTATATTTTGAATAAATCTCAAATATTGGACAATATTTTTAGTGTAATTTTACATCGACATTAAAGTCGAAATAGTACAGTATAGGGCTAATATAGCTAACGACTTCAACGCTATGATTTAACTGAACATCAAGTAAACATTAGCAGTTTTCATTTAAATATCCCGCATATTCAGTGATAGTTTTTTTTTTATGAATTCAAGTAAGGTAATACTGTAATTAAATGGATCTTACACCGTATTCGCTTCACTACGGTTCTCCGAAAACTAGAAAACATTCACCGGTATTCTCAATCGACACTTGGAACGTACGAACCTGATTTTATTTTCTTTGCGCTTTCCGTGCACGCGCGATCCAAGCATCGAATGCAGCACCGGATTCGAGGATGCATCAATCTCAATGTCCCCTTCGCACTCTTGCAGAGCGGCATCTAAAGCTGCTTGGATGTAGGGAGACACGTTTGGTCCTTGCCAGTCCCGGGTCGTTCTTCCCACAGCTTCCAATGGCAGCGTCACAATATTCTCGCCCTTTAAACAAACGACGTTACAAGCTTGAACTCGAAGTCTGAGAAATGATAGAAGAAAAACATGTAACCTTGTAGCGGGCAGCGCTTCCTATACGCGAGTTCTGCTTCCTAGCGTGTTCCGACACTGGACGACGAGCTCCGATTGCGGATGTAGGTCGACGAACAGCAGCAGAGAACGTTTCCTCTTTCGCAACGGGTTTCAGCCTCCAAACGCCGGCGTCTTCGTCCCACTCGGCTCGAGATAGTATCTTCATCCTTTCCGCAGGAGGTACGAAGTTATCAACGATCACCTGATCATTCATTTATAAGAATAAATCATCACTGAAGAATGCGATCCACGCACGACAGCAAATTATTTTCCTTAGAAGTCTCACAAATCGGCAGATGAAAAGACCTAACGCATTGCTGATACTGTATATTCAGGTTAAGGATTAATTATAATCAAAGCACATACAAATTTTCTTTCTAGCCCAAGTCGTGTGCAAGGATTTTAATTTGAATGACTTCCTGAGTGGTCTGAAAGTTTAAAAAATTGAATTGAATAATTGAATAATCTACAAAAATGCAGATACTTTTGAAGCACTGAAATAAGGCTTCGACACCTTCGGGTACAATGGATCACGTCACAGAATTTCTTCAAGGATCCCAAAAAGCAGAAACAACAGCATTGTACTGAGAATAATGAAATGGAAATGTATGTACTGTATTTGCAACAAACGATGGGTCAATAATCACCTGTATAATTTTTAGAAACATTACGGGAAAGTTCCGAAGTTACGTTGGAGGATCCTCGCCGAAAAAAAATGCATGTGGATTTTCTCGAAGTTCTTTTTAATCAATGTTGGTACACATCAGAAGAGCGTGAAGTTATTTTCGGTCGAATACCCCACAATTAATTTGAAGCAGGATGACTTTTTTCAACCGATAAAAATGCTGTCAGTAACCGCCAGGCGTAGACCTTTCAAGAAACTCTTTCCACATAATCCGAATATTTCTGTAATCGACTTCTTACATTCAATTCTCACACGTCAACAATTATTACCCGTCGACGAGCCGCTAGATTTCTGCGACCTATATAGACAAATCATTGAGGACCCACGAAATTCTGAACAAAATCTTGCATAACAAACCTGGCTGCGTTTCAAATCCCTCGTGAATTGATTCTGCATGATCGTCAGCTCTTCTCGATCACGGGCACATTCAGTCTTCGTATCCGCCAATTCACGAGTTGAATTGGCAATCGCAGCGGCCAATTTCCTCGCTCTTTTCGTTTTTGCATCTACTTCTTGTCGCAAGGAAGAAAACGTTTCCTTCAACTCGTGCGCAGTTTCTTCTTCGACTTCCAGCCTCTGCCTCATTTCTCGTTCTTTCACCTTTACAAAAATCAAATATTTCTGAATTAAGAGCAAAATCTACGGACTCGGATGACTTGATCACGTAGAAACAATGAGCAGTACTACATCCGATATCTTCCGCAAACTGGAAAGAAATGATTTAGCGATAAATGAGCATCATTAAAAGAAAAATTAGCGGCAACAGTAGCGGAATGTACTGTACCAATGAATCCGAGGCATTAATTATCCTACGTAAAACTAATTTGAGAGATTATGACGACTAACTTTTTGGTCGGCAATCTCTTGTCGCTTGGCATCAAGTTGCCGCTGTTGTGAATCGGTGCGACCCAAAATGTCGGCTGTTTCTTCACCACCTGACAAGAGCTTCGACTGTATAGCAGCGATTCTCTGTTCAAGTTCTTTCCTTTCTTCGGTCTCCGCCTCCAACTCAGCAGCGCGACGTTTAACTTCTTCCAGCATCTTTTCTTTTTCCGATGCAATCAAAGAAGTATCTGCTAAAATTGCAGCTTTCTGCGCCTCGAGTCTTTCTTTTTCCTCTTCTTCTTGCTCTTCGGGTGTCTTCGTGCTCTTCTTCTTGGTCTTACGCGGTTTTTCTCCGCGCTGTGAAAGCGAGGCTTTCAGGCGAGCGATTTCTTCTTGGAATTCGCGCAGAAGAGCGTCTTTTGGATCCTCGTTGATTCTCGGCTTATTCTTTATTTCCTTCGCTCTTGAAGCGTAACGCAACGTGGACAAGGTTTCATCGCTGTTGTAACTCGCCGGTCCGATATTCGCAACCATTACAGTCTTCGCATTGCCGCCCAAGGAATCTAGTGAGAGTATCAATTCTCAAGCTCAATTTCACCCATACCGAGCAGTACATTACCGGAGAGCGATCTCCAACATACATTTAGATAATGTTTACAATTCAATAAATATGTCCGGTGAATAGACCGCTTGAGAAATTGCAGTTCGAATAGGAAAGGCGTAGAGTGTGTCATGGATTCATGAAATTCCCTCTATTAAACAGTTAAATAGAATCTTTCAAATAATATTGAGCAAACAAAAATTACAATTTACCAGAATTCCGACTAAAACTTCGTGAGCAAAAATTTACAACAGAAATAAAAAGTATCTGATTCGAGGGAAATTCAAATAATCCAAGACTGATTTTCAAAATGGATCCTGCATCAACAACAGGCTAACCAGAAAACCTAATTGATTTTCCGATTGTACAATCAAGCTTACCAAGAATTGTCCCTTTTGAAAATGATGGATGAATAACAGCAGTTCTTGGCAAAGAAATACTTCCCCGGGATTCAGGTACAATAATAAAATTAAGTTTTTTTTTTAAATTGGTACGAATCATCCGCCAGCATGTCACTTGCCAAAAATGTTAACAAAGAACAAAATAACCAACCTTGCAATAACCGAGTCAGTTTGGAGTCTTTGTAAGGAATGTAGGCGCTTTTGCCACTAGATAAGGCTGAAATCACATTTCCCAAAGCAAGGAGTGAAAGATTGATCATAGTAGCTTCCTTGAAGCGAGATCCCTAAATACGCGCGGAAAACGGCATTATAAGATTACAGAAGCCATCACAATGAGTGTAGTTTCCCATCTTACAGTTGCTCCAGTCTTTGATTGCCGTTCAGAACCCGCGAGGTCCACCAAATTCAGCTTTCCAACTCGAATATGACTTTCTCCGTCGACTCCAATTTCCGAACACTCCACCGTGACCATGAAAATCGCGTGGGAGCGCGAAGAGTGCTCGTTCATATCCGTAGCACTAAAGAAACACACACAGTTATGTGAGGAAAACACAAACAAGGCGCCATGAAAACCTACCCGACGGACCGATTCTTGTTCCCAACGTTCATAACATGGTCAATTTCTTGAACGCTCTTACAGACGAATGACGACAAGTTTTGAGCGTACACGCCCATGTCGGGAGATTCGCGAAGTTCTAGGAATTTGTTCTGGTCTTTGGAAAGGAGATCTCTGCCAGTAGAACACACAAAGATTTTCACAACATTTTTGGCAGTGAACATACATGACATACCTAACGTTTTCCATGTATATTTCCAGATAAGAAGCTCTCACGAGATACTGCTGATCCTGGGAACGAGCGATGTGAGAGAAAATGTGCTCAAAAGCGTTCGGTATAACACCACGTTGCTCATTGTCCCCTTTGATTCCTTTCGAAAAAGAAGTACAGATGTGAACTGCTGTAACCGAAATAATTGAAACGAGCAAACCTTGCATGGTATATGTTTTTCCTGTTCCGGTTTGTCCATAAGCAAAAATTGTGCCATTGAACCCAGCTAACACGGAGTCCACCAACGGCCGAAAGGATTCATCGTACAAGTCTGATTGCTTTGAGCTGCGTATCATCCATAAAATCAAAAACCTCACTAAATACACAGAACTATATTCATCGTAACACCAACCTGGCATCGTACACCGCATCGAACGTAAAATTGCGGGGGATGTCCTCACTTAATTCTTTCTTAGGGTTCTTCACAGTGACCAAGCCATCCGTCGGCGAAATCGTCACAACTCTGAAATTTCCCTGTTATTTTCTGATTTAACAAGAAACGCAAATCGCATTTACCTCTCATGCCCATCTTGAATTTCCTTTTCGCTCAGAGGCCGACTTCGGACGATAACTTTGATAGATTCGCCATGATGATCGCGCATGATTTTTTTTTTCTTGGATCAAATCGAGTTTTAACGTAAGAAAGTAACGCCACCGTTTCCTGGACAATATATAAAATACTCGTGAAGAAAGAGGCGGGATCACACGTGCAAACACGTGAGAACTTTAAAAGTTCGGTCGACTCACAGATGGCACTGGTTTCCGTTTGACGAGACGATAATCGAGCCCCTATTGCCCTCTATAGCGCAAATTCACCCGAACGTCTAGTGGTACGGTACAAGATCAGCATAAAAGCTACAGTATACAGGATGTATCTGTCCTAAGCCCAGATTCAATCACAAGCTCGACTTTGAATCGAGGTTTGTAATGGTACCCGACGCAGATTCTTGGACGAACGTTAAATTACTTCATAGTATTCATTCATATGTGGAACTAAACTGCGGAACGAAGTACTATGTACTATGAATGTCCTCGCCATTTATCTACATGACAAAGGAATCCACATCCACGTGGACAATGAATTCGTTTTCGAAAAAACTTAGGAATTCCTTGCATTTTATGAATCACATAGGATTTTGTGTTCGCTCAACACTTGAACCGAAATTCCTGATAACAGTGATGGATCATTGAGGGGACTCCTTTCACAAGTTAAGATCTTGTTTGTACAGTGGTTTCTTCTATGGTTTAAGAAAACAAACCTTCCATCTTATTCAATGAGCAAGATATATACTGTAATTGTAAACAATGTATAAATCACCACATGCATAATTTCTCAGCTCTTCTTACTGTGGCCTCTCCTTCAAAGAAAATGAACAGGATAATCTTGTTACAAAGCATTTGAGGCCACAAAAAGCTGTAGTTGAAAAAATTGGTTACAATGAAATAAAAAAAAAATCATGCTGGATATTGTATAGGAAAAGCATTTAGGAGCATTCATCAAGATTAATTGTAACAAATTTCTACGCGTGCAACAAATCCCATTTCCTATTAGTTCTCCCAATTACAGTTTTAAGTTTAACTAACAATAAGACCCATTTTTGAGCTGAGGAACTAAAACTTCCAGGTCTTGATTTGAAGCAGGTACCACGTCATGACTCCTGGGAAGTGTATAATGCAGATCCAACAGATTGAAAATTGCTGCAGCAGAGAGATATAGTGGCCCGAACTACCTGATGAGAATTCAGACTACTGCACCATTCACATCAGTGTGCATTAGCATGCAACCAACAGCAAAGCCAGAAATGTGTCTCAAGAAACAGAAAATAACGCAAGAAAAGTTAATGAACTAAAGGGGCATCAGTGAATGAAAACGACGCAACAGCAAGTTAGCAATAATGCCTCTCTTGATCATTTATTTTGCTTTTTTCAGCCGGAAACATGCTCTGGTAAGGTACAAGTGATAGACAAAGACAGCAAGAAAAGATAGAACCTTCATCTGTGGCTGCATGGTAAGACATTACACGGGGACAGCGTAACGAGATCAATCAACTTTGAATATTTAGCAGCAATCATAAGGAACATTTGCTCAAGAATAAGCACCAGAAAGGAGGGGGAAAAACAAACAAGTAGACACGGCAGGGGGAGATGATAGGAGAAACGATCAGCACGGCATCTGTTGTTGCTGCTGCTGCTGATCTAACAACTGTGGCGTTGCCATTCCCGGGACTCCCCCACCACCCAGAGCAGGCACCGCCATGATTCCACCACCTGTGCATCATGCAAAAACCAAACACCAGCACGTCAGAGATCAACAGTCAACGCAAAGCAATCCAATTCAGCATCTCTTCCCATTTGAAAAACAGATGAACTCAGTTTTCCAGTGCCATCTAGCATGTCATGTACCTGTGCGGTGCATCTATGCTGCTGCTCATATTTCTCCGAGAAAAAAAAAATGAGTCCCCGCGAGTAATTACCGAAGTCGACGAAATTAACCCTCCCGTTCAGACAAAACCTGCTATTAAAATTTAGTCAATGATATACTGTATACTCGGGGTAAGTCAAGCATCACAGCGATACGGTAGAACTCCGTATACCTGCGAAAATCACAGGTACCACTACCCAAATGATATGAAAAATGTCAACGCTTGCTTCCTACAAACGACGAATATTTCATGATCTGGAAAATCCGACATCACATCAATAAGGAAAATAATCAACCCAAAGAATTATTTGAACTACAGCGCACAGGCTTTTCTGTATAGATCAAAATTCAGACACTTGCGTCCTCGAAAATTCACTGTACTTCATAATTGAAGCTATCAAACAGAGAATGGAATCATGATAAAAGGCTATCTGATATAGTGTTCTTGCAAACTGGAACACAATTATGGGTCTTTCTCGAAGGAAGCAACGAGAGAGCGCACACGCACTTTTCACGGTACACGACACACTGAACAAGCACAACTTCCTCCAATTTTGAGCAAATATGACATGCTAATCATGCAACGAAAACAATTAACCAAGGCAAGTTCAATAAATAATACATAATCACGCAGGAATACACCATCATCAATATCATTATTATTCGACCCGTGACTGAGCGAGCAGCTATGCAAGCAAAAGAGCTCACAATAGCAATAACGATGAAGAAACGGATTTCACCCGCTCTGACACTAAAAACAATTGAAAAAAAAAAGAATCAATCTGACGAACAATAAAATAAATGGCTCAATGTCAGGGATAAAAAAATGTGGAAAAGAAATCGAGGATGAAGGACGTGGGTGGAGGGGGTCTTGCTTGGTGTACTCGAGCACACACAATCCGAAGGGTATGGACCAATCCATCAGACAAAAGAATGAACGGAGAGAAGGTAGGTCAGTTCGCTGGCTGGTCGTTGGCATGGGCTGATGTGAGAGTGGGCATGACCGGTAGACGCAGCAAAACGATTGGCATGCCTACTCACCACCACCGACTCCTCCTGACAATGTCGATACCAGGTTGGCTGGAGCTGCACTCGTCTTGCTTACAACAGGATCTATTCGGTCATAACAATCAAAATCGCCAATGGATCGATCAATCGTCAAGAATGTAAACAAAACACGGGGAAACTCACAAAAATAGGGATGCTCCATGGCTTCCCGGGCAGTGAGCCTCTCTTGGTGGTCATAGCGCAAAAGCTTGTCCAGAAAGTCCAATGACTCCGCGTTCACAAGGTGCTCGTTTTCCGGATGTCGAAATCTTTCCCACCGTTTTCGTGAATGCCTGGTTAAGACGTGTTACACTTGTATCATGAGGATATCACTGAAGAAAGCCATTCCTCACCTCCCAAGAATATCATTGAATCTTGGGTCCAGCTCAATCTGATACTTGTCCAGGTACTCATACAGTTCCTCCGTGCCCAGAACCTTACCTATCCGCACGAGCTGGTCGTAATTATCGTGTCCATGGAAAAACGGCTCTTTCCGAAAGATCATGCTCGCGAACATGCAGCCCAGTGACCACATGTCCAGTGAATAATCATACATTTGATAATCTACGAGCAGTTCGGGTCCCTTGAAGTAGCGCGATGCCACGCGGACGTTGTACTGCTGCCCTGGATGGTAGAACTCGGCCAGGCCCCAATCGATCAATCGCAGTTTTCGATTCTCGTGATCGATCATCACATTATGGGGCTTTACGTCGCGGTGCATGATACCCATGCTGTGACAGTAGTCAAGCGCCTGAAGGTAAACATCATCAAGTCACACTTACGAAATCCATCCGAAAATTCCACGAACACACGCACCTTCAGAAGTTCGTACATGTAGTACCGAATGTCGAAGTCCGTCAAAGTTTGATACAGCTGCTTGAAGTCCGTGTTGTTCACGTGCTCAAAGATCACAGCAGGCGTGCGAGACACCGGGTCCTTGACGACAGCCTGCAGGGATATGATGTTTGTGCCACCACGCAGGTTCTCCAAGATCTTGATCTCACGTTTAATTTTCTTCTTTTTCACCGGCTGCAACAAACATTAAAACGCTGACATTGTTGCAATTCGTAAGGTAAAATTTTTCCGATGACGCGGCTTGTCACATTCTCACCTTTAGAATTTTAACGACACACTTGTCATTGTTGGTTATGTTTATGGCTTCGAACACCTCACTGTACTTTCCTCGGCCGAGCTTCCTAACGAGCTGATAATCATCTTGTTGCCCCCACTCGATTACATGGCTCTCGTAATCCCAATACTCGCGGGGACGGTGTGAGTTCACGTCAGCATAAATTCGCGCACGTGAAGGCAACGGCATACTCGGCTCCACCGTGTCACTTTACAGTAAAATGCCCAGGAACCGCGACGCACGAATCCAGGGCACACGTCGGGCTAATCCGAATTTGTCGCCAGGTTATCACCTTCACATGCGGGAAACAGTCTCCCGATTCCTTCACGGAATGAATTTTGATAACTGATCCCTAGTCGTAAAAAGGAAACCGAGTTTCACGGGCATCCAAACCGTCGAGTAAGAGATCCTTAATTTCATCAAACAGATACTACGTTCTCAGTAAGTCATCTCGCCAAATCCTAGCAAGTTCCAGTTTATAATATTATTCAGCAAATACCGAACTGTAGAAATCCGGGTCCTACCTTAATCAAATCGAAGGAATCGTTCGCTCAATCCGTCAAACAAACGGTTTTGAAACCTACTGGTTAACCCTTTCGGTAGGTGGTGAACCTTGTAGTACACTAGGCCACGGGTTTAGCGTACGCTGTTATACTTACGATTTTATGAAGAAGTACTGTACTCAGTGCACTACTGGATTTTCTGAACCCTTCTAGAAACAAAGCTCAGCACAGATACACGTACTGACCAACGGAGATTTTCATGAGGGCATTATTGAAGTAATTTATGCGAATGAAGTGATCAGTTACATACACAAGCGTCATTTATCCCACATATACAGTATACCTAAATACAATGCAGCATTGATTGCTTAACATTGCTGCATATCTGCTGCTCACATGAGATGCTATATACAGTATATAAACTTTTTGTATCATGCTGAAATTAATTACGTTGAATTTTCATTTTTAGAGACATTTCTTCATGCCCACTTTTCTATAATTCTTTCAAGATATTCCACCTTAGCTGCATTGTTTCTTAACTCAATTTCTTTTTTAAATAGCAGAAACTTTTAAAATACAGTATACCTGGCATGAGGTCTTTCAAATACATATTTTTTGCATCTGCAAACATTTTAGAAAACTTTGCTGGTCTGCAGAAAAATTTTGAGAAGTTTGCTGGTCTGCAAAAAAATGTTATGGAAATTTGTTGTTCTGCTGGCTGAAAAAGCGTAGGGAACACTGCTGCAAACGGCTTGTTTGAAAAGTTTTTGAAGAGGATTATGTATACTGTGTATTCAGTACAGCAAATGCACTGTACAGTGTATACATATATATATATATATATATATATATTTATTTATACAGTATATGTATATAGACATAATGAATTCCAAGCACAGTATATATACGGTGTATCATGCAGAGATGCTGTTATGTTTTCAAAACCTTTGCTTAAAATTTTTTACCAGCATGAATTGCTTGAAGTACATATAAGGTTTAATTAAGGTCTTTAGATGATGGTAGATGGTTTGCGATTTTTTGAAACATATGAAAATGCTGTCATTTATATTAGGCCCCATGCAGCATACAGCAAAATAATGAAGGAATTAAAATTACTTTATTTTGCAGATAAACATACGCAGTATTCTATTATTTTGAACTAACACAAAACTCGTCATGATAAGGGAACATTTTTATTTTAAATTCGGGAACACTGAAAACCGCGCGCGTTTAATTATATTCCAGATACAGTATATTCGAGTTTTAAATTGAATATATATATAAACAGTATTATATTTATGCATATATATATGTTGCTACAAGGGAATGTCATCAGCCACATACCGCCTGCGGGCAAAAATAAAGCAGATAACAGAGCGTATTAACACAATTTCCTGATCAGCAGCATAGATCACGTTTTATTGACTTGTACGTATTTGAGGGATGAAACGTCTTTCCCACAGCAGAAGTCTGCTGCTGATAACACATACACTCACACTTTTCATCCGTTTCTTTTCTGATATTAAGATTTTCACTTTTTATTACATAGTCATCTTCGTTTGTACCGAGACGAGCCATTTTCATCAGTGCTGGGGCTGACATATACTTTACATACTTACTGGAGAATTTCCTTGCAATGAAGCTAGTGTTTGATGTGACCTTTACAAAAATTACGTTTCGAACGAAAAAAATCGTAATAACGAAATTAAAATAACATTGCGGCTATATTGATGGACAGGGGCCAAGAACTAAATTTATTGTGAGCAATACACAATTTGTTCTAAAACGCGATTCGTTGTATATAACAAAAGATATTCTACCGAGTACACACTTGTATATATAGTGGAGTGATCAATCATGAAATGGTACATGGTGCTTCTGATATGTAAGAACAATAATATATACAAACTTCCTTGGTGAAATGAAACTTGTCAATATTGGAATATTATTTTCAGCTATGCTCTGCTCCTGTTCAATAAGCACCAACACTGAAGTAACCAGTGCATTCTCAGCAGTTTTGAACTGGTGCAAGACAGTGCTGATATCCAATCAACCTGACCATATCTTGCCAACCCTATCAAGATCATTGTTAAGTCAAAAATTTGAAAAATTCTGGACTGTATTTATTCCCAGAATTGAAAAAGTGTTTAACTTTGCAGATACTCCACAAAAGATGATCTCATTCATGCAGTTTTGAAAGAAGACTTACAAGAAACCTTGAAAAAAATTCAGAGCAACTTCTTGGTTGCCTTGAGAATTTTAAAATTCTCTCTGGATCTTGTTCAAGAATTTGGAAACTCTCAGAACTGTGAGTTCACCATTCCAAGCCTTAAAAAGAACTATAAAAAATAAATTATTACATTGATCTTTTTTGAACAAAGAAAATCAGTATGAATTTAAATTGGACAGCATTTTTTTGCAGTAACAATAACATGGACACAAGAAGCGACAAAGCAGTTTTCGAAAATCCAATTGATGCTTACCAAAGCTTACATGATCAATTTGATGAAGCTGATTGAAACCCAATCAATTTACAATATGCCGACCATTGGCATGATCAGCGGACGATTTCAGGATGCCAACTTCCGAAGCGGTGAGATAAATATTAATTGAGACATAACATAATTCATATATAAATAGAAACCTGAAAATCTTCGCTTCCCGATTTTAGTTTTGACTCCAGGGGTGATGGCAGATGTCGCCCGAAGAGCTTTGAAATCAACGCAAAACGGAGACGCGCAGAAAATAACGCCAACTTTTCTTGTTAAGCAGACAAACGCCCATTTTTCAGCAAGTGTGGATTGGGCATTTCAGGCATTCAAACACAGTAAACTTGCGGAGGCGAAAAAACATTGGTCTCTTTTACTGAAGACGGTGAAACAGGTTCGTCACAAATACATTTCGAATGTGTATCGTTTTGTCAACCTTCGTCGTTGTATACTGTATAGCTGCCAACTTATTCAAGGGATATGGATTTTTCTTCTGCGAAACATTTGACAATTTTTTTCCAATTTTTTACACGCAATAAATTCTTACTCACTCGGTCGAATTCGGAATGAAGAGAATAAGGCGCTAATATAAATGCAACCCATATTACTGAAAAGGAAAGACATTATTGCAGTAATGACGAGTTAATAAACAACGCCTTTAAAAAATACAGAGCATCACAGAAGAAAGGTTTTTTTGGAATTTCTTTAGCTGCATTCAATAATTCAGCAAATTTTTCTTCGAATAAACAGTATTTTGTGGGAATGGATATTATTCCCATGTACAGTACTTTTCGAAGGACATCCAATTGATGTGAATGCTGAATAAATTAGTGGCTTTGAAATAAAGAATTTTACTTTTATCTTCTTATTCAAGCAAATCAGATTATTAATTAAGAGAAGTTTACGGATGGCTAACGTTTTTCGCAGCATTAAAACAAAAAAAATTCCCACAAAATTGCCGCCTTCGAAGAGTTTAAAATTGAGTCTCAAAATAACAAAATATTTCCCCATATCCCATGAGAGTTTGTTACAACGATATTTTTACAACAGTATACTGTATTTAGAGCAGAACACAACTAAATAGAAGGGCTCCAATCTGCTGAAATTTACCAGGGATATTTCCAGCACAATTCATTTTCATTGTTGCTAGCATAAGATTAAAGGATAATAGCGGAGAATTCAGCAGTGTTTAAAGACTGAGACCTACAGTATTTATGCATCAGATTATCAAATGATTACGGTATAACCAAACACAAATGTTCCTTGCTCAATCTGCTGAACGCAAAATTTTTAAATCTTCACTTACCAGCAGCAGTATATAAAATACACGAGATTCCTGAAAGATATTTTTGTTAGAAATGACTCCGTTATGATCGGGAACTTCTGCCCTGATGAATATTTTGATGATTTCAACGTTTTACTTATTCTAATCATCCTTCTGGGATTTTCCGCAGCACGATGAGCACTGGAGAAAATTCGCCGATGAAAGACAGCGACACGAAGCTATCAAAGAAACCCAATTCTTCTTCAACACAACGATCAGTGAGTTGACCATGAACGAGCTCGGTTCATTTTCGGAAACACATACCTTGGATGAAAATCAGAACAGGGATTTCCAGGGGGAACATTTTGCCAAAGTTTGTCGTCAGTCTCTGAAGGTTCGGATTTCTTTCCCATTTTCTCGAATTTTTTTTTCTTCAAAAATTTAAAGGATTCATTTTTACGAAAATCCCCAGAAGGACTTTTCCATGCGAGAAGATGCGCTTCACGATCCCGATCTCCTTTGTTGGTTGGACGACAAAGGATCCACCTTCGGCAGGTTGATGGAACCCATCAGGGTTGAAAAGATGCATTCAAATCCAGATCTCATCATCTTTCACAACGCCTTCTCCAGCAAGCAGTGCGACTTGATCATAGATGAACTTGAAAAAATGGAACAGGTACCCGGGGTATGCAACCCATATACGGTACTGTACTGTACTATTTATTCCTTTTAAATTCTAAATGAAATAATACAGTGTAACTTCTTTGTAATAGGACCATTTCGGGCCACACAGGCCTTTTGGTCATCATATCAAGCAGCTGCTGCTGTCCTCGTAACAGATTTTGTTGAAAAATGTACTGAAAATCTATTTTAATAACAGATAAATCAGCAGTAATACAAATTCAATAAAAATCAAACAATACCTCAAATGATAATGAATAAATGCATCATCTGTCAATATCGATTGACTGGAAATACTGCAGTACTGCATAAAATTCAGCATACAGTATTTTCAACAACAGTATCCTCAATAATGCAGTTAATTTCAATTTTATATAGTGGGCAAGCAATTATGGTAGAGATGAATTATTTATGCAATACAGCTATTGCCTGGATTTACTTCACTGCATAAAATGCTTACAGTATTTTCAATAATGCAGTTAATTTTAATGTTATTTGGTGGGCAAGCATTGATGGTATAGAGATGAATTATTTATGCAATATAGCTGTTGATTGGAAATACTTTACTGCATAAAATGCATACAGTGTTTTCAACAACAACAGTATTTTCAACAATGCAGTTAATTTCAATTTTATATATAGTGGGCAAGCAATGATGGTAGAGTGGAATTATTCATGCAATACAGCTATTGACTAGAAATACTTTACTGCATAAAATGCTTACAGAATTTTCAATAATGCAGTTAATTTTAATGTCATTTGGTGAGCAAGCAATGATTGTATAGAGATGAATTATTCATGCAGTATAACTGTAGATTGGAAATACTTTACTGCACAAAATGCATACAGTGTTTCCAAACAACAACAGTATTTTCAATAATGCAGTTAATTTCAATTTTATACACAGTGGGCAAGCAATGATGGTAGAGTGGAATTATTTATTCAATAGCTATTGACTGGAAATACTTTACTGCATAAAATGCATACAGTATTTTCATCAACAGTATTCACAACAATAACATTATTTTAATAATGCAGTTAATTTCTATTATATATAGTGGGCAAGCAATGATGATAGAGTCGAATTATTTATGCTCGCTCGTAATACTTTACTGAGCGAAGGTTCTTTTAATTTTATTTGGCCAAGTACTGTATTTTGTTAAAACGCATAAAATATTTTCTCAGAAGTGAAAACTTTCCAGTTACAGCGGCCAGAGGTCTTCAGCCATGTCACAGGCTACTAAACATTCGTCATGCTAGCTGAAGATTGAATTTTTTTTTTGAATCGTCAACTATTGAAATGCAGAGAAAAAAATTAGAAAAAGAAAATGTCAAGCTTTTCTTGTCGAGTCCAACAGGGACAACCCTGGTACATGGCTTTCACCGCTCAAGTGTGCAAAGAACTTTTCTTATGCCAATTACGTTGATTAATCATCGAAAAAAATTGAAAGCTATAACTGCAAAAATTGGAAAAGATAAAAAATCAGGCTCGAACGAAACCCACACTCTGTGTAGAAACTTTTTCTGAGCTGGTTAACCAAAATAAAACATTTCCATTTCAAAACGAAGGGCGCAAGGCGGTCAACAGTGAACCAAGGGAAGCTCTACGCAAGTCAACGAATAAGTTCGACAATTTCGGAACACGATATGAATTTTGAACAAAAGCAAAGATTCCTAGGATACACGAATCCATCCGCAGAAAAAATCAGTGGATGGAGCTTAGATGGATCTGAAGCCTGGCAAGCAAGTTATCCATGAATTCTAGCACTCTTCCACAAAATAACTTGATAATTATTTTTCTTTTTTTTGTGGACTAGGTGCAGTTTTACGAGTCAGGAGAATTCTACGGCCATCATCGAGACGCTTTCTCGGACTTGAATGCATCAATTCCAACAGTTGAGTTTTACTAGCTATATCCAAATACCGTATTAACTCAAATCAAATTTAGGACATATTTTAATGACATCCGATTTTTTCAGCATCAGATGATTCGGTTGATTTTAATATAGCGCTTTTATTATTACCAGCTAAAATCCCTCAATGGCTTCAACAGTCAATGATTTCATGCACCCTTGAACTAAAAATAGTGGTGACATTAGCACAATTGCAGTTATTGAAAATAACAAATGTTGATCACATTTTTCCATAAACTTCAATATTTGAAAATCTTTTGATTGTTCAAAAAAATTGCAAAAAACACTTCCGAAATTTAATAAAAACGGTTAATTTTATGACATAGAAGACCACACTTAATTCATCCTCTTCACTTGCATGAGCCCAAAGGGAAAAACAACTAGCCTACCTGTTTAAAGTTCACAGGAATACACATGAAACAAGCACTAATTAGCAAATTCATGGCTATGAATTAAAACGGAAGTCCTGTACATTTGAAAATAGAATCAAGACACTTTGTCAGTTAAATCAACCACATATCAGGGCAGCACTGCATGCTACTTACTCTCTTGCAATTGTAGGAATCTGAATAAACTACCGTATTTACTCAAGTACCACACACCCTCAAGTAAGGCTCACACAGGGGTTTTTCAGTTGGAAATTTGGCTAAAATCTTACACCCAAGTAAGACTTGCACCCCAGTTTTTAGTGAATCTAAAACCACAAAATTTTGAAAATAAATTCAAAAAATTTGACTTTAGAAATGAATTGTACAAAAATTGGATCAATTTTCAACTTTTTCAGTACAAAAAAGTTTTCTTGTTACATTTGTTCAAAATTTCTCCATTATTATCAAGTACAATGCACACATAACTTCTTAAGATTTCTTGAAAAAATTGTACCTGCGCATGCTTATGACATGCACCCCTTTTTTTTCTTCTGAAATTTGAGAAAAAAGGTGCGCTTGGTACTCAAGTAAATACAGTATCTTAATTTTCTCAAGATAATAAAAAAACCTACGCGTCACAATCAATTAACGACAATTTTTAAGCAACTGTTGTTTGAAAACTCCGTTATTTCTTTTTTTTTCAGTCTCCATGGGTATCAAACAGGGGAGCAACTTTCCTCATCTACGTGAGCATATTTCAACATTCCAACACTACCAATCATATAGTTTCAGAAGAATGACCGGACCTAAAATAGAATGCAAGGCATTCCTGCGGAAGTTTTAAATGTGCTGCACTCAAATATCGACGTGAAAACTAGTGTACATTGTCTGGTACAGTACTGTGCTTAATTATTGACGGTGTGATAATTACTCGGCAATTTCATACGAGACTTAGTCGACATCGAATGCAACCTTATACAGTGCAGCTTCCTGGAAATTTTTGGTTTCACATTGGAGTCCATCCGAGTCACTGATGATTCTGCTAACCGATACATTGAAACGTTTTGCGAGCGTGACTTATACTGCACTGATTTTCATTCAGTGGAATTTTCTGAATGAGTACATTACAATACACCACGACAGAAAAAAAGTCATCGCCCCACCTACGGTAGATTTAACCATCGGTAACTTAAATCCCTATACGGTACTTTACTTGACATACCGCACCAAGGAAGTTCTTTCTGGACTTCACGGTCATTCATCTTGATCAGCAATTGGAAAAATCATCCACGAACGCCATTATTGGACAATCGAATTGCTTATTCGGAGCTAATGCTCACGAAAAAGTGCGCCTCATATTCGAGTAACAAGGGTATTTTCTACGAGTACTTCCATGAAGTAATTGAGTATAAGTCCCTTATCTGCTGCAAGTTAAATGACGTGGAACTCGGTGGGGCAACGGCCTACCCGGAAATCGGGACGTTCATCAAACCAGTCAAGGGTACAGCAACTCTAATGGTGAACCACAACCCGGATGGTACAATTGCCCAATCTATGACTCACGGAGGATGCCCGGTGGTCTCGGGTGTTAAATGGGGTAAGTTTCCGCGCCTCATCAAAAATGATTTCAGAACGCACAGAAAGGCCATGCTTAATAGGCTTTCGCAACTCAACCATGACCATCCGAAAATAAATGCCCTCCCTTTTTACCTTAGTTTAAAATTTCGTTGTACTCGATTTCATGAGCAGTTCTACTGAGAACCATAGTAACTCAAGTAGAACCCATACCTTCTTTCTGAAAATACATTGAAGTCCAGAAAGCTGGTTGCATGCCTTGCATCATTGGAAACATTACGGTGCATGTATATTAAAGTAGGTACAGTATTACTTTTAAATATTCAAAAAGCAAGGAATATGAACATTTTAAAGCAAAAGAAAAAAAATTTACTCATTTTTTTATCTGGCCACGTTCTTTATTTTCATACCTTCTTACATCCAGAATTGAAACCTGCATCTCAGCACAGCAGTCATTAATCCTACTTTACATTCACTACATTTTTCAAGCTGGCAGCCAATGCTGTTTAAATTATTTATTAAAAGATGGATAAAAAGTTATGTCGCCCCACCCATAAAAATGCTAGTACGCTTCTGGTTGCATACATAGAACTGAATATGGTCACACTACCTACAATGATTTCCCATTTCTGCAACGTGGCCAAGGGATTTCTACATCCCTGGCCCACATAGTTGGGCAGTAGTTTAGTACAGTATTTGTTTCCATTATTAAATTCATGAAAAATAGTGTGAACGCCTCAACGCCTTTTGTATGAACTTTTTTCTACAAATTTTCTGCGAAGTCGAGGCTCGCAGGTTACTCGAGATTCGATGCCACCAAGTGTACAACTCAGTAATACATGTGAATACCTCTGTGTATTCGTAAAAGATTAGATATTCGGAATCACTCACGAAAATTAAATCCAAGCAGTGAATAGAAAAAATCTGATGCTGATTTACTGACGAGTTCCAACAGCATGGTCCGAGCCATTGAAGGTAGCATTTACTTGCATGTCAAGAGAATCGGGCTAGAAAATGATTATGAACAAGCCTACATTCCCAAAGAAATTGCGCTTCCCCGATTTTGCAAAGCAAATTCGGAGGCAAACAAATATTTGTATTCATGTAAAAGCTGCACGCAATTTCGCCAGCAAAATTGCGGAAAGATGTTTGACAATAGTAAATTAAGGTTTTTCTCGAATTCAATAATTAAGAAGGATTAGCAAGAACCGCACCTTCACGGCTGCATCCTCGCAAAATGAAGGAAATCAGTTGGTAAGCCTATGAACCTGCTAGTGCGAAAATGGACACTGGATGAAGGAACGACCTCTTGAACAAAAACCATGTCCACCGGACATACATTATGGTAGGAAACTTCACCTTGGAAATTCCACGCCAGTCCCCCGAGTAACTCTTCAAAAGACGTACAAAATAACAATACTGTATGCCCGTATTCCACAGTGGGAGTGAAATGGCTGCACGGTCCTTCAAAAGACGGAGGCGGAAATCGAATCAATGAACCTTCGCAATAGAGAACCGAACGAAAGGACGATTTCGAGCAAGCATGTGTAGAAGAAATTGATATTGTATTGAAATGAGAAAAAAAAACGACGTGAATCTACGGCTCTGAGTAAAAATCCGGACGGTGAAATCTTACCATATTTTTACTGCACTACTGTACGGCAACGCGCGAAAGTCCGCCTGGTGTAGTAGGAAATGAAAAAAAAAAAAAACCGCGGTCAACCGTGCGACGGTGAAAAAATTCTCGAGTAACAAAAAAGGCATTCTGCATTCTCAACATCCAGGTGACTGTAAGATCTGGTCATGAATTATCTTTCAAGAGAAAAATCCGCATCCCACCAATTTGGGCCTGCCTGCCTCCTCGCGGGGGGCTCGAGAGAAATACAAACGCCTCGTCCGCATTCCGTGAAAAGAAAAGGGGGAAAAGCGTCACATCTCAGATCAAGCACTCATCCACAGATTACAGAAAAAGGAAGGCGGATACTCTCGACTTGGGACAACTCAACGTCCGGTCTCCCACACGATATAAACCTCAAATCCCGTCAAAACTTAATCGATGCGTAAAACGCACGTGCGACTTGAATTGCATCATGCGCGAGACCGACAACGAAGAACTGAGGAAACGAACGCAACGTCATAATAATCACAATATACACGAAAAAACAAATGCACTGACCGCGAGATGCGGGTATAACGCGCAGTGGGACCAAACTACTAGAGCAACGAATGACAAACCCCCCATCCGAATGAATTCTCGGATTATACAAGTATTCATACAGGGTGCTTCGCAGAAAAACTTCCGTTAATTCAATCGTTTTCAAGGTCCAACATTTCGCGAGATGAGCTGCTCACTGATTTGACTCACGCTCTTTGCACTTACGACTTTGGCATCAAAGTGAACTTGCTCTTTGGGAGAACCTCAAAAAAAAGATCTTAACTCACGAATAAATTTCCAAAATCAGCGGATTGTCTTGCTAAAGAAAAAAATAGGTCAAAATATGAGTTCGAATAGGACAGCGATCCCTTGACAATTTGTGAATCCTTCGATTAGCTAAAAACTTTCGCGTCATCAAGAAAATGCACCTACACATTGACTGAGACTCAAGAGGAGAGCGTAGCCATTTCCGTTCCAACCGTGAGTACGCGAGCGAAAGGATTCCTCGTGAACACCCTGTACAAATGCCTTGCATAACCAGGGATTTCCGAAACCCACGGCCTCGCTCTGAAATGGCAAGAAGTAGAAGACCCCAGGCGAGGCTCTCTCTCTCTCAGCGACACAGAAAAATACCACTCTTCCCGTAGAATCTCTCATCCGACTCACTCAACCCAAATTAATCCTCATCCTCTTCTTCTTCTGCGGGTCAACAAGGAACAAAAGAAGGACCGGGCGTTGAGCCCGCTTCAGGCGAAGTACATAACCTTGGCAGCGTCGGCATGGATCTTGACTGCGCGGGCCATGGCGTGCGGGTTGCGGTCCTCGCTGCCGCCGGAATGGTGCGAACCCTCGCCCGAGTCGTGGTCCTTCTCCACCAGATGGTAGCGGGCGCGGAATGCCACAAGGTGGGCGTAATACGCCGGCGCCGGCACGGAGACGGACCGCGTGCACCGCACGTACGTGTGGCACAACTGATAGGTCAGTTGTTGCAGCTCGTCGGAGTCAAATCTGTTGTCGTCCCAAAGGACGTGATAATGCGACGGACGTGATGTTCCCTGTTTAAAGCATACGAAAAAGAAAGAATAATGTAAATGATATTTCCAGCAGCGATATCAGAATTTTGGTACAAGCTATTCAGTATCCTCAAATTTCCGACAACTTAAATTAGAAAACAAAACAACCATGTAGAAAAACGGACGGTTTGCGAAAACCGATGAGAAGTTTTCCATTAACCGAACATGAGGTGACTGAAAAACGGACCCGAAAATTCAGCAATTGAAAATGAGCAAATAAGCCGGCTTCGAACAAGGCCGCAAATTCCTCATTAGAATTTTCCTTTTTTTGTTATTTCTCGAGTTCGGGGAGACTGGAAACAAGGATGTGAAAGTGAAGAAACCAGGCGTTGGAAGAAACGATATGAGGAACCAAATATGAAAAAATTTTCATTTTCTGTAAATTGTTTCAAATTTCAATTACTGTTTACATGGCAGAACATTTCAGAGACTCGTCACTCAATAGTCGATATCACTTATAGTATTCGGCTAGAATAGAAAAATGAAACTTACCTGGATGCCCTGATGCGAGCACAAGTAAAAGTCGAATTCGGTCGGATGGGTGATGCCGACATCAACCGTGGTTCCGGCAGGGATATTTCCTGACTTACCGACCATGTCCTTACGGTCGGAGCAGAACAACCTCGTGTGATGTCGCTTTTGAACGACGATGTATGTAATGCCAGGTCTGTAGTCGCTTTCAAGTTTAATGCAAGCCTCTCTAATCGAAGTCAGCTCGTGATGCAGGACCTGAAAATTACAGAAGCTATATCAACCCAAAACTATATCTTCCCCATCGCACTCGCGATTTACCCTAATTACTGCACTCGATTGATTCTATCTATATAGTTAATTGCTCTTCAAACGAGAGGCTAGCTATGAAATGTGTGCGACACCTGCCCACTTCCTAAGTAGGGCGATCGGGGATTGGGGCGAATGAAATATTTTACAATACAGAGAAGGATGAATTTCATCAACAGAGCCTCTAATCTCGCCGGAGGTCTTGGATAGCAAAATATACTTGAAACATGAGTTATCACACGAACTTGATATGATCAAAAGATGAGAATGAAATACAATAATGCTCTCAAACGTGCAACGAAACATTGCTTTCCATTATTTTCATGATCCCGATGGTTTCGAGGTCATTGGAAAATATTATTGCGAAGAGGTTTACGAAAGTGTAGAAGTTTCCGCAACTGCGAGCGTTATACAAACGTACATTTTGGAATTGCCCCTCTGAAACAGCGTCACGGTAAAATATGATCCTGTTAGGCTTGAAGTGCGTGGATTTGTAGAATTGCACCAGCAACTCCGTCACCATAGATGTGAGTTCCTGGATGACCTCCTGTCTGTGTTGCTGCACTCGAACGGTAGCTGCGTAGCGTGACGGATGGCCATCCATCGAACCCACCACAGCCGCAATCGATGGTTTCTTCGAATCCCCTGCCGGAGGGTGAGTCACATCGCCTCCCATGAAGATCACGGGTTCATGGAACACCTTTCCAAAAAAGGTGGAAAATTAGAATTCAAGAGCTTGCTCCTCAAATTTCCGCTGGTTTACAAGGAATGGTTTCACAAACTACGTTCATTTCATGATTCCAACAGAATTTTGAAAATTTCATTTCGATGCCTGAATTCATGCCTCGTTCACCTAAAAGGCCCTACATTTTCAAGGATGAAAACGACATACTTTTCGTAATCTCAAGACGGATTCTTCTCATTCAAAAACTAGAAATAAATACGGTACATCCAGAAACTTGAAATACATTTATAATATAAAATTATCTATTATCTTCAGCACTTTCTTTTTTACTGAAATGAGATAGTCAAACATTTTGAACTTATCCACTACCCTAAGTACGTTAGTTATGAGATCATTCATATTCTGGAGCAAAATAAGAAATTCCCGGCGTCGAGTGGTCATTAAAAACAACGCAGTGCGTTACTCTTGAACTTAATCCTCTTTTAACGCTGTAAGCTGACAAAACATAACCTCAAGAATCTTCCCGGGTAATTTTCAGAAAGCGATAATAGCTCACCTTCGGGCGGACGGAGGGCATAAGAATGGCGTTGACTCCACCGAGTTTAACGTTCATCTTTAAGCACAAGTTGGAGAGCGTCTGAGCAGACGGCTTGTTCACGTTCTTCGCCTGCACGCACTGAGTGGCCAGTCCCAGAACTGTATCACCAACGCGTTTAACTTCAGCGTACACTGGGGTCTTTCCGGGCAAAATGACGATCACCAACTGTAGCCCAGGGAACTGGCTTTTCAAAAACTTGAACATAGGCTCAACCTAAAAACAAAATACAATAGTCATAAATATGGCCGGTTTCTTGCTACGGTTATGAAAAACGGCATGGTTTTAAAAATATCGGAGATGCGTCGCCTCAATCTAGACCAATTCAACTTAATAAGGTTCTCAGGATGATGTATCAAGCTATTCGTAAAACCTGAACAACGGGTGGGCTCCAAGATACGGTAAAAATTAGACAAGTTATGTCCATAACTCAATGTGGAGACGAAGGAGGGAAGTTTCAATTTTCAGGACCAAATGAAGAGCATTTATTACATAAAGATTACGGCGAAGGGCAATATTTACTCACCAAGGTTGGAAACTTCTGACCAAATTTGAGAACTATGGACGCCAATTGAAAATATAATCAAGCAGAAATTGGGAAACCCTCCCGTACTGACGTTTTTCACGAAAAGTTGTTATTCATCATTCCGCATACCTGATCCGGGCCGGAAGCATATTTGCAGAACGACGGGGAGGAAGTGATGGGCATGCCAGCATCATTACTGATCTTCTGAATCTGTTGGGTGAAGGTTCGCAGCGCCTCCTCGCGCACCATCTTAGGTAACGAGAAGCAAGCGATAGCCCAAACACGAATCTCCACGCCGGTGAAAAACTGCTTCCCACGCATGTCCCAAACGCCCTGATTTGGCAGCGCCTGGGTACGCGATTTCCCGCCATACTGGAGCTTTGGTGGCGGCAAAACACGCCCGCGAACCTCCATCATTGAGGACGCAACCGAGAGCCCAAATTCCTTGAGATACGGGTCAGAGTTGAAAGAAGCGCGGCCCACTAGGGTGTTGATCTCTCGTTCGCGGTCCGGCGCATTGCGCGCAGTCGCCTTGATCATCGTCGACGTTTGTAGATCTGTCAGTTTTTTGATGCATCTTTGTCCTGCTTCAATCTCGCACACCTGAAAAATGAATGCATCAACTACAGCGTGACGAAACGTGAAAAACATTAATCGAACTCCTCTGATCAGAACCTCATATTCTCCTACACAGAGCTCATTTTCAGATTGCTTTCACTAGAATTTCAAAGTTTCTCTAGCAAATAAAACTATTACTGAACTTGAAACTTATAATACTTTTCGCGCTAATTTTGAAGCCGAACTTTCATCGTCAATATAATCAGAAATGTACAAAAGAATGCTCGAATCCTCTGCTCACTAGATGCGGAAGATTGATGCATTCCCTTCTTTTTACTTTACCCCGGGCGTATGCATGGAAGATCACTGTGAAAATCATCCATGAAAAATACCGGGAAGGCTGGAAGGACTCACAAAAATTAAGAAATCCCCTCAATTAAGTTCCAAATATACACATTCAAAAGATTACAGTACATAAACCGTGCTTAGTTACCTCGAGCGGCAAATAAGTGTGCTTGTGCTCTTGTCCGACTTGCAAACATGGAAAATGGGGGAACTGAAGCTTCATGTGGTACTTGTCCAGGAAATATTTGGCAACGGTACATTCCACAGTCTGTCCGCTGTCCAATTGCAACGGGAAAGACTGCATTTGGGCCGGGCGACGGGTCACGTTGCAAACCCGATATTTCCGTCTCATATTTCCGCAATGATTTATAACAACCTGTGATAATATTGCAGCATCTTAGATCACAAATCCTGTTGCGTAAAAACAGACCAGGCTTCGAATGAAAGAAATGCTTCGAATTAATCTTACCTTGAGACCTTTGATTTCCTTGGTGAACTTAACGCGCTGAGAATCGGTCAGCGGACGACGTTGTTCGCTTAGATCCTTCAAGTCGAGGACCTCACACATGAAGCTTATAACGCTTTGGGCTTTGTAGAAGGCAGTGGCCGAAACATCGATGTTGAGCATCATCTTCCATTGCGACGGCTTGACGCTCTGGTGGAAACCGAACCACACCTCGCGTCCGCCGCCCAGCGGGTTTCTGCAATCCTCCGGGGGAGAAAAGAAGGATCTACCGACCGGAATGTACACCATCGATGGCAAGTGGCGCATTAGTACGTCCAGGGCGAGAATGGAATCGTTCGGAATACGTCGCGAGCGACCTTCGAGGAACTCTTCCAGATGATGAAGGGACACTGAAATATTGAACTCGGATTAGTACCGTAATTCAATGCAGAAAAGTTAATCTCGCACATCATCAGATAACTGAATGCAACGAAATTTTCGCGGAGGACAAAGCGGTCGAGTAGGAAGATGCCGAAGAAATACAGTAAAAACAACGCAACAAATATCTCTTATGTATAGTACTGACTACTGTAAAACCATCCGGGAACAGGGATATATTCAAACGAAGTTTCGTGTGTACAGCATCATATAATGTTTACCTTGGGCAATCCACTTCAGTACAACAATGAACTTCCGCTCGTTGTTCCCATCCCCAGGAAGAGTAACCTCGAATTCCTCTTTGGAGCTGGTAATAGGAAGCAGGTCCTTCGTATACAAGTTGCTGCGGCCGTCGAAAACGGGCTTCGCACCGACAAATCGTTTATTGGCACGCATCAATGTGTCAATGACTTCTCGGTTTACTCGGCGCGGACACTTCTCCGGTTGGATCGATACATCGTAGTAATGAATCAGCAAATTCGATGGAATCACGACTTGGAAATGGTTCGCCTTAAGCATGATTTGCTTTCCCTCTGACCCAAGGTTAGGTCGATGGGGACTGATAAACTCTGCAAGAAACGAAAGATAATCGTAAATCATCGTACAGAATCTTACGATTCACGTGATACTCACTTGGCGGATCCGGAGCGCCATGAAGAGTTGCAGCAGCACCAACTGGAGGAGGGATTGACATACCTCCAGTAGGCATTATTCCTGACATCGAGTCGCCCGGAGGCAACATGCCGATCGGCGGAACAGTCATCCCAGGAGCAGGCGGAGGTCCACCGATCAGGGGATCTCCAGTACCAGTGAACGACGCATGGTGGCCTACATTCAATCAGCCGAAAAATGAAGCTTCTCTACGGATTAAAAATTCCCGAACACTTACCACCCTGGCCAATGGGAAGCATTATCGAATGGACAACCCAAGAACGCTAAGCACGGTGAGAATCACACAGGTCGTCCGAGGTATACTACTTCCGTAGCACAGACTCGTACCTTCACGTGAGACCTTATAGATCCATTGTCAAGCTGCAAGCTAACGTTAAATCATGAGGTAGGTAGACCCTGCAATGGAACACTTGAATGTCAACCCATAATATGAAAAGAAGCGACATGGAAGATAACGCGGTCATGAAATCCACTGCTATACCGAATCTTGAATGACAGTGCATACATCGTCCTTGTGAAAGGACATTGACTTCCCGAGCACACATTAAGAACATCACAATGCGCATTACTTCCGGAAAATTTAACCAACACCTGACAACTACCACACATTTTCCGAGGAAGATTGCTTTCGTCGCACGAATTCGGAATACACGTGTTCAAGGATTACATCCGCGATTCCAGAAGGGCACGAATATCCTGAGACGCGGGTGTCAGCCATTTTGAATCGCGTTACCGCGCACTCGACTTTTCCTTCAACGATGCATTCCATGCCGTTCGTATTGCATTATTCCTGCTTTCTTAGATGTCGCTCCTCAACCCACGAAAGGAATATTACGAAAAGAAATAGTTCACGAGACATTCTTGCAATATTCCTCATATATTTCCACAGATTGGAAATTACAGTTCTATCCTTGCAGATTATAAACGATACGGACGGGAAAAATACAGATGTGATCAACAAATGTATTCGAATCTGGTAATTCCAAGCCAATGTAAGGACGCACGAAATGCGATCGTTAACGACTACAGAACACATCAGATCCGATGCCGGAGACACGCACAGTCACATGAATAGGGCGAGATGAAGTACATAATAAACGAAGTCTGGAAGTCGGACACAAATTTTAAAACAGAGAACAAAGGCACAATCGAAAGAATAACTTCACTTCGACCCCCAACCCCATAGTCCCTTCACGAAACCAGTCAACCCGCCGGTTTGTTGCTGTTGCGGTGCTGCTTGAGCTTGAACTTTCTTCGCCTTCGCTGGGGTAACATCGAGTTTGTGTTCCAAGCTTGGAAATTCTACGTGATTCCAGGCAAGATCAAAGAACAGAGGTTTACAAAGAACCGGCTGGAACTCAGGAGGAAATTGGACAAGCTTTCCATCCCCATTCGCCAAATGATTCGCTTCCTCAAGGTAGACATCCAAATGATCCGCGAGAACCTGTTAGCATTAGAAAACATTTAGACTCGAACCTGCCAGTCACATTGAAGATAAAAAAAATTTCGTAGGCAATGTCGACACAGGAACTTGAACCAGTGAGTGATAATCGCGTGACGATCGAATCTGGTCAAAATATCCTCAAGTGGCGACAAACGCAACGGAAATTCCTTTCAGAAAATATATAATGCCGCACTGCAAATTTGCAATAAAAATGAAACATCGATTGCCTCCAGGATTTGTTTTAATAGCGAAAGTGCGGAAACGAGATAAACTTCAATTTTAAGAATGGCTGAAAACTCAAAAGATTCCTACGAATGATGCGTTCAGGTCGAAGTCCGAGAGTACAAGACAGGTCAACTAAAACCCACTCCAACAATTATTCGAAACAGTGATTAAAACTGGAAGAACAAAATTACTTCAAATCACTTATTGCAAAATACCGAAGCTTACAAAAATCGTAAAAAATTCGAAAAGTACGACACACCACGAATAACTTTATTGAAAAGAAGTACCGAAAATCAGAACTAAGAGAGAAAGTAGACAAGAGCATACTCTTTTCTCTTTGCCTTTCACAGACAAGGACTTGAAGTCATCAACCAGTTCATCATCACCCAGAGAAACACACGAAGCTTGGGCAGCTACTCTTCCGTGTTCAACCTTCTTCCCTAATTCCGACATCCTGTCCTTCAACGATTTTCCAAGCGCGGGTAAGTTGGATGCTTTGTTGACATACTCCGAACTCTTGTCAAACATCGCAACGCATTCTGGCCAGCGCTTGACCAATTGGAACGATTCCGCAATATGGAAGCATCGCAAAGCTCGATACGCAGTTGCTTGGGCATCGCATGACTCCTTGGAATCAAAATCTTCTTCTAATCCTGGCAAATTTCCCATCTCCGTCAAAGATGCAAGGATTCCTTCGTAAAGGCGAATGTATTCTTGAGGCTTCGCCGGTTTCGCTCCGGATTTTCTGAGCGCGGTAAAAACATTGTTCCATAAAAAGGATTAATTCAGTTCGTCATCTTTCAATTTTGCAAAAAAATATATCAACGCCCCTCAAATTTTTAAATTTTGAGATGCATTTGAAATTTGAAGTTTATAAAAACAGGCGACTTTACAAAAAAGTGCTAAAAAGTTGTTCGCAAATACTGTACATGACTACACAGTGTTCTGGGATTTTCCAACTCAACAGCCATCATCTTTGTAACATCAAGCGGTTTGGGGGCAGTTCCCATACCGAAATCCTGAGACAAATAGCTCATCGCAAAATAGGGTTCTTTGTATCAAGACACAGCTGTACATGAAATGAAACAGTTTCCACTACAGTAAATTGCTACTTTCTGGACACCTGTGTGGAAGATATAAAAAAATGCATGACATACTTGGCATCCAAATCCGCAGCCAACAGCAAGTTTCGTTCAATCGTCATCTCCCCACGGATCCACATTAGGTAGGAATGAAGATAATGGAGAGATGAGACATGCATCGGTTCTCCAGCAGCCCCACGTCTCGTGTAACTTGGGTCATTTTTCAGCTCGTCACGGAGGACCTGGATCGCATCCTTGCATTCCATCAACAATTTCTCATAAAACTGCAGCTGAACCTTAGAGGAGCCTTGCCCGAGTTCTGCGGATTTTTCCGCTTCTTTCGCATTTGTCAAAAAGCGACGAACTTTTTCGGATTTCACCGGAACGGTTCTCTTCCGCCACGTTACTTCGGACAGAGTAGCAGCTTGCTTCTCTCGCGTTTGGGCTATCAAATTCTGTAAAATGCGGTAAATAACGTCACAAAGTACTTTACAACACCAGCATTTCTTTATTCGAGGATTAAAAATGTCAAGCTTACATCTATTTCTGACAGCAAGTCGCCATCCGCTATCTGTCCTTCCTGTCGCAGCTTGATGAGATCCTCAGCAGCAACTTTCTCTCCGATATTATACGAGCAAAACCTTGCTGTGGGCTTGATTTCAGCAACTTTGCCTTCATAGAGTGCTACATCATCTTCAGCCTGGACAGCTTTCGCAAGCCGTTCATAAATTGTTCTTGAAAGAAGAAAAAAGACGATAAAAATGTAAACATTATTCATGATTTCATTCGAAGTTAACATAGCTTTCCCCATTTGAATAAAATCCGCACTCACTGAGCTTTCGTCAAAGCTTGCAACGCGTCTGCCCATTTTTGCTTTTCAAACAAATAAAATCCTGTCAGCCAAGCAGAGTACGCTTGTGACTCCAATTTTGTGACGGCATGGCATTTGTTGCTTTCACACACAGCTTCCAACTTAATGGCATGCGCAACCGCTTTCTTCAATCTGGACACCATGTGAAACTTCTTTCGGGGCTCCGTGTTGGCCTCTTGCTTCAATTGCATCGCATAACTCCACGCTCGTTCAGCTGACATCAGCAAAATGAGGAAATAACGTTCATCATGCAGAGAGTCTTGAGTTACTTCCTTCTTCCGGAAATGTTTCTTGTCTCCTTGAACAAAATTAAGGGCTTTGCGAACCCGACGAATCTTCCTGGCGCAATAACCCCTGAAAAAAAAAAACGGGGACATTAATCCAGTAGCTCAAGCACACACCTCAAAAGGATCACTCAAGCCTGGAGATGGCATTTGTCCCCCATTTGAACATCAATATACAAAATTGAAGTTATCCATGGAGCTAACGAGTAAATTTTTCTTTTTCTAGAGGAAAATGTGCTACAAGAGAAACACGTACCTGTAACGCTGATAATCACCATGTCGTAATCCATGCTGCTGTTGGGCCTCCTTTATTAATTTCAAGACTGGAAAAAAACGCAGATTCGTCGTATGAAAACTGACAGACGAAAAATTAGAATGCAATTAACTTACAGCGAACTTCATACACAGGAGCTTCTTCAACTTGATCATTTTCAGTATCCGAATCAGGATTCGGAACATTCTCGGTTTCTTTCACAGTCATTTTCTTCACAGAAAAAAAAGGAATATAATTTATTTCTGCCTGAAACGCAAAATACCATTTCGATATCAACACAAAGCTTGGAAACGACGGCATTATTCAAAATTCTCAACCATATCGCCGAATATTTGAAGAAAAGTAAGATTCGAATAGGGGATTGTCCAAGGGAAGGGCCTTTCGCACTGAGTACTCAATTTTTTGGAGAAGCTCAATCGAATGCTTAGACCACACCAAGGAGGTCATGCGGCAGTTCTCAATGCCGCCAACACGTCCCAGTCGTCCGCACCTGCAACAAAATAATCCCAGCAGCAAAAACAAAATTACTTCCAAAACAAAATTCATCACAGTAATGTAGTTTAATACAGGTGGATTCGACAACGAAATTCAGGAGACCAAAACAAATCGTTGTGGAGAACCCCTATAATATGGATAGAAACTCATTTTCAACACGGAGAAACAGCAGGAGATATGAACACTCGGAATTTAACTTCAAGCTCGAACAGAAGTTCGGTTCAAGATTATAAAAGAAAAAAATTTCAATTGCAACTTCCGGGTCCACCATGAAAAGACGAATAGAACCACAAAAAATGGAACTAGCCTGTGGATGTAATCAGTTACAGATGTGGGGAAATCAAAGTTGATGACATGCCGGACGTTGCTCGTGTCCAGTCCCCTGGAGCCCAGGTCAGTACAGGAAAGGACATTCGCAGCGCCGCTCCTGAATAATCGGAAACTATCGTCTCTGATATTTTTCAGCATTGCGGCGTTGTAATTCACGGCACGGACACCATTTTCCTTGAGAAAACATGACGCCCAATCTGCAGTTGCAGATTTTGCGGAGAACACAAGCACGGATTCATCTTCAGACACGGCTTTCTTCACCGTTTCCAGTAAACGTTCCGCTCGCTCCTTCTTGGCTATCCGTACAAATCTCTGTTCCACATGCGGCATGATTTTGTGGACGTTCGGAGAAATGATCCTCTCTATCAAGGACAACTGTAAAATGAGAAAAACGTCATTAAAGAAATTACCAGCGCTCAACCAACTGCACATAACTTTTCGGGACATCCTGGCGATTTGATATTATCCTGAATTCCCCCAAACGTTGACGGAGCAGAAAGTACATGCACAATGCGTATACCGTATACTGTATCGTATTTTGGATTCATGGTGAGAAAAATTGAAATTGAATCGAAGCGAGGTACCACTGTTTACTGTATTGTATAATATATTCATTGTGAGAAAAATTGAAGCGTTCCCGCTACTGACCGGAAGAAGCCCGTCGCCAATTTCATCCAGAGTCTTGGGAATCGTCGCACCGACCAAACATACCCGTGGATTAATTCCGGCTTGCATCGGGGTATTGAAGAAATTTTCCAAAATCTTCCGCGTCCTGAACCAAAAACTCTTGTCTACCAACGTATCTATCTCGTCCAAAACGACGTGCTTCACAAAACCCGTTCCGTAAACATTGTTGAAAAAGAACTTCCCCAGCATTCCAACAGTGCCGATCACGATATCGACTTCCTCGGGCGTAACATTCGAGAGTTTCCTTTCGAAACTACCTCCGGTCACAAGATTGACTCGTATGTCGGGGAAATTCAAGAACACAGAAGCTACTTGTATTGCAAGTTCTCGGCCAGGAGTGATAACGAACGCGAAAGGCTTGTTTACTCGAGCGTGCTGAAGACTGCGAAGACGTCGCACAGATTCCACTATTGGTAGAACGTAGGCCAAAGTTTTCCCACTGCCGGTTTCTCCGCAGATGAGACAATGCAAATCCTGTCGAATCGCGGGAATAGCTTGTTCTTGAATAATCGTCGGTTTTTGGTATCCTTTCGCTATCACTTCCTCGACGATATCCGAGTTTAAGCCCATATCATTCCAATTTGAGTCTTCTTCTCGGAAAGCAGGGTTCTCGCCAGAATTCTTGATCGTGAAAAAGTCTCCAACTGATTTACCTTTCTTCCAACCGGCTGATGCCAAAGGAACCGTGTCAAACTTTGCATAAGTCTGCTTCAAGTAATGGTTCAATGACTGGTTTTTGCACTCGATCATCAAAGGTTGTCGACGCAATTCTTGCGTTTTCACTCGCTGCTCTTGAGATTCTTCCTGCTTCCGCTTGAGTCGGTTTGCGAAGCGCTTTTCCATATTACGTAGGTAAACAGGAGTTTTTATCACAGGTAATGTTGACATACTTCGGGCAGGAAGCTTGAAAAACATCTGCATACAAGTGGAAAAATGAACGTCAATACATAGGACAGACCAGGAAAAATTGACCATTTTCAAAGTAATATTCTCAGGATATCATTTTGGAATTTACGAAACTGGCAGAACCAAAATGCGAAGGTGACGAAGCAATAATGCCATCCTGTTTATCGCGGGAAAATTTCCTCTAAAATCCTACATACGACTTTATAATCTTCATCAATGCTTGTTTAACCAAGTAAACTTCAAGCAATAAAATCAGAGATCAACTGAAACGATCTCATGCACACGTTCTCGACGACACAGCATCGAACTTACGAAAGGTATCACTATTTGAAAATCGGTCAACTTTGTCCTGGTTTACAACGCACTCGAATTTTCATTCAAGAATATGAAAGCTGGAACAACACGACCTCGTCTTTTATGTAAAAGCATAAGAAATCACAAATCCACAACAACGGGTTGATCATCTTCGTTCTCTTCCTCAAAATCCCACTCGAACTTGTCCTGCAAATGTTCTTTAAACTTTTTGGCACGTTTGACCAGTGCATCACTACCCTCTTCTTCGACATTGGGAAAGAACTTCCGCAAGGCATCGATCAGGAAATTGTTGTTGGAAACAATATCAGCAAAAAAATCTTGCGGAACAAGTTTTATTTGAAAATGAAGAACCGTCATGAAGTCCATGAAGAAACCGGGGTGATCATGCAGCGCTTTTTCACTTCTGCAAATCACGTCGATGAGTCTCTTCCAACGCTCAAAGCTATCGTAGACGTGGGCGACGAGAAAGCAAACGAAAGCAAACTGCAATTCTCCTAAAATTTGACTCCACCTGAAAAATATAAGAAATACGGTAGTTAGGACGATATATTTGTGTCAAGTGATATTTCACCATTACTGTATATCGTTAATCCACGAGAAATTCAAAAACAAGTTCGACGTCCTGGATTTTCATGACATTGAAGAATACAGTATTCAAGGACTTCTAAAAAACATACGAATTATATTCATAATTTAACCCCACATATCCCGAATCTGATTTCAATTTTCAACGCATCTCGATGCAACCTGAACTTGATTTCACTTCGTCACGTTCAATTCAGATTATGTCTTATGTCGTAGATTAGGAACATTTTACCTTTATTTAGAAAGACAACATAAAATACTCTACTTTTCAAATTTTAAAATATTTCATTCACATTTATAAAGTCCTAATTCCCGTCGTCATGCATCAGTACTAAATTTCTTGCACATCACATTCTGTACTTGCCCTTCAGCACAGGATCCAGCAAGTTGTTCCAACTGGAACGAAGCATCCAGCGAATGCCTCGAAATTTCTTGAGGAGATGAACCTTCTGGGTAGCATTTGGAAGGCCATGGTGCCCACCGAATCTCCGTACCCGGAGCACAAATCAAATGCGACATCAAGTCTTCTTCTCGCGTTGCACTCCCAGAACCCTTGTGTCTCTTGCGTTCTGACGGTTCTCCGACAATGTTCTCTTCCTGCTCTTCTCGGCGAACGAGATTACTGGCAGATGCTATTGTCACACAGAGGGGTTGAATTCGTTCCAGCAGCTTTTCTGCGGGAGAATACCATCATATCACGTAGAATCACTGGACGATAGTGAATCTCTTCAATAATCACACACAAAAAAACGCGATTTTCCAGCACCACTGGCAATGCTCCTACATTCAGAACGAAAAATTAAATGCAAAATGGCTTTGTCTATCTGTATTCAAAAAGCAAAACGACATCAATGAACATGACATCTAAAAAATCAGGAGGAATTCAAAATAGCGAAACGAGAGTTTCAATTCAAAACCTTCTGAAAATGCCTTTTTCGGCCATAAAATTCGGTTAAGCATGAGACAAGATCAATCAACGTCATTCCAAATCCTAGAGCCTGACCTTGAATCTCTTCGAGAAAGCGTAGAAAAAAACCCTCCAATAAACATGTGTTTGCAAAATAAGAAAAGCTCTAAATTTCAGAAAAATATAATGCATTCCCATGAATAATTCTAGTAAAGTAGGATTCATTCATCCATGACAATGCTTCCTGATCATGGAGGAACATACATTTTGGCGGATGTAAAATTCAAAAATGAGAAGGCCTGCGCTCAAGTGAATGCAAGACAAAAGTAATTTCCAGTCGCGAAGCTTTAAATTTCGCTACATTACATGAGAAAGATTTCGTATTCACTATAAATTTTCCTCATTAAACAGAATACGGCATAGAAAGCACTACAAAAAAAGACCCCGGGTACGTTAGAATAATCTCTTTACACAGGAACTGTCAATCAAAAAAGAGAAGAACTGCATCTTACTTGAGATGTGATTAGTGATGGAGACCCACTGCTTCCAAGATTCATAAGGATACACGCCTAAGAATGTGTCCATTTCCTTCTTGTTAGCCTTGAACCTCTCCAGTTCATCTTCCGTAGCTCTTCGATCCGTGATTTCTTCATCTTTGGCGCTGTAGAAGCGAGCAAGCACTTCTTCTTTCTCGAACCAGTGAAAAAAGCCAGTTCGCGGTGCTGTTGATCCCTCTTTACTTACTGCACTACAATGACATTCAAACGTCTTCGAATAATCCTTTTACAAGTTTTTAAAATATAAAATACCTGTAATAGATGAAATGTAAACCAGGAGGAATCATTTTCACGCCCCGAAACTTATCCCCAACGTTCCAAGTATTCATGTCAATGCCAAATTCAGTTCCAACAGGTACGTCGAGGAGAACGAATGTCCCACCTTCGTCGAACAATCGCTTAGCAATATCCGGGTCCATGATGATTCAAGATATAATCGCATAAACGCAACAACACACGAAGATGATGAATGCAGTCGACACAAAGCTTACATCAACGCGTATTTTCTGTGATGGTGAAATTATGAGTCTCGGCATCAATTGACGACTTCACACGACGAAAATGAATCGCGGAGATAATTTTGAACATAATCCTTGTATTTATTTATTTCACATCACCTTGCTCCTTCAACCAGTCGTTATACTTCTTCTCCTGCGCTTCCCGAAGCTTCGTGAGTTTCTTCAGCTGAGACTTGGCAATTTCTTTTCCTTCTATATCATATGTGGGCATCCCTCGATCATCAAATTTAGAGTATTTGTCTGTAAGCGAAAGGAACATCTTTTCTGGGGGAATCCGACGCTGGGCATCTTTGGCTGCTTTCGCGGCATCTTGCTCCGCTTTCTTATGGTCTAACTCGGCTTTTTTGGCGGCTGCTTGACGTTCTTTATCTGCTTTCTCCTTGGCTATTTCCTCTTTGGATACGAATTTGACCGCTGGTCTATCACCTGGGGCAAGAAATGACGTCAATCAAGAATCTCAAAGGGAATAAGCTACAGCAAATATTCATCCCCAACGACGTAGTAAGCCAATGATAATTCCTAATTTAACAGAGATAATACACCCAATATTAAAAAAAAGCTTCAGAACAGTCAAAGTCTATTGACTTGAAAACAAAATACAGTAACTGGTTTATTGTTTTTTGCTTTGTGGACAGGCCAATATCAACTAGCGCGTAATTACGGAAATTATACTTTCCGGGACATGCACCAGATCGTTTCCTAAGATGATCACTCACCCCCGAGATCTTCCAGTCTAACCCCAAGCTCGGGCAAGGTCTGGTCCCGCAACACATCACAAAGCTTCAGCACGTCCACTGCTTTCACTTCTAAAGCTTTGCCTCTGACGTCTTCTCTAAAACTAGCTATGCATTCGACGAACGGCAATAATAGCTTTTCTTTGTCGAGTCCTACTCCTTCCCCACTACCATCATCAATGGTGGAAAATCCCAGAGTATCTCCAGACTCTATCACGCCGAATACTTTTAATATGCTCGTTACATATCCGGCGATGGATTCCAATAACTCATGGCAAACTTCAGAGCTATTAGATTTCGATTTTATGTAGACGTTGGACGCTGACACGAGCTCTCGCAAAGCGTCCAAAGAGCCTCTTGTATCTATGTTGTCTACAAAATATGAAAAAAGAGTGAGATACAGTACACGGTTTACATTGTTAAGACAAGAAAATTTACCACACAAAGCTGAATGAACGGCGTCTTTCTTTTCCATCAGTAGATTCTGCAGATCAATTTCACTGGAGGTCCATTTTCGAAACTTGGCCACTCTTCTCAACAAGTCCTTCACCGTCAAGAAAAATTCCTGAAACACAGTGAAATTTGTTGAATCATCGACTCTGATATAAAGTTTCTGTCATTCATCGTTGCGATGGAAAATCACAATTACTTTAAAATATGCAGTAAAAATACCTTGAAATTCTTTTCAACTTGTGCAGCCATCTCCATGGTATTTTCCGAATAATCCAGCGTATCTTTCCAAGAATGCAGCAAGAAGGCAAATCTTAGACGACGCGGAGAATGAGAAGCCAATGCTTCCCTAATCGTGATGAAATTCTTCAGCGACTTCGACATTTTGCACCCGGAAATGGTTAAATGACCGGTATGCAGAAAATATTGAACCCATGAATCATTTCCGAAGTAGGCCTCAGATTGCGCCAACTCATTATCGTGATGTGGGAATTTCAAGTCCACTCCACCAGCATGTATGTCCATCGTAGACCCGAGGATTTCCGAAGCCATAACAGAGCATTCAATGTGCCAACCTGGTCTGCCACGTGCACACCACGGTGATTCCCAGCCTAATCAAGGATCAATCCGTTTTATAAAAAATTCAGATCATCCATACAAAAATACAGAATTACAAAACGAAAAGTCTCAAAATTCAACCTCAGGCTGAAATGGAAAAGCAAGTCGCTCGCACTCTTAAAATTGATTCATTACATTTTACGGTTGTCTGAAAAAGGGCTTTCGAGTACGGAGGAAACCAAAATCGAAGTGGGACAATTCAAAGGACCGAATACGTCCATATTTTAAATAAAATGTACATAACTATTGGCTTAAATTTAAAATCACGGCAAAACGGGTTTAGGGATTAGTTTAACTTAATTACAGATTGAATGTTTTGGCCAAAAGCTGTACACGCAACGCTCTACGGATTCAGACACCAAACCGTCAGTAGTCCGAGAATTCAGTTCGATCACATCCCAAAGAGTTCGTTTCTTACTTCTGTGGTTGTTTTACTGATCAATCTTTTTTTCGTGGGCAATTCCAACGAACATGAAAGAAATCTAACCTGGTTCCCCAACTTTAGAAGCTTTCCAGAGAGCAAAATCAGTCACCGCTCGTTTCCCGGTTCCAGCACCAGAAAGCACGCCTTCCCCTTCTGCTAAAGCATTGGCATCTCCGAAAGCTTCGGGAACCAGCTTTGCGTAATGATGTTTCTCATTCCCATCAAATGCTCCGACATCAAAGTACACGCTTCCGTCGGTTGGAGAAACGTATGCAAAACCGCGGTCGATAAGCTTCTGCACGAATTGAACAATTTCTGGAATGTACTCGCTCACACGAGTAACCACATCAGGAGGAAGCACACCCAGGGCTTTCATGTCAGCATTGAACCTAGCTTCGTATTCCGCGGGCAACGACGAGAAGATTGAGTTGTCAGTAACAGTATGACCGAGCTTCGAGTCCAGCCAGTCTTGCAATGCGTCCGCAGCGGCTTCGAGAAGAAGGGTTCTCGACTTCTCCAATTCATCCAGATTACCCTTGGCCTCATCCACCTTCAGCACGGCTTCTTCAACCTTTAAAATGGATGGAATACCGAAGAATACACTTGTTGTGTCTGAGTACCGAGAAATACTGCATAAAACAACCTTCTGCAACCGTTTCATAAACATAGCTTTCTTCTCTGGATCCTGTTCGGCAAGCACACTGTTTTTCGTGTTCACCACCGCCTCGCCAACGTCAGCCAAAATTTGGGGTAAGGTAAGGTTACTCTTCTTGTACGATTCGAACAAATGATTTTGTCTCGCTCTCCTGATGATTTTGTCATCCACATCGGTGATGTTCATCACATAGAAGACCTCATAACGGAAATAGTCGCTTAATACGCGCCGCAAGATGTCAAAAGAAATGTAGGAACGAGCGTGGCCCATGTGCGAGTCGTCATAGACAGTTGGACCACAGCTGTACCAAGTTATCCTATTACCCTGTAATGAGTGATTTGATTTTAGGCACGGAATGGTGCGCGAGGGAAAATGGTCGCATCACCTTTGACGGAATAAATTCCTCCTTTTTTCTTGTAAGGCTATTGAAGATGCGCAGTTTTGAGGGCTCATTGGTGGATGGAGGCTTCCAAGAAGGCTGAATCCGCTTTGCACTCATGATTTGGTCTTTCTACACTATTACGTCTGCTTCAAATTTGTTTTTTTTAGGGCAAGTGGTCTTAGTACATCTGAGGGAGAATCGAAGATATGTCACACATGAGAAGCGAACAATAAATGGTAGTGAACAGGAACACGCAGATTTCACCAAATCAGTCTTTCTTCAACCCCTCGATCATCAAAAAACGTTCAAAAGAGTTCTAATTTTTTCTTCTTCTGACAACAGGGCTCCGTCTTGTTCGATAGACAAATGCCCATCGTGAGGCCGAAGATCTGTTCAAGAGACAGCTTTCAATTCAACATCGAAGATCAGCGTGGAGTTTGGTGGGATGCTTGGCGGAACTCCCTTGGGACCATATCTGTAATAACATGAAAGAAGAGAAAAAGATTAGGTACAGAATTTGAGGTTCGAGAATTGAAATTACTCACCCGAACTTGGGAGGAATTTCGAGGCGACGCTTCTCGCCGACCTTCATCCCTTCCACGCCAATATCCCAGCCTTTGATCACTTCTTGACCTCCAAGATTGAAACCGAAGCCCTTCCCATCGATTACCTTGTCGAACTCTTTTCCATTAGCCTTCAGTTTTCCACGGTAATACACGTTGACCTAGCGGTGAAAATGTGTAAATGTATTTTCATGGTAACTTTACATGGACATAGTCCATCCACGGTATACCCGAAGAGCAGTTGTTTGAAATGAATTAAAACAACCTCCTCGGAGGTGTGACGGATTCTTCGTTTTCTCCTTAAAAAGCCGGGATTAATTTGAAAATGGACTTGATCGGCTCGAAATCATAATTATGCTGCGTGTTAATCGAAAGGGAAAATCAGGAAATTTCATTCAACTTGAAACCACAATCGAAAATGGAAGTTCAAATCACATCCTGTGTAGCCAATATTTCGAGACTTTCCACAAATTTCGATCACCCAAAAACGTTCAGTAGGTAATGCATGGAATATAAAGAAAAATCTGTAGTTGTAAAAATTGTAAAATTCAATTTTGAATTCGGCGAAGTATAGACCAGATTCGGGTCAAGCTGAAAACAAGTGCAACAAAAGTATGACAAACCTTGCGACCCTTCTTTGCAACAGGTCCATTCCCTGCCTGAATAGTCGTGATGAGGATCCCACCTCTATTTTCGGATTTCTTTCCTCCCGGAGTCTGAGTCAGGTTTCCCTTTTCTTCGCCTTTCTTTTCTGCTTCCACATCTTTATTTTTCTTTTTATTCTTTTTCTTCTTCTTCTTTGCCGATTCCTAAAGACAAAGGAAATAGTTTACTTCTGCATGAAAACGGGCAGCGACCAGCGATTTCCTCACCCCTTCGCCATTCACAGAACCATTTGACTTCGCGGGGGACTGCTTCGCATCTTTTGCGGGCCCTGACACATTGGGATCAGCCTTCTGTTTGTGTTGCTTCTTTGCTTCAACCTTAGCTGTTACACAAGAACGTCTTTTCAGAATCTGGATACAGTAATTCATAGTTTGAGGACGATCGACGATACCTTTTTTCGGGGAAGTTTTCTCCTCCTCTTCATCATCTTCGTCGAAGCTCTCCATTTCGCCTATATCATCATCACTATCCTCTTCCTCAGGGATATCTTCATCTAAGGGAAGAAGAGTTCAAGCATTTTTTTCGTTCTTCATCAGTAGCGAACATACCATCAGAACCGTCAGCAAATTCGAAGTCATTATCGTCGCTGTCGTCTTCATCATCGCTATCTGCAGGAGTGTCACTGCGAGCGCGCTTCGCGCCTCTTCGCTTTCCCGGCGAATCCTCTTGGGCATTTCCGACAAGATTCGCTTGCTCTAAAATTCATTTAGATTACGACAATGTCAGCATTGATCAGAAATCCAAACCGACCTTCCTCATCCGAACCGTAAAGTAAACTTTCATCATCATCAACTTCAGACAATCCCGTCAAATGGACTATCCCTGCCCCTTCGGCAGTGAAAATGAGTTCTTCGCCTCGATCGAAAGCGTAGTCCAATCCAACTTGAGTGTCTTTCGATCCATCCAAGTAGCACAAGATGAACTCCACGTCTTTGTACTTGAGCTTCACGCACGCTTTCTCGTCTTTTTCTGGGAAAAAAAACTCGTGTTTTTACCAGGCAAGCATGACTTCCTTTAAAACGTACTTTTAAATTCAAGAGTTGCTCGGGCGATACGGAATGGTTTGTCGACGACTGTTTTGTAGTTCCTGCCCGGATACAACAAGATGCCTGAAAATTTTAGAGAGGTCAGATTGTTGAAAATAACTTCTTTAAATGAGATACAAACCCCAAAACATGATCGAGCACTAGCACCAGACGAACGGCCTTCTCAAACTACTGAATCTGAAATCCGAAACACAGAACGATGCATCATCTATTCAGTAAGCATTCAAATTTCAAATATCACACTAGGCAATATGGTTAACTGAAAGGGCTTATTTTCAGATCATTCACGTAATAATCCTCCAGCAAAAGATGAAAGAATGGGAACAATCTATCGACATCACTTCTCTCAATTTCCCGCCGAAATGCTCGACCCCGCACTACGGAAATGGGATTGGTTCGAACATTCGTTCTTGCTTTTTGAACTTCCAGGAACCCACGTAAGCAAGCTGGCCACCTATCGGCTTCAGATCTCCCCGAAATTAATGGTTCCCAGCAATTGTCATGCCGACAGTCAGCCTACCCATCCCGAACTACGCATGCGGTACCTCCCCACTTTACAGATGCTGTATTGTTGTATTGTATACAGTATTGTACGTAATATACATACATTCTATTTACAGGTGTGGTGGTGGAAATACTGTACAGTACTGTAGTGGAAATAGGCCATATCTTCGTAAAATAGTGATTTCGGCCGTAATAACCTCTGGATTGCTGATCTAGCTTTGAAGAGTGGATGAAGCACCGTACTGTAATTGCCTGGATGTGGTCTGAATCGAAAGAATCTTTTGAAGTGTTATATTCGCATGTGTCTTGTGACTTTATCAATATGCTTTCTCCTCCAACTGCATTGTATGGTTTGTTTAGCAGGAAATGGATGACGACGATATTGTTTTTCTGGAGGAAGTCTCTCCGTGTGACTCTGGCAGAAACGTTGCACCTGTTGTGAAGGAAGATTACGATCTTGAAGACGGAGAAATTGATTCAGATGATGGTAATGAAGGTCTGAGCTGTAGTTCGTCAATGCTTAATAAAAACTTCTTTTTTCACAGATCTGATTCCCCCTCCCCCGAAGCTGAAAACTGCATGTGATGAAGACTGGGACATTCCTCCACCCCCTGTTCTGAACCAATTATTGCGAGCAGTAGTACAGAGCAACGAATATGATGATTTATCCGATGGCTTCGAATCCCCCGTCTCGACCAAAATTTCTAATTCGGACCCTGTCAATCAAGAAACGGAAAATTTTTCGGATGGCTGGGAATCACCTGTGGGAGAAACTGACAATAAGTCAGTACATATTTATTTTCCATACTTCTTTTAGGATGTATGAACATTCTGAGTTGGCACCCAGAAGTGCGTGAAAATTCAGTGATGTGTGCTATCCATTTCAGGGAGCGTGAATGTTCAGTGAGCAATGAAGAAAGCGACCAACATAAATTAGACTTACCTCAAGCCACTCCATCGGAGCCTCCTTTCCAGGGATTATCCGAAGTTCCTTGCACCACAATTTCAAATGAAGCAGGTGAATTTTAAAAAAAGGCAAAATTGTTGACATACCTAGTAGTCTCTTGAAAACTTGCTGCGCATTCTTTATCGTCGAGACTCTTATCTGAATCGAAACATGTATATTAATGTAATATATTTTAGGATACATTATACTGTGTACAAGTAGTGCAGTACATAATTTCATTCAACATCTATGCTATATGCGACTAGTAAACTTTCGTCTAACGTTACAATTGTATCCCCTATTACTCATAGTTACCACACCACCTGAGTCTGCCAACGAGAGTGCTTCGTTTGTTCAGGATGAACATAGTGATACTTCTGCAGCACCATGTGTTGCTGTAGCTCGGAAATCATGTGATTCATCTCCTGCACGATGTTCGCAAGAGATTTCGGATGTCCAAAGCTTGATGGACTTGGTAGAACAGAACTCCGTCGACGTTGTTCGAAGTGGAGGTTTATTCCCATCACTTCGCGCAGCTGATGCAGATTCGCAAGAAGTTGACTTGAGCACTCCTCCGAATCCAACCCAATGCGATTCATCTCCTGCACAATGTTCGCGAGAGATTTCGGATGTCCAAAGCTTGATGGACTTGGTAGAAGAACAGAACTCCGTCGACGTTGTTCGAAGTGGAGGTTTATTCCCATCACTTCGCGCAGCTGATGCAGATTCGCAAGAAGTTGACTTTTGCATTCCTCCGAATCCAACCCAAGTTTCGCCACGGACTGACGTAAGTCCAGTGCCCGAACTTCGTGTGTCAGCAAGAGAAATTGAGGTTCGTTTCCCGTACGAGGCATTTGAATTCATTCTTTGTATCAAACTTATTTCAATCACTTTATTGTTGAAATAACATGCCAAAGCGTGATCCTGATTTTATATGTGGACGTATTTGCAGGAAAGATACGTTAAAGCGCCCATCAAATTACTGACTGGAGACAAGCTGTTCGTCTGTCCTGGTGTAGATGATGGTTTTCATTGTGGAAAGCTTTTTCAGTTTGCCCACAAACTCCGTGAACATTGGGGGGATGAGTGTTCGGCAATGGCATGTGAAATTCATTGCCCCCATTGCACCAAAAAAGCTTCATTCGTGGATATTGATCAGTGAGTATCCTTCAATAATTATTATTTTGAAAATCAATATCAATGATCAACAAGGTGGCCCTGAAACTGGTGCACCTGTCTCGAAAACTTCAGCTGTTTAAATAAGGTTAAATGAAAAAAGATCAAATCATTTGATGATTCATTTCATCTGCTTTATTGGTCACATAATGTCTAAATATAATCTCAAGCATGTACATTTGAGCTCACATCTAGGTTTAAATCAGTTCTAGTGGAATGCAAGTCACTCCACATTTTCCAAACTGGATTTTTCCATAATTTCATCTTCCACCTCTTGCTTATTTTCAAGTGCATGCTTTTGTTGGTTATTGGTTTTCAACAGTCTCATGTGTTAGAAAAAAAGTTCGATCAATACTTGATCGCTCCGTATACCGTACTAGAAACTGTGTTTTGTTGTTAATCCCGTTTGTTTCTGATTCACTATGTTTAATTTCTGTATTATTTTGTATTTAGGTATTATGACCACCTTTTGGCACATGCGGAAGATCCGCAATGTGTCTGCAGTGTGTGTGGACTCTTATTCAGAGACAATCATTCTTTGAATATCCGCGGGCATTGGTTTAAGAAGCATCAAGAAATAGAAGGGCTCCCAAATTTGTGGCCCATGACCAATTTGGAAGATGCTTCTGCACTTGTTGGCCGTAGATTGCAAATCGACCATAATTTGAGTCGTGGCCCATTATTTGCTGTGCTGGCGAACTTTAAATTGGAGAGGAACGAACTGCTCCGTGATTTTACTGGATTACCGGAATGCTTGCCTTTCAAGTGGTTATGTGCATGCTGCAATTTCACTTCGAATTTGTCTGCAGATATCCATAAACACGTGAAGCTTCATTTGCAAGTGAGTTCATCTAAGTTGATGCGTATACCATGTTCACTGAATTGTCTTTTCTTCAGGAAACTATTGATCCGTTGATTGGAAGTTCGTTTGGATCAGACCAATGTTTGCATCCGAATGCATCAACTGAGTCGGAGGCGCCAGATATTCCATATGTTAGTGAAGACTTCAGGTTTGTTGAATATTCTGTGCAAACTGAAAATAAATTCTTTATAATGCATTAGGGATTGCAGTTCCTTGAAATCACTTATATTCACCATGCATATGTGTGAAAAATATACACAAGTGAATTAATTAATAAAATCTATAAAAGCATTGAAAATAGGATTGTTTAAATCTTTAAAAGTTATTTATTTTTTGAATGGCGGAAATCTTCTTATAAATAGGTACATGTGCGGATGCGGCTATCACTTGACATCTGAAATTGAGCTGCACTACCACTTGGAACTGGTGCATGCTGATTCCGATGACGAGTTCCAATGTCCGCATTGCCCATCGTACGCAAGTGTTTCAAAAGCAGATTTCATCGACCACCTGAAACTGCACGGACCGCGCTTGTATCGATGCACATCTTGTTCAGTGTATTCGATCAATGGAGATGTAATGAAACAACATATCGTCGAAAAGCACGGTAACGGTGGACAAAGTCGGGATGCGGATATCGTTGTCATACGGGATGCCAACTTGAATGCGTTACATCTCAAAGACAAGCATCCCGGATTTATTTTCTGCAGTACTCTTCAACGATTTGTTGAGCAGCTGCAGAAGGATGTTGAATCTGAACCAAAACAAAGAGGTTAGTTTGCTTCCTTGTAGTTGTAATGGAGTGTGAGACTGGAGTGTAGTTCTTTCCAAAATTAGAAAAAAAGATCATATTTTTAGATAATTCGATCAGTGATTTGGATCATCTTCATTGGACCTGATCTGTTAATCCACTGTCAACCGATTAATGTAAAAATATATTTCATATATGTGTAATTAATTATTGGTTACAGACTCCAAAACGTACTTTAACAAGTAAATCCTTGTGAAATGACGCATTTCGAGAGGAAAATTCCCTTAGTGAATTTGTATTAGTTATTGGTGCAACTAATTGTTATGAGTTATTTGAATTTTTTCCGGACATGTGATGAATGTATAACTTCATGCAAAAAGTTGCCTAAGTTCTCAGAAAAAAAGCAACGCAGTTTCCTCCGCCTGAAAATCTGGCAGCCAAATATCTCAAAAAAAATGTCTCAAGCAATTTTTATAGTTGAATAAACACTCTTAGTGGAGTTCATTGCCCAATGCAGAGTCATCTTTGTGAAGGAAAGTTTAATGCAGCCCGAGTTCATTGTGTAAGAAGTCCATAATCCTGGTTAGCGCTTGATTCTGAATTGTTGAGCGTCCTGGTTTTCATTGAAGCTGGATTTTCTTTCAGATAACCTCCGAGATGATGATTCAGTCACACAGCGCATGTTGAAGCTCAAGCTAAGGTTCAAAGACTCGATGAAATATTTTCAGGACATTATTCGTGTTGCTCCAAAAAATGGTGAGCATATTCTTTCAAATGCTGTTTTTGAAGTTTTCAAATGTGTGGATCATTTAAGGTGATTGGGATACTTGTTTGAAGCAAGCGGAGAACATGACTCTGATAGAGTTCCCGGGCGATGATCCGAAAAACCTGGCGGAATTCCTGCGCGAGCGACTGAAGGATACGATTTTATGGTCGGGTGATCACACTCTGTGAAAGTCGGGTTTTTTAATTTTCCGAATTGTTTTGAACGCTATTGTTGTACTTGTTTTGAATACATAAAACAATGTTCGTGAGGCATTTACGAAAGAAACTTATATTTTTGTGCTATGCGTGCAATCCGTACATAAGTTCAATGCTTTAAATAAATTCTTATTCGCAGGTGGGCAAAATTGAGATCACTGCTGATGAATCCGCCTTTCCATCGGTTTAACTCTCTCCGTAGCGTTTTTCAAATTGTGAAGTTCTGTTAATTTTCTTTTCTGGCGATGGAGGAAATTGTGCGTAATGTTTTTGGGGACAATTTCGTGGAAACAACCCGAACTCGTCGGAATTCTCCGAGTCCCATTCGAGCGCGAAAATCTGGAAGAAGTTTATCACCCATTGCCGCCTTCGACACGAAGGATAGATCACTATTGGATCGCCTTGATGCGCGGATAGCTTCGCAGCTTGACAGTACGAACAAAGGGAAAAGTGAAAAATTGCCAGTTGAGAAACTGGGAAGACTTGGTCCGGCAAAAGTTCATTTTGATATTGCTACTCATGTTGGATCGTTCATTGTTGGTCCTGATCGGGTCGGAGTCGGATCCCAAAGCCACTTCTCTTCTCTCAAGGCGAATGTGTGTGTCTTCAAGGGAAAATGGCAGTATGAAGTGCTCTTGGGATCTAAGGGCGTTATGCAGGTAATACAACTTTTCCAGTTTAGTAATACCTGCAGTTCATTTGGAATGGAATTATTAGGTTCTTTTGTGTGCTGTTCTAATGATACCATTGATGTGAATGTAAATTATATGAAAATTACATATATACCCTCATGAAGGTTAATTCTTTCTCGATACACAGCAGACCGAGCACATTCTTTAATACTACAGATAAACTCTCTCTGCAGCTAACCCAAAAAAAATCGTTTTAGAGATAATTTTGTTGGAATAGAAAACCTATGCGAGACCGAATGGGACCATCATTAAATCCGTTATGCAGAGAAAATCGCTGTAGAAAGAGAGAAGAGAGAGTCTGTCTGCCTAAAACTTTCTGAACTAAGCCCTTTCAGTTACAATGCCAGCTCCATAACTCATACTCTTTCCAAATTAACTGCTATAAATTACAAAATAAAGTGCAGTATAAGGATAACATTTTCGAAATGTTTTATTAATTTATTTGTACGTTGTACTTTGGAATACTGTAATCAGTAATTTTTGACGGAACTTGAAACAAATCAAAACACTTGAAAATGAATTCAATTCAGCTTGAATTCGTATCCAAATTTGAATTCTGATGTCTCTTATTTTTATGAAATATATCAGTTTTTCAATTACTAAAATTTGGCTACGGGTCTTACTTGGGAAAGGATTTCATAAAAATATTAGGATGAAATTCTTGGGCGTGTGTCTTTCTTGAAAGCGCGGGTTTCTTGAATAGATACAGTAATTCACTTAACATAACCCGACCGAACTTGAAAAAGTGCAAGAAAAATGTGTCGACGTATATTTATCATAAAAAAAATTCACTGCAGTCCAGGACTTCAGATGTGCCCAGATGTCCCAAGTAAATTTTGCTGGACTTGACTTCTTTATTTCATTCCAGGTTGGTTGGTGTACCAAAGATTGCCAGTTTTCCGAAGAAAATGGCGTCGGAGACACGATAGACTCGTATTCGTACGACGGGAATCGAGTTCGGAAATGGAACGTTGCTACTTATCGCTACGGCGAACCTTGGTTATCGGGTGACATCATCGGAGTAACCATTGATTGTGATGACCACAAAATAGAGTTCTACCGAAACGGTCGTTCTCTCGGAGTTGCCTTCAGTAATGTGAAATCTGCACCGGGTGTAGCCTACTTACCGGGTGTCAGTCTTGGTGATGGAGAGAACCTCGTTGCGAATTTCGGAGCCACGCCTTACAAGTACCCAGTGAAAGGATTCTCACCTTTGCAAGACCCTCCGGAAAGTGACCTGAAAAAAGGGAAATTGTTGTTCGGTTGGTTAGCTAATTTGATTGAAGTTTTTGAGCCTCCTTCGCCGAAGAATGGCTCCAAAGTTGTCACTGCCGTGCAGCAAGTGCCTTCCAGGAAGGCGAAGTTCTACCTCGTTGGAGCTCGGATTTTCAGACAGCTTTCTCAGCTTCTAGTGTCGCCGTACATTGTAGAAGCCCAATTCATGCCTTTTTTACAAACCACTAACGTCGAAACCTGTTTGACTGTCATGTGGGCATTGATTGAAGATCAAGACCTCATCAAGTGCATGGAGTATGTTTGCATATCTTTGCTCACAAAGTTTCGACAGTCCGCTTCTAGTGGGGAGTTTCCGAACCAAAAGGCGTCCTTGTCTCTTTTGAAGCGAATACTTAACCATGAAAGGACTCGGAAATTGTTGCTCAAGAATGTGTTCTTCGAACGTGTGCGATTTCCAACTTTCATGCATCTGAAACCCCTGGATGATGATGCCTTGAAGGTATGTAACGCTTCGTAAACAATCTTTCATGCGTTGAGGAGCAGAGTTTTGTACTGTATAATCCACTGTTGAGTACATATCAGGAGTACTGTTTTTTCGGAGTGATAGATCGAAATTCGCAATACATAATGAATTAAAGTATTTCTCTTTTTATTTTGTAAAATTTCGTGGAAGTTGTTGTGCGATAAAGAAGTCAGAATTCATTATGTGTTGCAAATGTTTGGTGGAACCGTGCTAAAATGCATCTGAGTTGAAGATGTTCCATGTGAACTTGAAAAAAAAATCCTCCAAATTTTAAATCCAGTATATTGTACTTCGTGAAAATTCTGCTCTAACTTCATCATACTTTTATTTAGCAATACAGTATTTGTGTTAATTCAGTCCCAGGAAGAGCCTAGAAGCAATTGCACTTAGCTTCTTTGTGAAACGAAGCTATTGTGACGCCAGGTGGATTCTGCTTTTGTTCAAATTTTGTTCCTTGTAGTGGACGAGCAGTCGAATTTATTGAACCACTTGCAAACTTATTGCTGTCAAGTTAAGTCTTAAACGCGCCGAAAAGAAAAAGAATGTTGAAATTATACAGGTTTCATTTTAAAGATCATTGCGACTGAGCGACATCCACGTACACGCGAAAACATTTTCATTTGTTGGATGAAGTAGGGAAATTCAATGTACATTTTTTCACGACTAAGTGCATTTTTGGATGAGAAAGCAACGGCAGGGGCGATGAGCACATATTTTTATCGCGTGTAAAACTTCCTGGAGATGAAGTCAAAATAATGTTTCTTCATTTTCCTACAGGTGGTCGCCCCGGTTGTGTACTGGGAAGGAAGGGACGAGAAAGACAAAGCTGTATACGAAACTTCCATAGCAAAGCTAGGAAGGGAAGTAGGAGAATTGGAGAAATTGCAGTTGGACGTTTTGAAGCAACTTCTCATAACTACGGACGGGAAACCCGGTGAACCGAGCTCTCGCTGCCTTTTCCTTCATAAAATCCGGCGCTTCATCAAGGAAAACATTTGGAGCGCTCGAATACCGCTCATGATGCAAACACCGACTCCTGTGATGCTTTGTTTCTTCCATCGACTGCTTACTGCGCACGCGGACCTGCTTAAATCGGAGGGAACTTTGGACGAAAATGTTCATGTGCCATTGAAAGCGTTCTGTGATGATGGTATGAAATACTTCGATTGCAATCGTCTCGGAGGAGCTTATGCGTACTTGCGTCGGACGTTGCGGAAGGAATTAGCGGAATTTCTGGGTCCGGACTTCGTTCCGCCTCCTCAGCGTGAGTGCTTTTTCAACTAACTTGCTATATGTTTTGTTGGTGTTACCTGAATCAATACGATTTTGTTACCTAACCAAGCACCCAGCGATTATACCTGAATTCATCTTCCTGGATTGCTGGTTCTTTTTTTTTGTTTTGCGTTCACGCATAATTTCCCAGCCCCCTGAGTTTATTTTTCTCTTTGATTTAAATGCATTAGCGAATAAAATTAGGGATTGCCTACGGTTAGACTCTGGAGGTTCTATCATGGACCCCATGAATGTTGTGTGGAGTTTACATTTGATGGTTATTGAATAACTCCACGCTCACCCAGTTGAAGAATTGGAAAAGCCGTTCGCAGGTTAAAAGATCGCCGAAGTAAATTTCTTGAAGTTTTGTCTTTTAAAGAAAGATGTTGGCATTTAGACGATGAGAGCGCATGATCCTTCATAGTCCTCATTCAGCTTCGCATCAAGTCCTTGAATAATTCTAACCAAAAATTCTTGGGTTAATGTTGTATACGAGAGATTGGTAAGGTTAAACGGTCGCTGTTGCCCCGAAAGTACTAGGGCATATTTTTTTTCGGCAGGAAAACATTTCTTGATCTGCGAAGTTTCTGCTCCGTACTTTTTATTTTCTTGAAATTTGCATTCTATAGTGCGAATCTTGAATTATCAATTGAAAAGCTAAAAATACGAATGTTATTGAGGTAATTTAATAATAAATTACGACAATGTGAAAATAAAGGAGTCCATCGAAATTTCAAATACAGTGTAATCTCTCGCTTGCGTGTACCTTCAAAATTTCGATCCTGCTGAGAAAGTGGAATAAGGGTTGGTTTCTTCTCTTGCCACCTGAGTTGGTTGGTCCATGGATTTAGTGCATGTTGTAGTTCAATATACATGTACAAGTTTTTTTTTTTTTTCTCACACTCTAGCCCGGAGCGAGCACGCGGACTCGTTGCATGGAATAGTAGCTGTCACTGCTAGCGTTGACGAGCTTAGTCGCATCGCTCGTCCACATCAGATCAATGTTGATGTTGTGCTCGCGTTTGAAGGTGATACCGCCGGAGAATCGAGTGACTCGACCGACACATCCACTGAAGATGAAGATATCCGCAATGCCAGTGGTCATCGTGGAGCACAGGTTATTGATTTTTTTACTTATTGTGCAATTCACGGTAGAACTCCGAACATCTGGGGCAAAGAAAATCAAGATAACTCTTATAATTTAATTTTGCTAATAATTTTGCTCAACTTTTCAATGTAGATTGTAGGGATTTACACAGATTAAAATAAGTCATCATCGATAACGATTAATCATTTCATTATTAATATTCTGATAATATTTAAATGAAGTTCTTCTCTTTATTTCAACACAGTTGATTGGCACAATGAGAGCGTCGACTTCTGAAGTGCTGAAAGAGCCTGCTCTTCACGAACTACTAGACGACGTTGTTTGGATTTTCCACCTCGGGGCTCATAAGCAAATTGCGAAGATGACTGCTCTTCGTGAGAATCTCGATGAGTTTCTTGCTGCGGAAAAAGACCTTCGGAAGAAAATTAGCGTCTTGAAAGATGGAGGTTCGGTTAAAGAGGAATTGGAAGCCTCTTCTCAGATACTGAAGGAAAAAATTTCTGATGAAGTCAGACACATGGCTTGGGTTAGTGCTGTGATTTACACAAAAAATCGGCAGCAGGACCTGATATTTTTAACCAAGTAAGTTTTCGAAATATTTCCTGTGATATATTTATTTTTAACTCCTTTTGTATGTACTCAACTGGTTGGGCTGGGCGAGCAACTTTTTCGACGGAGTGAATGATCTAATGCTTCTCTGGTAATTGGCATAACATACCTGATATATTCATCAAATTCTTTTTACCAAATTGCAATTGGAAATCTGTTAGCACTTTTTGTGCTGTTGTTGTTATGCACGCACAGAAATAACCTTTAAATTGAAGACAGTTGAAATGACTGTGCAATATTAAAATGGAATTGAAGTACGGTACTAGGTATGTTTACAGATACTGGGACTGTAATTGTTCGTCAAAGCAGTAGACAAAAAAGATGCGATTTTTAAAATCGTAGATTTAAATTATTTTCCGCTCGTTGAGTTTTTGAACGTTATTTATCTTTGATTTGCTTTGGCGAATTATTGCAGTGTTAATAATGGTCCTCACTTGTTCTGTTTTTTTCAATAGGGTGATCATGGAAACCCTCAACAGAGCCTCGAAAGTCGGATCATTGCTCGCCTTTGTTCCTGATTTCTACATTGACTCTTTGTGCGAATGCGTTCAGGCTATTCGTGTGCACATGCATCCCACGGTTCCTTTTACGGATGCGAAGTTTCACGGGAAATCCCTGTTGACTGCTCTAGGAAGTTTGATTGCCCAACATTTCGCCGACGAACGCGTCATTTTCTCAGATTCTAAGGACAGTCTCATTGAAGCCCTCGCTACGTTCGTGTCTTCGGAACAAACTTTGAGAGCCATGGAAAATATGAAGCGAGAGGAGTGAGTTGGTCATTTTTTATGCTAAATACCAGTTATTTTTACTAAGTAACAGTTCCTTTTTTGAAAGCAGTTGAATGATACAGGCCAGAGCCATTTTTCGATTAGACAAATTTATTTTCAGGAACATTTGAAAGTACAGTACAGTATATGAAATATTTTCTCCTGCATTTCAGTATGCATAATCTTGATCCGCTCGACCAGTTTTTCAAGAAGTTTTAATACCAAATTCTTTTTGGTCATGCATAACCAAAGTTTCTGCGCTTTTGTGTTTCTTTCAAGCAAAGTGTTTGAGAGAGCGATGTTCAATCGTATTCTATCAGAGATAGATTCATCCTTCAATTAATCAGTTGAAACCAAATTACGGTATCCTGAAATACTGTACAGTGTACTGTCCATGCAGTATACTTTACTGTCTATTGGTTGATGCAGTTGATTGATCCTAAAGGACCATTACTTGTATTTTAAGAAAGGCTTCCCAACTGCGAAATGTTTTCAACTGCGTATCGTACTTCGTTGAACTTAGTTTGATCCTGAAGTTGGAAATAAAATTATGACGATTAGTACTGTGTTAATGAAGACTTTTTCTGCCCTTGGTATCTTTCAAAAAAAGTATTCCAGGGAATGAGCTGTGATGTTCATGTCGAAATTTATATTCTTAAACCGTTCTATGTCAGTATGCATTCTCTTCATCGCATCTATTTTGGCTTTTTTATTTTTGCATCCCTATAACTTCACTGATGATATCTTGGTAAACGTTGACTGATGGTTATCTTATAATTAATTACTGCATTAATTTCACAGGTCTGAGATTTTGATTAGAATGCTGTTGAGACCGTATGAATCACGTCCGTGGGCGCAAACAAACTGGATTCTGGTGAGATTGTGGAAAGGGGATGGCTTCGGATTCAGATACACGGAAACGCCGAATCAACAGCAACAATTCTACCCAAAAATGACCGGAGAAGGAATATCTCATACGAATCACATAAAACCATGTCCATCGCCGTTCTATCAAAAGATGGTCGCCGAATTGTTAGTAAAAGATCCTGAACTGTGCAAGGTAAGCCTATATCTTTCCTCGATGTCATGCACGTACTTTATGATCAAATCTGGACGGATCTTTTGAACTTCTCAGCGTTTTCATTCCGGATTTGACATTGTGGATCGGCCAAATTGAATTGTTTATTTACGCTTAGAGGAAGTTAATACCTAGTAACTTCGATTAGTTAGGGCCTAGTCGGAAAGAATCAGGTTCACTGAAGGATCCGTTGCAGTTAGACATGTAGCCAGATCGTGGAAGATATTGTAAAATTAACCTTCCAAGATACCAATGAAGATATTGATATCTTGGGATGATTCATGTACGTGCTGGAGTATTGGTGAAATTATGAATCGGAAAGCCTCCTGGACTAACAAGAGAAGGGTATATGCGTTCCATAGACATATATCTGGTGGAGGAAAATGTTGTTTCCTTTTCCTCCACCACTTGTTGTTGGTTGTTGGTAATTTATAGACAAAAACTCATTTGTGAAACATTTGAATTATCGTGCTTGATCTGGGAATCAATTCACTTTTCATGTCTGACTAATCCTAGTCTTCAAAAAAAATGTCTGAGATTGAATGCTCAAAGTTTTTAGATTGAGATTGGGTTGCGGAAATCACCTCATCACAAATAAACTGTACAGTACTGTACATTAATTTACATTTTTCTTTTCAGGTTTTCTTGAACTCAGTTCTCAATCAGCTCAACTGGGCTTTTTCGGAATTCATTGGAATGATGCAGGAGATCCAGAATGCGTTCTCTCGACCCGATAGAGTCTTCATAGAATCTCGGCAATTGAAGATGTGCTCCACGTGTTTCGATCTTACGTTGGCTCTCCTGCGAGTGCTGGAAATGTGTGTTGTTCGGTGTCCCGAAGTATTCACTTCGTCAAAAAGACCATCTGCTGATCTGTTGCTTAGCCGGCTCTGTCAAGTTCTTTGTCAGATTCTGAACAGGGTGTCCACGTCGGTTGGAAGTTTCAATCAGGTTTGGTCCGCCATAGTTCTTCTAAATCTGAATTGATCAGTTTTTAGAATATGGGATGATCCTATGCCTTCCTTTTTTTAAAGATTAAATTGACCTTAAACAGGTAGACCTAACGCGAACTAAACTATAAGATAGTTTACTTCAGATAACGTGTAACATTTTTGTCAATTAGATTTTTGCCTTTTTGTCAGTTGGGTCCGATTGGTTGTTTGCGAATGTATCGTAATTTTTTTCGATCTTATATAAGAACTCTTCGAGAGGATTGTCCTGGGAAGTTGTTATTGTGCCGCAGATTTTCAAGTTTTTGCGATTTTCATTATGTTTTGGTAGATGTCGAAACCATAAATTTATTTGGGTTATTATGTTTTATTTTGTCGCAGATTTCCGGGTTCTTGCGATTTTAATTTTTAATTCAATTTTTCGTAGATGTTGTCGAAACCCTAAGTTTAATTAAGCTTTTTTGGGTTTGATTGCGTCGCATATTTACAAGTTTTTGTGATTTTAATTAATTTTTTTGGAGATATTTTCAAAACCATCAATTGAATTAGGCGTTTTAAGGTTTACCTGTAGCTGTGGCGATATCTGCTTCTGATTGACGATACGTGAAGAGATCGGAGTGTAGAAAAATAGCAATGATTTTCAATCAATTTTATAATTGTTTTCAAAGGTGATTGGCTTGTCAATTCCATCCATGGAGGCGGTAACTCATTATCCGATATTGGCTGCGGTTGCGGGAATCGTTCTGGGATTGATAGAGCCAGAAATGAAGGAGAAAAGGACAAAAGAATCAGTTGGAGAATTGCCTGCTACGAAAGCTCTGCTAAGTGATCCATCTTTCCAAATGTCATCGGTTGCTGCAATGCTGGGGAGAACGCCACCGACTCTTACGCCTTTATCGAAGCTGAGTCCTAGAAGCAAACCAAAGCACGATAAAGTTTTCAGTTTCAAAGAATGTGAGTATGCTTCTGAGTGTCCAGAACGTTTTGGTTATTTTGCCGGTTTTGATATATATTTGTGTGAGATGAATGGAAATTTCGAAGCATATTTATTCACTTCCAACGATCAAAGGTATTAGGTTTTAGCCACTTGGACTCGAAAATATGTTAGGATAATTTTCATTCTTCCTGGTCCACGAATAAGGTCTGCTAGAAATTGTCAATGTTTTCGATATTTATTTTTGAAGATGAATAGTTTATTTTTGTATTGAATGAATCGTCTCAATGAATTCCACCCTTGGAGAGCAACTTTTCTTGAGCTTTCATCAAAATTTGAGATGCTGCGAAGTCTTTTCAAACCATTGAATCTTTCTGAGTTTCTTACGTTGAATATTTATTTCCTATTTTTTACTGGCGTTGGAAGTGTCCAAATTATTCCAGCCACGTTTCTTAAAGTCTTGAGATCAAGGCAAAGAATCTGAGATCCGAAATGGCTTCCAATGCAATCTTTTTGTTTTTTGACCCCACAGACACAACCGTGGTTACCCAAGATGAAATTGTCCGCCTTGAGAGCGTGATAGACTATTTGGAAGAAGAGGAGCGGCGTTTGGAAGCCACAATGACCCCTACAAGCAAACGTTTGAGTCAGGAGGAAGACATTTGTCCTATTTGCTACGCTTACAAAGTGAATAGCACATTTGTCCCTTGCAAACATCGTGCTTGCAGGTGAGTCATATTTACAGCGTCTTTGAAATTGTGTTTGTGCGAAACTTGTTGTTTATTGACGCTATTCTTGTGTCACGATGAGGTGAAGATGGTTCTTCTAAACTCTACGTTTCAAAGTTTCAATATCACTATTGTACTTGGAGTACTTTTACAATACGGATACTCCTCTAATTATTTCGATTCTTGATACTTTCACTTGTATTACCATGTGCTGCTTTTGCTACAGGTATATGTATTAATTTTTGTTGATGAGGCGTCTGAAGTCGTACACGGTTTATTCTAACAGGTCTTTGAAACAAATCTATTGAGCATGTACCGAAGAGAGATGTTGATGATGGTTGAAGAGAGTCATTGATGTATTTTAAAAACCGGAAGTGTAAGAACAGTCTAATTAAAATTAATCTTGATTGTGTTGCAGGAAGTGCGTTGCTCAGTACCTCATGAACCGAAGGGAATGCTTCTTCTGCAAGACGGTCATCTCCGGTGTTTTGGACGATGACGGAAAGCTAATTCCAGACCTGAAACCCCCGCCTCCGCCACCAGTACCATCTCCATCGGAAAGTGGTGCTGAAGGACCAGTGCAAGGGCCACAGCCGAACCCAAATCGTCCAAATGCTGGAATGGACCCTGTTGACAACATAGTGTCTTATACCTTGCCATTTAGGAACAGACATAGATGATTTTCCTCTCTAGTCCTATTGGCAGATTAAACTGCTGTGTGATTGTCCAGATTGCATTTTTTAATTAGATTTGGGTGAAATTGTGTAATTGGTCCCCCTGACGAGGTTTTTGTTGATTTATGCAAACGGCAGGCATTTGAGCATTAGCTTGTCGCGTTATCCCTTGCTGTTTTAGCATTTCTTCCATCCTTAAATCTTCCTACTTTAGGGGAATGAAACTTATTTGGGTGATTTTCCCGCGGTTACTCGTCTATTCAGGGAGGTTTATCCAAATATGATATCAAGATACGAGGAATTTTGAAGTTGAGTAACGGATGGCACTCTAGAATTTGGTCAAACTTTTGAATTTGCTGTGATTTGAGCATTTTTATGATTATTCCTGATGGGTTTTTCCGGAGTGAATATGACTTAGGATCAAGATGTTGGTATCATCAGGATGTGTAATTCCCTGTGATTACCTGTTGTTTAACCGGTGATATCCAGTCATGTGATGGAAGGTGTTAACAAGTGGTTTTGCCATAATGGGATGCAATACAAAACTCTGGTTGCCAATTCTGTGCCTTCTTTGTTCATTTCTTGAATCATGAGTGAATAACTGACTTCATTCAAGGTTGATGGGGATACAGCTTGGGCAACTGACGTATCCAGTTCATTTTCACAGTGAAATTCAGTGTTTGAATTGTGGCGCGAAATAATGTACATTACTGGCATTTTTATGAGTGAGTGTTCGAAATGAGGCATTTGAAAAATCTTCATCGGAAGACTGTTGATGTTCGAATATCGTATTCCCATTCTTTTTTCCTGATTGAGAGCCGTTCGAATTCGACGAGGCTGAGGAATTCGTGCGTTAAAAAAAATACTACATTTTCGCGAATATGAGGTGAAAGTGATACGATACCATTTTATGAGGAATATCGTGAAGTGAACGGGATTTCTGTGCCAATTTCAAAGCAAGCGTTAGCAGATCGAGGAGTCCATTCGAGATTTTCTGCAGCGTTTCATCATGGAGGAATGTTCGCGAAAGCTGTTCCAGTGAGTCAACTTGGTTCTGAATTTTATTTCAAATGTTCAGTCACATTTTGAAACTCTGTACCGAAGTTGTTCGTCGTTTTTCACGATGCGCAGTGCCTATAGGCAACAAACCAACTAGTAAAAATAGAACAGCAATTGATGGTACAGTACTTATTTTTATCCAAGAGTTATGATAGGATGAGAGTTCTGATATCAAGGCCTGTGTATTCGAAGGATTTTTCCCGCCTGGATGCTTCGTAGTTCGTATTGATATAATCCTGACTCAAAACGCATGAGTCAGCAACTCAACATTGTCTTGATGGGAGCGCTTTTCTGATTGGACGAAATTTCATTGATTTTAATTTTTTCCGGATCAAAAATATGTTTCGAATATTACATGCAATTGAAAATTGAAGCCCAACATCTATATGCTACTTTTAGCTAAATTTGTTTATATATATAAATTTTTTCTTTTCCTTGTGTGATTTTGTATTGGAAATCATTTTGTGGCTAATTTTTCCTACACAGTATTTTGGCACTCCTGAATGATATAAAATAAGTGTCGTATGGCGGCCGCCCCACCTTAAGACCGCCGCTTCATAGCGGCATATCTAAAGATCACTGCTGATCCCCTTTAATTGGCGTGAGAAGGGTATAATTAACCTACAAATATCACTTTTAGCCAAGTTTTGCAGAAGCGCGAGTGCCAGGGTAGCTCCAAATCAGCATCATACAGGTTCCAATGGACCGCAAAGGGATTCTTTAGCCATTTTCAGCCTGCAATATCACGAAATGGTGCAGACCAATTTCCTAAGAATATTCAGTGAACAGAAGATTTACGCACTGCTTTGGGTGCTGGTGGTCTCGTGTGCCATAGGTCCGTAATTATTTATGTTTTGCATATGACGAGTGATGAGTCGAAAAGTAACTGCGTCTACCTACCTTCCCGTCACCAGAGAGCTCAATGGTGGGAACATCAGAACCCGCGAGCACTTTCCCTTCAATTCACAAGATATTTGAGACAACTCCTGTTACACTGATGACCTTTCCACCCCTCGGATCTTACATAACCCATTATCCTCAGTTCCTTTTGCATACAGGTGAGTGAAGTGTGTTGGCCATTACGTTGTACCGCAGGTTAACCACGCACGCTCTGCTTGAATGCGTCACTTCAACAAAATGTCGGACTAGATGAGAAAATCTGAATCCGTCATAGGCGTTAGGGGTGTGCACGCGAGCATTTTCACAGCTGCACCACCTGGTAAAATTATCAAAAGTAAAACTCAAGCTATTCTGAACTACAGTAGTTTAATTCAAATGGTACAAGTTATTTCGGGGCTACGCATTTATGTACAATACTGTAGTTTGGATGTGGAATTAACTTGAATGCGTCTAAATTATGCTGAAGATTTAATTTGCGATATGAAGACCCTATGCGGCCTATGGCAATCTTGAGCCACTGTTCCCTTGTTTAAAAATTCGAAAGAAAAAATTTTCTCATTGAAAGTGTATGCACCGTAATGTATCCTATTTTTTTAAAGGGTTTAAAAATACAGAAGGTATTGGAACTTACTCAACAAATCTTTATTGAATGTTCATGAGGAGAAACAAGTTTGTAGTTTTGACGGAGAAAGAATATTCTAGCATCACTCAACGAAGAATTACAGTGTATGCGACCAGCATTAAAATGCGCTAACAGGTTATATCGCAGCAGAATGTATTCATACGCATGAATAAATCCTCAATAATGCGTTCATCATGCATTCATTAATTCAAACAATGTTTTTTTGTGTGGAAAATTAAAGGGAGTTCACATAGTATTTACTTATGTTTGTAGAAATGCTAATTTGTATAGCACGTCCACAACGGTTTTTTCTGTGAACGATGTTATATTTCACACATAAGTTTGTTTAGAGGGTTACATACATCCCCTCTCCTGCTATTCCTAATTCTACATTGATTACAAACTTAAAAAAAACTCTTTTATAATCAGAAACCGCTGTGTACCTTTTCCAGAATCCCACTTTGAAGAAATATTCCTGAATGATGACGTTCCTGAACAACCGAGCACAGGCTTTGTCAGAGTAGATGTGCCTCATCATCACATCACGAATCTTGAAGATTACTTCACCAAGAGAACAACATCATCAAAAAGTGTCAAACGCTCAACTCCGCGTAAAAAACAAGAATCCACGACGTCTACTTTTACATCTACAAGAAGTCCTCGACTAGTGAAGAGACTGAAAGTCTCGACTGCGAGAAGACTAAAGGAGCAAGAGTTCACAACATCTATGGCTCCGTTTATATCATCAGGTGGTTCTAAAGTGGGAAGGTCTACTACGAAATCGAAAGAGCGGATTTTAGAGGAATTCCGGGCAGAATTAGACCAGGTTGAATCTGAATCTCCAAAAGACGGATTTTCCAGCATAGCTGAAGCCATGGAAGCAATAGATAGAAATGCGAAGATGTTGTCTGACAAGGTTTTGTATCCTTTAGGGGCTAGTGGAAGACGGGGGTTATTTAATGATGCTGAAAATATTCCTGAACTTTCAGCCAAGCAAGATGATGAAGCCCTGAAGAAAACAAACACACAAATTATGATGCATGGCAACAACAACAACAACAGAGAATCTGTCATCCATTCGTTTGATGAGAATCCGCGCACTGCTTTTCCTCAAATTACTCACACTATCCCAGCAAGTCCAAAGAAACCTGAATTATATTCCATTCTGCAAAATAACTTTCCCAGAAAATCCATTGATGAAGACAATGAACAATCTGATTCACCTCCATCAGATGAAACCTCAGGACAAGGGAAAAATGTCCTCTTGGAGACAGACATTTTGGATGAGGATCAAATCAGCAAAGGCAAAAAATCTGAAAGCCTAGTCTTGGGACTCAATGAAAAATCACGCAGCGGGAACTCCAATAGAAAACCTCTATATCCACACTTGAATGACAGAACTAAGCACCAAAACCAGCCAATAGGTCAACATTGGTCTGAGAAAGGTCAAATCCAACTGCATCAAAAAGGACAGCTTCATGATCATGCTTCATTGACAAATCCTGATCCAAATGCTCAAAGAGTGCCAGACATTTCCAAGGATGACTCATTTCCACAAGATGCATTTGCTGAAAATGTCAAAAGCAGAGATAAACCTGTCCTGATTGGACTCATTCCATATGCCTTGATGTCAAACAAACCTGGATTTCCTAAAGAGGTCAGTACCAGAACACAAGACACATCCACAAAGTCAAAACACACCAAAAATGATCAGCAGAACTTCAAAGATGACAAAGTAAAACAAGCAAACCCAGCAAAAGCACACTCAAAAACAAAGAATAGCAAAAATGCACCAACAGCCACTACACCACAACATTCAAGAAAACCTGGAAGACTTCCAAAAAATATCACTCCAAGTATTGCTGCTACCCCTAGGTACCGGCTGATGTCAAAAGCATTGATTTCAACCACTAGAAGAAAAAGCTTGCATCAGGCTCCTTCTACCACAATTAAAAGCAGCAGTATGGCAACATCAAAACCAGACTTTGTGATAGAGTTGATTTTTAACAACAGGCATAATGACTCAGAGGGCCAGAACCTTTTGCTGGACTATGAGTCAGAACCAACACAAAAATCCATGAAACTGACAGAGAACATGCTGCAAGAATGCCACAAGAACACAGTAGTACAAAACAGGAAGATGAAAGAAAATCTTGAAAACAGAGCTGACATTTTGGATGAATATCCCTTAGGTTTTCTTGACCCCGAAGAAACCATGGTTGACAATGATGTTGTGATGGAAGAAGGGCAGGAGACATCAGCAGAGGGAGCATTGCAGCAAAGTTGTGTTGATGAAACCAGACCAGCACTCTGCAGAGCAAGTTCACATGCAGCATGCACATCAGAAGCAACAAGTCCCTTGACATGTGAACCAACCTGTCCACCTTCTGCATGTGCAACTACACCCTTCTGTCCTACTGAGAGTTCACCTTCTACATGCGCTACTATGCCCTTCTGTCCTACTGAGAGTTTACCTGCTACCTGTGCTACTACACCCTTCTGTACTACTCAGGGACTACCTGCTACATGTGCTACTACACCCTTCTGTCCTACTGAGAGTTTACCTTCTACATGTGCTACTACACCCTTCTGTCCTGAGAGTTTACCTGCTACATGTGCTACTACAACCTTCTGTACTACTACAACCTTCTGTACTACTACAACCTTCTGTACTACTCAGGGACTACCTGCTACATGTGCTACTACACCCTTCTGTCCTACTGGGAGTTTACCTTCTACATGTGCTACTACACCCTTCTGCCCTACTCAAATTCCACCTTATACATGTACCACTACATTCTTTTGTCCTACTCAGAGTCCACATAAACTCTGCTGTCCTCCCAAATGCGGAACTAAACTACTGTGTCCTCCCAAATGCGGAACTAAACTACTGTGTCCTCCCAAATGCGGAACTAAACTACTGTGTCCTCCCAAATGCGGAACTAAACTACTGTGTCCTCCCAAATGCGGAACTAAACTACGGTGTCCTCCCAAATGCGGAACTAAACTACGGTGTCCTCAAAAATTACGTGTAGCTAAACCACTGTGTTCACCAAAAACATGTGAAACGAAACCACTTTTTCCTAGAAAATAATGTGCTACTAAATCTCTCCAAAAAAGCCTGCATGTACACATACTTCCATGAGGATACTCCCTTCGTGCACCAAAAAATCCTCCTGTACTTCAGCTTGTCAATGTGTAACACGCAGGCAAAACTGTCAATGTCAATAAAATGCTGATGTTTCAGAAATGACCTTGTCCTGAAATGTGCGACATGAAACATGATGGCTAATAAAACTGCACATGACCTAGCAGCTATAGTATTACGAATTTCCTTCCTATATTCAAATGAAATGATTGCGGTTTTTTTTTAGTCAAATATTATTGCTGTATAGAAGCTGTGGGGTTTATTTTGTGTAGCAGGGTTTCCCTTTTTTGGCGCAGTTGTGACTTTTTTAAAGCAACTTTCTGAATCTCATTGAACACAGAAACATATATTGCTGCCAATTCGAGTTTTTCGCGCTAAAAGAAATTGAGGTCGTGGAATGACGCGGGTTTTATTTTGTTTTTCACAAGAACCATTTCGGACGACTGGAGGATGTCCTTGCCTACACTGAATGTAATATTTCCTTACATTGAGCGATGCATTACATAATTAGAAAATTCATGGAATTGAGGAACATTTTTAGCCGCTTTGTAAATTTTGGAGTTCTTTTTTGTTTCCACATGATCTTTTGGTCATTGCGCAGGGTGAGTACAATTCCTTGTCACTTGGACCGTTTGAATACTGTATTGTATACAGTGATGGGAGGTGTTACCGTGTATTTTTGCCTCAAATGGGGTGCAATAAAAAACCCTAATTTCCAGGTCTGAACTTTTTTTTTATCAATTTTTGGATCATTAAACAAATATGACGTTATTATAGAATGGGTATACAGATTGTTCAACTGACCTATCCAGTTGGGTGTTGATATTCACAGTGGAATTCAGAATCGAGATTTTGGCGCGAAATTCTCTCCTGGCATGCCTTTGAGGGACTGCTGATGGCCATGCGTGCGGCATCCGGAGAATCGTCGCGAGGATGCAGTGGTTTTAAAAATATTGGAAAGCCGAACTCGGCAAAAAAGATTTTTTTTCATCGCCCAGCAATTCTACTGCCACGGAGGACTCCATTCAACAGTTACCTCTGAGCCAAGCCTTCTGCTCAGACTTTTTCCTCAGGCAGATGTCCATTACTTGAAGTGGAAAGCATTGTGAATGACTGGGGGTTTTCAATTCTATATCTGTTCGTAGTATTTTGACTTACAGCATTGTGCGGAAGCTCTTCTGTGTTCGTTTCATTTCAAATGTCAGTTTTTTCCGCACCTCTGGGGAGCAATGCGAGAAAATTACGTTTGTGCTGCGAGAAGTGACCATACCGACGCTCTCCTCTTCAGATCAGTGCTTCTAAACTGTTTTTGAGAGTACCACCGGTGATAGTGTGAAAGTCATGGAACCGAAGAGAATTTTCGAGATCGGTGTTGGCGATGATGGAAGAAATTCAGGACTGAGCACACCAGCGCGTCCAGGAACTCCATCCAGCGTCCCTACTTCTAGACCTTCTACTCCAACGGGAAGGTGAGCGTTTGACAATTTCGAGACGTTAGGTCCTCTCTATGTGTATATTACTTGTACGCAGGCGACCTTTCCATTATTACGGAACAGTTGGTAGGCCGCCATCCAGCTTAGAAGCGGGCACGTTGGAACCATCCCGAGTGTCTGATGCATCTATTTCCGAACAGAACGTGTATATGCGATACAAGTATTACAGCAGACTGCGTCAGAGAGCGGACAGTTCTGAAGCTGCTTTGGTGAGTCGTGAAATCCTTGTTATAATCGATGCTGAATTTTAATATAGTGTGCGAACAGTGAGCAGACAGTACTGTACATGACTCTTTGACGTGTCGTGAGGTTTCTTTTCCGCTCTTTTATCCCTGTGATGCTATTGTACACACCGGAAGTGAATCTACAAGTGATTTCATCGTCCTAACTATAGTATTCTTGAATTTCAGTTGATTCCAGATCATGTTGTGCCGTCGTCATTTTTCATTCCCCTTTTGCCATTGCCTGATCTTGCCGGTCGGCAATCTAGCGTGGTTACAATATTCGCCATATGGAATACGATGATGGGAACTTCGCTATTGTCAATGCCTTGGGCCATTCAACGTGCCGGAGTCATCTTGGGTAGCGGGTTGTTGCTGCTGATGTTCATGGTTTGTTTGTACACCGCATATCGAACAGTAAACGCGCAGTCCAATGCAGGTACTAAATTGAACTTTCTTCGCACATCGTTTTCTGTCTAATATTGGCATGTTTTCCAGGTATTACTGGCGACGTTTTGGAATTGCCTCAACTCATGAGGCTTCTGCTTGGTCGCTGGGCTGAATGCGCGACGTTGTTAGCGTCGATACTTGCCCTGGTGGGAGCTTCTATCGCTTATTGGATCTTGCTCACGAATTTTCTTTATTCAATGGTGAAGTTCATTGAGAACGAGATAGAAATGGCGAACAAATCACCAGACTTCTACAACTACACAGTAGCAAATGTGATCTGTCCATCGAAGAATATCTCTGATGAGTTAATCTTGGGAAACTCTTCGTTCGATGAATTTTGGTCGCTCAATCTCACGGCTCCGTTGGTGCTCTTTTTGCTTTTGTTCCCTTTGATGAACGTGAAATCTCCGTCATTCTTTATGAAATTCAACGCGATGGGCACGATCTCAGTGTTTTTTATTGCCGTTTTTATCGGAGTAAAAGTAGGAGAGTGGGGCTTTCACGTGAACATCCATGACGACACTAGGGATGATTACGTAGCATTGTACTCGTTATCTTCGGCTCATGTTCTTACTGGTGTCTTGTCGCTCGCGATGTTCACGCATAATGTAATCATCACGATTATGTCAAATCAACGGCACCCGGAGAACAATGGTCGGGATTTATCTGCTGCGTACGTGCTGGTGACGATCACGTATTGCTCCGTGGGGCTGCTTTTCTGGCTTGCTTTCCCGTTAGCCAAAGACTGTATCGAGGATAATCTCCTGAACAATTTCAGCGGAAATGACGTGTTGGCTGCCGTGGCGAGGTGCTTTTTATTGTTTCAGCTCACTACGGTTTTCCCGCTGCTTACGTATGTGATAAGATCCCAAATTATGTATGTGATTTACGAAACTGTTTATCCTGGTTTCTGGCATGTGCTTTTCCTGAATTTATTGATAGCTATTTTGTGCGTGCTTTTTACGATCTTCCTGCCGCAAATCGGGACCATCATAAGGTAATGCCAGATTCTGTGGGAATACTCTTTTTCGGTGTTAATATAATTTCTTTGTTTAAAGGTTTGCTGGTGCATTTTGCGGGATGGTCCTTGTGTTTACTCTTCCCTGTGTGGCGTACATGGCTGTGCTGAGAAGGCAAGGGAAGCTGAGTTTCCCTATTCAAGTTTTCCATGGACTTCTGATAGCGGGTGGCTTGTTGAATTTGGCGCTGCAATTCGTTGGTGGGGATTAATTCGGGAAATGGAACTTGAGCTCTTACTGTGATGTAAAGTTGGTGTTAAAAGACATAACCGTGATAATGAGGGAACGGCTAGACTAACATTTTTTCGCGGATGTTCATGGATGATTTTGGAAATGAAAATTTTTTTAGAAGTATTATTTGCGAAATGGCTTACAGTGCTTCAAGTCTGTCCATGAAGTTTGACTTCCTTCGTTATCATTCGTGCGGGGTGAGCGAAAATTCTGATGTAAAGATTTCACCGGAACTTTTTACCACCTTCAAAGAATCATAACTCACTTGACCAAGGTGATTCAATGCATTTTCTGGAGATTTAATGTTAAAAAGAGTTGCTGTACTTCCTGCTGTTCTTCTTTTGATTTATAATTTATCAGAAATTGTGTAATTCAGATCATTTGGAAAGGTGTTCTGTATAATCAATGGAGATTTCATTTGACTGTTTTCTAAGATGGTGTCTCCAAAATATTTGCAGAGGCACGGTTTACATGCCCAAGAATCTTCCGAAAATGAGCCCTCCGCTTTTAACCTTTGGATGCATACCGTAGTTTGTTTCCATTAAAATTCGCTGATAGAAATTGTGTTCACTCATCACTTCCTGAAAATATTCTAAATACAGTAGTCCACTCTAATTTGTATCTCACAACACTGAATCTTCTAGTGATAACTGGAAAGTCTGCCAATATCGCTTCCATTTGAAGCATATGTGATTTTAGTCCCCGTCGTTTAGTAGAAATTTGTATGTTTTGCTTCGTCTCTTAAATTCAAAGAAGACGCTTGAATCCCCTATGAAATGTTTCGATTTCATTTTTGTTGCAGATGATACGACTGAAAACGCGGAAAAAGTGGTGGAAGAGCCTGGTAATATTGGTGTTGTGTCTCTTCGCCTTGGACTACTTTTTCAATATCTTCGGCGTGTTCTTGATTCTACGCTCCACGAAATTTGACGCGTCTATATATCCCGTCGAAGGAGACATTGTTCCGTTGATGCGCAGTGTATGGCGTGGAGAAAAACCTGTCGTGTCTCCCGTGGTGCACCCAAAAGTCACTCTTCTCCGAGAACCTGTTTGCCCCTCGGCAGAAATCCGACTTTTGATCGTCATAAAATCTGCTTCCGAACACTCCGACAGACGTGAAGTCATCCGTAGAACTTGGGGCTTTGAAAAGCGATTTTCCGACGTGGAAATACGCACTATCTTTGCCGTAGGCTCGTCTTCGAATATCTACGTACGAAATGCCGTGGATAAAGAAGCTGATGAATTCCGTGATCTCTTGTATGCCGACTTTGTCGATACTTACTATAATAATACGCTGAAAACCCTGACCGGGATTCGTTGGGCTGCGAACGCTTGTCCTTCGGAATACGTGCTTTTCGTGGACGATGATTACTACGTTTCTGTGAAAAATCTGTTAAGCTTTTTGCGACATCCTGATGAATACCCGGAGGGTGCAATTCGGGAAAAGAAAGAAACTTTGAAAGCTCGTGAAGCCATGCGGGCAGTTGTGAACAAGAACCGAAGGCTGAGCTCTTTTGTCGAAAGCAACTCCGAAGAAAGCACAAGATCTGGTTCTCTCGGATTCCGTGAATTAAATTCTCGGAATTTGCTTCTTGCGAGTGATCTCATTGCCAAGCAGTCAGTTGAGGATAGTCGATCAATAGCGTTGAGTGAAAATATTTTCTTGTCCGAAGGTTTCTATGTTGGGTATTTATTCAGTGATAGTGTGCCAAAGCGATCAGTGTGGAACAAATGGTATGTTTCTTTGGAGGAGTATCCATTCTATAGCTTCCCGACATACATAACAGCCGGTGCTATTTTGATGGACCATGCGACAGTGGTTCGAATGCACTTAGGGACTTTATTCACGAAGTTGTTCAGATTTGACGACCCTTACTTGGGAATCGTGGCAAAGAAAGCTAAAGTAATGCCTAGGCATAGTGATTACTTTTTATTCGATAGGCATTCATTTTATGACCTTCTATTCGGGGTGAGGTTTGAACATGTGATAGCTTCTCATGGGTACGGCGAAGGCAAGGATTTAATTCGTACCTGGGAAGAAGCGAAAAAGAATGGACACGCATAATTTCGGGTAACGGAATAATTGAGCGTGTTGCAGTTCCATTTTAGGTATTGTTTTAACTCGGTGTTTAAATGAATTAAAATATGCGTAAAATTTTTAAATGAAAATTTGATGATTTTTTTAATTGACAAAATTTACACTTAATGTAGTGCATACGGAGTGGAGTCATTGGATTCGGTGACTTGGGAAATTCCAATTGAAATAGCAAACCTTGCTTATTGTTACATTTTTGTCGATTGTAATTTTTTATCTTCTAGTAAGAATGTTTTCTGTTTTGATGGGCTGTGCGCTTGTCCGCAAAATATAAACCCGATTTTGCTACTAAATTTTGTTGAATTAGTACGAAATGTGTGTTATATGCGTACATTTGGTATAGTTGAAGAGAAGTGTATAAAAAAGTACAGTTGAATAACACTTCACCCTCAGAACAGCATCAAAATTTACAAACCATCATATTGTTCGAAAAGCTAAAACTAATTTTCGTTCGGGTTATTTCATTTAAAAAAATCACGCAACTACAGTAGTTCAACATAACCCAAGTGTATAACGATCTGACGTCCAAAGAGGCATTTATTTTTGAAATTGATAATTGAACCCTGTTTTGCGCAATTGCTATTTTTTGCATTAGCTATTTTGCTCATGTGCGTTTTCGGCCGTGATTTATTCTTCGGAGATTCATGTGCCCTGTGACTAAAATGTTGTCCCGCGATCTCGTGGTGTTTTTTTTGGCGAAAAATACTCCGTTATGGATACAGTTTGCGCGTGGGATTCTTTATGATTTGTTGCATTTGAAGTTGAAAAAAAATTGAGTGGAATCTCGGGGCTCGATCGTTTGTTTACGCTATTAACATTGTTGCCTTCGGTTGAGGCCAGCTTTTTCTCATATTCAGTCCGTATTAATTATCTATGCTTCTGGGATTTCCAGATGTTTTTGTCCAATGTGAGCAAGTGTTACCTTTGAAGGAGAGAAGATGGACGCCGACTTGGAGCAGAAGTGAGTGTCATAAACATGGGTTGAGTTTTTTTCCTTTCAAAAGAACGAGTGCTGAACAGCACTGCATAGATGGAAAATAATCTGGAAAATCCAAGCTAAAATCTGAAGATTGATTGTGTTTGCTGTCGAAATAATTTGTCATTTCATCACGGTTTCTGTAATACGATACCGTGTTTACCTTCATTATTACTCTTTTTTGCGCTTCCTCGAGGATGAGAAAGCTCTCCTAATTTTAATATTCATTTCTTAGTGTTGATCGGGATGGAAGCGGACGCAGACTCCAAGAAGCCTTACGAGATGACGCAATTGATGCGAAGTTTGGATTTGTGCGGCACAAAGGTTCGGAGGAGAAAACGGGTTGGCTTCTCAACGTGCATTCCGTAAGTCACCGTCAAGGAAAAGAATTTTTTGGTTTTGCTAATAAAAAAATTAAATTTCCAGATTGAAATCTTGGACGAAGATAAAAGACTCGTCAGTGCTGTGGATTATTACTTCATTCAAGACGATGGCTCCCGCTTCAAAGTTTCGCTTCCGTACCGGCCATATTTTTTCGTGGTTCCAAGGGAAGGAACAGCTCCTGATGTTCTCGCCTACCTCAACAAACGCTTCTCCGGGATTTTTGCTGGCACTGAGATGATACAGAAGGAAGATCTAGACCTGGTTTGTTTGCGGTACAGCGTGTCTTTTAGTGTGATATTTAGATGAAGTATTTTAAATGACAGAGGAACCATTTGGTTGGAGTGAAGCAAACTGTGATCAAACTCTCCTTTCACACCGTGAATGACTTGCTGAAAGTTCGACGAGTTATTCAGCCTGCTGTAAGAAAAAACCGTGAGCGTGCAGCCAATGCCGCCAAGAATGTGGGGGATTGCGGAAATTTTGGCGATTTTGATCATGTGAAACCGATTGTGGATCAATTGGAGAACATGGTTGACATGAGGTGTGTACAATATACGACTGACAGCTCCGCTTTTTGTTGTTGTTGCGAAACTCCAGGAAAGGATGTATTTTCACAAGATTAGTGTCGTATTTACTCCACGTGCCATTGAAGATTCAACTCGAGAGGTTTCGAATTAGATAAGCAAGGGCTAATTCTTGGTACTAAGAAAATAAATTCTTGGAATATGAAAAAAGAGGTTTTCGACTTAGGGAAATTCGAATTAGAGATGTTCAACTGTACCAATATCCGTATTTTAAGAATTTTTCGGGGTAAAAATCTACATACAAGCCCATTTGAAATTTGAATTCAATTTTGGTCATAGAAACATTGAAGAAGAAATCCTCTAAAATTTTTGATACGGAGAAAAGGTTCCGAAATTTTTTAAAATTTCGCTCGAAAATTTTTACTCACTATGACGCGCACCTCGTTTTCCCCCAGGTTTTTGGAAAAAAAGGTGTAGATACGTTATATCCCGTGTAATTATTTGTCTTTACTGTTCATTGACTAAATATCTACATTCAACCCGGACTGTATCATTTTTAAATTAATCTTCGTAGCATTACTTCCTTAGGCTGATTCGAGAATTTGTTACTCTAAGGTGCATTGCATACCACCAGGTGAAAGCCCTGTTGCGTGAAACCACGATTGTAAATATTGTGCCATTATTTCCGAAAATCTTTTCGGACAGGGAATACGACGTCCCCTACCATATCCGAGTGTCGATTGACAATGGTATCTTCGTGGGAAAGTGGTACACGGTTAAAGTTTCCGGTGGAATTCGGCCAGCGTTTCAAGTTCGAGATGATCTGATTGATCGTCCAGATGCGATCGTCTTGGCTTATGACATTGAAACCACGAAACTTCCCCTGAAGTTCCCCGATTCCAACGTTGATCAAATCATGATGATTTCCTACATGATTGATGGCCAGGTGAGAACATTGACAAGATTATTTCGGTTCGCGAAGACACTTAATCATCGCTGTATTTTCAGGGATTTTTAATAACCAACCGGGAAGTTATCGCCGAGGACGTGGAAGACTTTGAGTTCACACCCAAGCCGGAATTCGAAGGCTTATTCACTGTGTTTAACGAAGCAGACGAATGTTCTACTTTGAAACGCTTTTTTGACCATATCATCGAGATCCGTCCTCACGTTTTCGTTTCGTACAACGGCGACAATTTCGATTGGCCGTTTGTTGAAGCCCGGGCTGCTTTCCATGGACTAGACATGCTGAAAGAAATCGGGTTTACGAAGAAAAATGATGGGTCGTATGCTAGTCGACCTGCGTCGCATATGGATTGTCTCTGGTGAGCAATTGTCCGAAGTCTTTGATTGAATAACGTATCCTATACTGTACTCCGACTTGTGGTAATAAGACTTGATCTGCTCCCATGGATAGTCAATTAATCAGCTAATGTGTGGCTTCGAAAACTGTCTAGTTGGTCCATAGCATTACCCATCCATCGAGTATTAATGAGAGAGACTCCTCCCGTTCCTTCCAGATTCCCTGCGAATTCCCTTCATGAATGTTTGGGTGATTTACTAAATGAATATCGAGTACCACGCGCACCTTTTACCGTAATTACCCATATCTACCGAAATAATTTTTGACAGTACTAAATATCTGCAAAAAAATGTACTAAAATCTGAGTTGCCGGAAGAAAATCTTATTGGTTGAAGCAACTTGGCTTTTTTTTTCTCAGATGACATGTTTCGTGTTTGTCTCATTATACATGAATCCACAAGATAGGCTTACGAAGTAAAGTACTGTATATTAGTCTAAATTTATCTTTTAAGCTTAATTTTTCATTAAGGATACTGAACCGACATTTTTCATGTTTACCATTAAACGGAGTTCTTCGACCTTTTTCCCTGGATTGAAAAAGGATTTTTTATTTCTTCATGGAATATTTTATTTTTCAGCTGGGTGAAACGAGATTCTTACCTTCCTGTGGGTTCGCAAGGCTTGAAAGCTGTTGCAAAAGCCAAGCTCCGGTATGATCCTGTGGAAGTCGATCCCGAAGATATGTGTCGAATGGCTGTGGAGGTAATTCGGAGATCTGTGTTTCCACCAAGAGACTTCCATCATAGTTCAAATGAAATCTTAATGTTTCAGGAACCTCAATCATTGGCCAATTATTCAGTCTCAGACGCAGTGGCAACGTATTATCTTTATATGAAGTACGTCCATCCGTTCATTTTCGCCTTGTGTACAATCATCCCGATGGAACCTGATGAGGTCCTACGAAAGGGTTCAGGGACCCTCTGTGAAACCCTGTTGATGGTGAAGGCGCATGAAGTGAACGTTGTTTTTCCGAACAAGCAAGAGGCAGTTTTGAACAAGATGACGGAAGACGGGCATTTGCTGGACCAGGAGACTTATGTCGGAGGTCACGTTGAAGCTCTAGAAGCTGGTGTTTTCAGGGCAGATATTCAATACAGGTTCAAAACTGATCCAACTGCCTTCGAAGAATTGTCAGAGAAGGTGGAACGCACATTGGAACACGCGATTGTAGAAGAGGAAGGTGTTGCGTTGGAAGACGTGAGTAGATTGGGTTCTTCCACTAATCCCTTCAAATTTTCTCACGTTGAGTTTTTTGTTGTTGTGGGCTTCGTTCTGCCAAAAAAATTTTCAAGTCCTTGTCCGAATTCCCGTAGAAACATTGAAACAATGTATTGAGAAACTCTTTAACCCTACGGCATTCCCCCTCAAACCTCCCTGAGTCGAATTTCCGAGATCCCCTGCGTCAATTTTATTGACGCTAAATGAATAAAAGTTCAACTTAATGTGCTTCAAAAGAAAGTGATTGATTAATTTGGCACTGGAATACCTGCCGTCAAGTTCAGCATCCTGCGAACTCATTTAAAAATCAGTTAGGCGTAGAATATCATCAATTACGATTTCCAGTAAATCTTACTCTCTTTCCACCAACACAAATGCTTGTTTTCCTGACTCAGAGCATCTCTCGTTCGATTTTTTTTCCTAGACCTTTGAAGTTTGACTTGGAGGTTTGACTGTACTGTATTATAATTGCGGTGGTAAAATTTATTACGTGTATTGCAGGTTGAAAACTTGACAGATGTGGTGAAGGAAATCAAGGAGAAGCTTCAAGGGCTGCATGATATCCCGTACAGAGTGGAGAAGCCTTTGATATACCACTTGGATGTTGGTGCGATGTACCCGAATATCATTTTGACTAACCGACTTCAGCCGTCTGCCAGTGTGGACGAAGAAATTTGCGCTGCCTGTGATTTCAATAGACCTGACGCCACATGTCAACGAAGCATGCCGTGGATGTGGCGAGGAGAATTCAGTGAGTGTTTTTCTTAATCGATTTTGTTTGAGTTGGGAGTTCAGCCGGGGGTTTCCATTCGGTGAACTTTTAAAATGGTATTCCTAACTAAGGAAATTTTTCATCAGTATTTAATGCTAGGGCCTTTCCGAAAAAACTTATGATCAATTAGTGCCTCGAGATCTTGACCAGTGAAAGAAATGCGTTATCAGAAGCAAAAATATTTATAGGCAAAAAAAGAAAAAACCATAGCCTTTTAATTAACACGCCTCGTGAATGAACAGATTGTGTTGCTACATTGAAACAAAAACTTTTCACTGCGTGTCATTTTCTTCTGCCGGCTTCTTTGATTTTTCAGTTTTTTCCCGCAGTTAGTTTCTGCAGAAATGTAGTTTGTGCTGATCTCTGGAGTCTTTTTTTCTCTTCGTAGACTTTTTGTAAGTTGCTGATTTTCCAGCAACAGCAAGTTTCATAACTTAAAAATTAATGTTGGAATGATGAAACCGCATTAGTTGCCCTGAATGAAAAAATGCCTGTTTAGTCTGATTTGTACCCATTGCCCGAAAGGAGAGAATGTATTTCTCGGTAATTCAACCCAGAGCTTTATTGATAATGTATGCGCAGTATAATGAGAGTAATTCAGAGGAGAATGTTACTGTATTTATTTTCTCCGGTTAAAAAATGTGAGCACCTATCAATTTCCTACTAGTCGGACGTTTTAAATGGTCATTGTTTCTTTCTTTGTAGTGCCAGCAACGCGGAACGAATACTACCGAATTCAGAGACAGCTTGAAGGGGAGCGGTTCCCGCCTTTTGAACCTGGTGGACCCATGAGGGCATTTCATCAGTTGTCAAGAGAAGAACGAGCGGAGGCTGAGAAACGTCGACTCGGAGACTATTGTCGAACGGTCTACAAAAAGACGAAAGTGACTAGAACTGAATTGAAACACACGACGATTTGCCAGAGAGAAAACAGTTTCTATATCGACACGGTCCGAGCTTTTCGAGACCGGCGATACGAGTACAAGGGGTTGCTGAAGGCAAGTGGACCAGCCGTCGAATTTCCATTGTTCATTTTTCATATTTTTTCGGTCGTGGGGAATGTGTAAAAATTGGATTTAAGTTCACGTTCCTCTCAGAAAATATCAACTTTTTTTCTTTTCTTAGGTTGCGAAACGACAAGTAGCTGACGCCGTGGCAAAAAATGACGCCGCTGAAATCAAATCGGCGCAGAATCGAGAAGTTTTGTATGACTCCTTGCAGCTTGCTCACAAGTGTATCCTAAATTCATTTTACGGATATGTCATGAGGAAGGGGTAAGTTGTTGATTCTCTCATTGGGATTTGGTGAGGTCATCATAATTTTCATAATTATGCACGAATGTCCTCGATTCTTTCCCTTTACATACGTAGGACTGGTAGGAGTCGTTTGAATCTGGTTAATCATGCGTTAGCGTGATGACTTCAAGTAGCTTTTTAATCGGTCTGATTGTTTTGAAGGTGATCGTGCTTCAGTTGGAATAGTTCATGGGTATTTTTCATTCAACTCCCGATCCTTCCTCTGTCGACGATTTCATTATTGGCGTGACCTAAATTCCGTTATACTTCGCCTTGCTTTATTAAATTCAATTTAGTTTGCGTTGAATTAGATGTGGTCAAGAAATTGTAAGTGCATAATGCTTTTCACTTGAACGCCCCATATTTTTTGTAGTCAGTGATTTTCTTCCACGTAGATGTCGCCCGAAAGAATTTTGTAAAACAGTACTTTATTTTGCTGAATTTAGATCTGTTGAATGCCATGGTTCAAGTACGCTACTGTACTTATTTTCTGTCGGGGGAGTTTAAGACGCGAAATCTGCCGGAATTTCAAAAATCATTGATTACGAATGATGGATTTTGTTTTGTATAATCAGAGCGAGGTGGTACAGCATGGAAATGGCAGGAATCACGTGCTACAAAGGAGCTAGTATCATTACTCGTGCCCGAGAAATTGTGGAAAGAATTGGTCGCCCTTTAGAACTAGATACCGATGGTATTTGGTGCATGCTGCCTGCATCCTTCCCCGAAAATTTCGTCATCAAGACCAAGAACCCGAAGAAGCCGAAGCTGACAATTTCTTATCCCGGGGCTATGCTAAATATCCTTGTGAAAGTAGGTTGCTAACGATTTATTTTCGCTTACCAGAATGATACCCTGTCTACCAGAACATAGTTTTTTTCTTATAATTTCTGTGGAGGTCATCCAAGTGAATGAACTCGAGAGCCCAAACCATTCAAGATGGACTGTTGGATATGGAAAATTATATTTTTTCTTTTGAATGGCTCTGAAAAACTTTTTCAAGATTTTAACTTTTGTTTCATTCTGGTCCTCTTGTTAACAATTTTTATTCGTTAATTATTATTTTGTTTTTTCTTGAAATTTAGGAACATTACACCAATGATCAGTATCACGACCTCGTTGACCCCGAAGAACACAGATACGCTGTTCGTAGCGAAAACTCCATATTCTTTGAAGTGGACGGTCCCTACTTGGCCATGGTTTTGCCTGCTTCGAAAGAAGAAGGCAAAAAGCTGAAAAAGCGTTATGCGGTGTTCAATTTCGATGGTTCGCTGGCGGAGTTGAAGGGCTTCGAAATCAAGCGTCGCGGGGAGCTTCAGTTGATCAAGATTTTTCAGTCCTCCGTATTCGAGTCGTTCTTGAAAGGCGATTGTTTGGCTACTTGCTTCCAGGTTTGTAACCTTAGATGATCATCATCTGTTGGTTTTGTTCTATTTGGTGGGATACTTGTCTTTTTAGGACCTAATTTAGATTTGAAGAAAGGGAGCCGGAAGAAAGACCAGACTAGCGCCTGTTTAACATCAAGTACAGCGTAATACAATTATCAAACAGTATGATACATGGTGTGTTGAAAAATGGAAAAGGGCAACTTTTCTCTTGAAAATTAATTGTCCTGTCAATTTTCTTGATTGATTCGTCTCTTCACAATCGGGCAGTGTTCTGAAGTCACTGTCAGATTTTCCCGTAATCACTACTGTGGCTGATTATTTTTGGACTGATGATTATCGAGTTAATGCTAACTCTTCGGGATAGTGGGTCTCAAACCTGACGAAACGCTGCGAAATCTATGTAGAATTTCAGAAATCCGCATTGTTGTTGACGTTGAGAGTTCGAGTGAAAGAAACGAATTTTCCTTCATAAAGATCCAGATCCCTTAATTCTGTATCTGAAAACTCTGAAAAGAAACTGTTCTACAATGCAGGCGGTGGCAAAAGTGGCGAACTATTGGTTGGACGTGCTTTATTCCAAAGCGGCAAACATGACGGATGTCGAGCTTTTCGAACTCATTTCGGAGAATCGCTCCATGTCTCGTCGTCTCGAAGACTACGGAGGACAAAAGTCCACTTCTATAAGCACCGCGCGTCGCCTGGCCGAATTCCTCGGCGACCAAATGGTGAAAGACGCGGGTTTGTCTTGTCGTTACGTGATTTCGAAGCGTCCGGAAGGTGCTCCGGTGACTGAGCGAGCCGTGCCGACGGCGATATTCCAGGCAGAGGCGTCCGTCCAGCGGTATTATTTGAGGAAGTGGCTGAAAATGCCTGGTTTGGTGGACGTGAATGTGAGGCAGATGATTGACTGGGATTATTATATCGAGCGATTGAGTGGCACGATTCAGAAGATCATTACCATCCCCGCTGCTCTGCAAGCCGTGAGTCCTTCTTGGGATGCTTACTCGGGAAAATTTTCACGCTTTAAATGAGGGGAAAAAAATCAAATATTCCACTGTAAAATAATCATGCCACTTTTGCTTTTTTTCTGCGATCGCGATGACATTCGTGCCAATGATATACAGTAGTATAATACTAAGGGAAATCAAATTATCACCTTGATGAAGATTATTATCCTGAAAGCCTAATCCTTACGAAAATGTCTTCTGATTGATTAATGTACTCGTAGAACGACCGTAATTCTGACTTAGAAAGGAGGCAATATTTGTACATTGAAATGAATTTCAAGAGTTCCTGCGTAAAATGCCACAGAACGCCTCGTGAAACAGAGATAAAACTTGACACGTCTGAATTCAAATCCAAACGCGTCTCTCATGTTGCCAACCTGATTTTTGCAAGTTTTTGTGCAAATTACAATTTAAGGGTCCACCTTTACACTCGGCATTAATATCGAAGGATGAAAGCTGCTGATATAAAAAACGTTTCTAAAAATATTAGGAAATGATTTTAGATCTAGAGTATTTTCGCTAAGAATTTTCAGAAATTCGAACTAAAATATTTGCAAGTATAAGACTGACGACACTTTTGAATCAGCCCTCGTACTTATTTGTACCTTTTTTATCATCAAACCAGGTTTCCAATCCAGTTCCCCGAGTACCACATCCTGAATGGCTTCACAAGCGACTTTCAGAGAAGGACGATGCTCTGAAACAACGCCGCATTAACGAGATGTTCAAGGTAAGATAAAGGCCTAGCAATTAACCCTTTTTTTGGAAGATAATAAAAATTGACGCATGGAAGAAAATTGAGCACGAAATTTAACGAGTATTTTTAAAATCTCTAAAGCCCGTTGCGAGACCCAAGAAACCGGAGATTGGTGGAACTGACGACATTGAAGACCTCGGAACTCCGAAAAAGAAATCGAACAAAGAAAACGTACCGATCGTGGCAAAATTGACTGAGAGTCAGGTGAAGAAGCACCGATTGGCTCCCATAGGGTATTCCGTCTCCCAAATGGGAATCGTAACCCAGAAGGATTCCTCAAACAATTCTATTGTTGCTGCGCCTGCGGAAGCCCATTGGCGAGACGTTCTTGGGGCACCTCCGAAAATGGGGAAGACGAAGGTTGGTTCGGGTAATCAACTGTTGAAAAACCTGGATATTCCTCTCACATTCGAGATATTTTCACGACTCGCTTCCGTTCATAACAGCACGGATATTCGAAAATTACTACAATTTTATTCGATGATGACTGAAAGATCAAAACGATGATTAGCGTAAAATTAAATCGTAAGTATAACAATTTCAAATTGAAATACAGTAATGAAATGTCGAGCGTTAGTGACGCGTTGCAGGTTCTTTTTAGAAACGCGATTTATTAAACTGACGATTACTGTTGAGTACAGATTATGAAAGCTGAAGTAACTCCACGTTTTGTTTTTGTTTTTTTGAATCCAAAGGCGGATTTGCGTGCGTGGATCACGTTTCAAAAGAAGAAATGGGCTCTACAGCGAGAGCAGCGATCCAGAGCTAAGCTAGACGGACGAGACATGGACTTGTTGCGGTCGTCTGTGTCTGCAACAACAGCAACTGGCGCCGTTTCTGGGCCAGCGTCTCGTTCGAGCTTGTTCGGCGTCCGTGGCGGCGCCACACTGCTCAACTCTCCATGGCAGATCGTACAGGTCACGGAGACTCCTGCCCTGGGCGTCCTGCGTGCTTGGGTCTTGCTTGGTGCCGGGGCGGAGCTGAGAGCTGTGGACTTGCTGGTGCCTAGAACGTTTTATGTCAACCACCGTTCAACTAGGGCAACCGAAGAAGGTGAAGTTTTTGAGCCTTTTAAAAATGTTAGAAACATTGCTTGTTTTTCTCGTTTTTGTTTGAAGTATTTATTTTTTTCCACAGGCAACACGTGGAAGCGAGTTATGAAGTCTTTACCACGGTCGCATCGTGTCCTCAACCTGTTCGAGTATGTGATACCGGAAGCGGCATTTCAAGAACATTCCTCAGACCTGGTTGCCGACTTGTCGAGCCCAGAAATTGAAGGCATTTATGAAACCCAAGTGAGATTATTTATTATTTTTTTTTTTCACGAAGAAGTACTGTATTATCTCTTTTTCTTGCCCTACTGTTCTTGAGTCTTACAGAATATCAAGAGAGGAACATGAATTCGTCGAAATTCTCACGAGTGAAGTTTCTCGATCTCAAAATCAATTGCGCAGCATCTCTTTTTGGACTTCATGCACCAGCAAATTGATAAAAGGAGGAACCAATATGAGAAGCTTTTCCAGGATTAAGCGTAGTGGTTAACTGATCTGATATTATTTAATTATATTCAAACGAATATGTCTTCATCAAATGTAACTTGAACTAACCGAATCGTACTTCCGGTACTCCTAAAAATTTATATTTTGAATATGCCTCCGAGTGTTTTGCTTAAAAAAAAAAATTTGACCCTCTCAATTCTTTCTCCCGGGAAATGAAAGGTATAGTTAAAACCATCTGCCCCACCCCGTTCGGTGCTTCTTGACGATTTATTGAATTTTGCGTGTCTAATATTAAAAGGTTCCCTTGGACTTCCGAGTTTTGGCAAAGTTGGGATGCGTGTGCAGGGTTGAACCAGGCGAGGCTCAACGACTTCGTCGACAATACGGCAACTCCGTGCCGCAAAGTTTCCACGTGAATCAACTCTCCTTCGGAACTTGTGTTCAGTATGATTACCTGCCTCATGGTTCCATGAAGCTCATATTTCTCTACCATCATCAGTGAGTGTCCGTGTGTAATTAATAGTTCTGGTAGCTTTAAGACCGCTACCTCGACGATATCTACTAGCTAGAAAACGAACTAAAGAAATTTATTGTCTCCAGGTTTGAATTTTTCAACAATTTCGGCCTGAGGCGACCTGTCAAAAATAGATTTTAACGAATGAGCCCCACGGACCTGACGTTTGTCATACAAGTTAATTTTATTCAGGATAAGTTGATGATCTTCCTAGATTTAAAGGCATGATAAATCTTGCCTATTAATGCGTTACTCGCATATCTGTATCAAAGTTCGTTCCTATCGGTTGCCCAAATTGTCTTCGATTGGCTTCAGTCGGTTTTCCCTAGTCGTAGATATCGCCGGTGCATGAGTTTTGAGTGGATTTCTGTGTTTTAGGTGAACTGGAGCCGAGTCTGTCGATAACCGTATTGTGTTGAAGAAATATTTGTCTTTCTTTTCAGAGTGGGAAACAAGGCCTTCTTCGGGGTTTTCTTGGACGCAGTAAAAAAGGCGCATGTTTTTGTCCTCGACTCCGTGAGAACAAATCAGTTGCCGAATCTCGCCACGCTGTTTGCGAATGAAAGGAAGAAAAGGTCTGTTCGTATTTTTGTTTGCTTTTTTCGCCGTCATCAACAACAGTTTTCTTTTTTTGACCGAAATGTAGAATTTCGGATTCGAGATACGATGCAGCGATGCTCCCTGCGGAAGGATTCACTTTTCAGTCAGAGGTCCAAACCGATCCTGCCGTCGTTTTTAGAGCGATTCAGAAGTTGCTTGTTGCGTATCAAGGTGAACGACGTGGTCCGACGTTGATCGTGCTGCAGACCAAAATCGGTGAGAAAAGCATTAGACGTCGTTTTCCGAACATAACATAATGTACTGTACCGTAGTCGTATTCCTTGTTTCCTCGAATTCCAGGCAGATGTCGCTTGAAATTTTTAAGAATTGTTCAAACTTACCCAGACTTTTCTGAAATTGATTGATCGATCGAGATTTACTTTACTGTACTGCTGTTTACTGTCCTTCTAGGCCAAGGGGCACTCTTGCGAAAAATTCCGATCATCAGGGAATTCCCGACGACCCGGCTGTTCATAGAGGACGCCACTACGGCATTCTCGGGCTTGGATTGGCAGCGAGTCGGATCTAAGTTGATGATCAAGCGCTTCATCGATGCTCCGTTCCTTCTTGACACGTTCACGGAGCAATGTCGTTACTATCATTTGCCGATCGGGAACCTGTCCCCAGATATCCCGGTCCTGGCTTCTGACGTTTTCTTTGCGCGACGTTTGTTGAAGAATAATTTCGTGCTTTGGTGCTCCCGGTCGGATATGCCGGACTTGGGAGGGAAAGAAAACGACGATTTGCGGATGCTGATGGATCAGGAGGATTCGTCCACGTTCGAAGTCAACAATCCCGGGTGTTACCTGACTGTGTGTGTCGAGATCTCGATTGAGAGTGTGCCGGTGACTGCATTGCTCCAGGCGCCGAATCTTCACGATATGGAAGGTTTGTGTCTCCGTTAGTCTTACGATTCTTTTTTTTTTTTTTTCGAAAAGAAGCGAGATAGTTTTGTGAAGTGAGGACAGGGGACAAATTTCTGAACAGAATGCAATGGGGCCTCGAGCAACGAACGCCATAAGCAGCGAACTTCCTTGATAACAAACCCTCGTGCGGCCGCCATTTTGCTTAGGCAACGAACTTGACTTCGAACAACAAACCTCGAGTCGAAGTGAAAATTGAACAAACCAGAAGTCAATTTGAATACATGTATTGAACGAACCTGAAGTTGGCGTATAAATTGTTTTAAAAAACCACAAAGAAGTTATCATGCGAAGTTTCGCAAAATTTAAACAATTTTTCATTAAAATCTCCCTTTTATGGGAGAATCGCGAGGGAACTTTGAAGGTAAATTCAAATCATCTGCTCTCAGATACTTTGATACAACTCATTTTAAGCCGAATTCGATAGTGGCTAAAGTAATTCTTTTCCCTTAGATTACTGTGGGAAATCCTGATTTGGATAATGAATGCTTTGAGCAGTGAATCAGTCACTGAAAAAAATTACGGGATGTTCAATGCTCAAGGCCCCAGTGTAGTCCGACCTGTAGGTGCCAGCCGATTGTTCCGTTGTGTATAGATGTCACTGGCAGTCACAATTGCTTTAAGGAACCTCTACTGTATCGTATTGCTTCAAAAAAAGAGCCCTAATCTCAAAGATCATGAAAGAATTCCTCATGCTATTCCGGATGCACGATAATCCTGAGTCAATTTTCTCAGCGCAAAGCTATTCTTTTGTGCATCGGGTACATCGGCGGTGACCGGAAACGTTCGTGTGCTTTCCGTTTGCAGGAGGTGCTTCAAATATCGCCTTCGACGCGTCGAATCAAACGTCAGTGTCGGAAATGTTTGCCAAGGGCGAGAACGCGCCGCCGCCGTCGTATGACGAAACTGTGGCTTGCAGTGGAGCTCTTAGGATTCTTCGGGGACTTGTTGCTTGCTGGCTGCGTGAAGTGTCTGTCAATAGAAATCCGTATTCTGACAACCTGCTGCTGCATTTTTACCGGTAAGAAAAAAAAAGGTGGACCAAAAAGCAAAAAAAAAAGACAGAAGCCACGTTGCCCTCTGTCAAATGATGATACCCTGTTTTTTTCTCATTTTTGAGACGCACTTTTCTACCTCTCAAGTGGCTCAAAAAATCTAATAGTCCTGTATGGCGTTTTGGAGATTTCTTAATACTGTATTATTCTTACTTTTTTGATTCACTGTGAAGTCTTGCTTTTGGTTTCGCTTTAGATTCGTCTGTCAATTTAATTTTGCCTCTGAAAAACGCAATGTTTGAGTAATTTTCCGAAATTGAGTTGAACTAGGTACAGTAATTACTTTTTCGCCTTGTTTGTGCAAGGGCAATAGAGTCTTGGTTTCTGTTAAAAGCCCTTGAGATCATGCTGACCGGAACTTGGGTATAGTAAACAAATTTGTTGAATTCTGAAGAAATTTTGCTGTATTCAATGGACGTGTGTCTGATATTCGCAGCAAAAATTTTGAATTTTTTAAAAAGCTAAACTGAGTTACGTTAAATGAACCAAAGCGTTTTATATTCAGTAAATTCGGTTTCTGTGCAAGGCTTTATGCTATTGGAGTCGAAAATGAAGTTTGAATTCTTTTTAGCGTATACTGTACATGAATATAATTTAATGAAGATGTGTCCGCCAAAGAAGAAAACTTACTTATGAAGCTTTTTTGTTGCAGATGGATGGGATCATCGTCTTCCTTATTGTATGATCCCGCCATTATCAAGATCCTGAATCTTCTGCAGAAAAAGCTGCTCAAACAGGTTCGTTTAATTTTTCTTCTGCTCGTGAATCAGAGTTGTGTGTTTTCCTAAAATGTTATCCTGAAGTTGTACCCATTAAAATTCTGTTGTGTTGTAATGTGTAGCATTTATCGTCGAGAATATTTAATTATAATTTTGTGACAAATAAAATGTACTCATTTCAAGTGATGAGAGGCTAAATTTTCCCCTTTTTCTTGTAGATTTTAGCCGATTTCCAGCGACTAGGAGCCAAGATCGTGTTCGCGGATGCTAACAGAGCAATAATAGCGACCAACAAAGCGACGTTGCAAGATGCGGATTGCTACGTCAAGTACGTATTTTCGCGATTCATTTAATTTATCTTTGCTTGAAACCTCAACAAATCGAATTCCATGGTCGAAAGCCATGATAATTTCGCAGTTTTAAAAAAATTCTAATTTATTTTGGACTTTCGGAAAGACCCTTAATCGGTTATGCCATTTTACTATTGTGATCTATTCGAAATTATACATTTGTTCTGAATCCGTTGGAAATTTTTGTGAATGCGTAAATGAATGGTGATTCGACGTAAAATCCAATTGAAAAAACAATAACAGCCGGAAAAAATTTTCAACGCCATGAAGTTTATGAAAAAGCTTTTATGCGCATTTCTCCAAGCATTTCTGTTTTCAAGAGTTAAGCTTTTTATCATCTAAAGCAAAATTCAGCCGATTCCTTTGTGCGAAAGGTACACTATTCGGATTACCACTGTACCTGCACGAGCATGTCGGAATTTTATGCTGAATATTTTTGTTTTTGTGTGAAGGTACGTTATAAAGACGATCCGAAGCTCGTCAATTTTCCACTCGGTCCACATGGAGCCTGTCAATTTCTGGAAGACTTTACTGTGGATGGATCAGGCGAATCATGGAGGTGTTCGAATGTCGACTATTCCTCCTCCTGATAGAGAACCGTTCGAATCCGACGAGGCTCAAGAATATGTACGTCCCATGAAAATACAGTACAGTAATTCACTGAAGTTTCACGATTTTTAAATGCTATTGACTCCGAGAACCCCATTTTTTCATCAAGTTCAAACAAATCTGCGGAAACATAATGAGAACGAAAAAGGCTAGTCGGGAGGAGAAACCGCCGAAGGAATTCGGAAATTTGGTCTTTAAATTGCTGTTTTCTACTTTCAACTTGGGTGATGCTTTGAACTTATTTTGAGTGGCAGGGATATCTTCGATGACGAATTTCGAAGTACTGTAGATCATTTGGTTGAATGCGAATTGTAGACTGAAAAAGCTTCATTCCTGCTATATTCGTTTACTAAGTTATTCGATTTCTAGTTTTGGGAGTCACCTGTAACTGGTTCATTTGTATTTTTCAATGTTAATGATTTTTATTTCGCTCAAGTGTCGACTAATTGACCAAGGAATCAAAGAAGGAAAAATTAGTTGTGATTTGTGTAACCGAATCTCTTTTTTGAATGGAGAGAAGAAGAAACCAAATTTAGGAGACATCTGGGGGAATGCGCAGGAAATACGAGATACAGAATATTGGATGGAGAAAATGCGGTTTGCTTGAATATTTTAGATTCGTCTTCATTTATGCACGTGACGTATATGTTCCTTTCGTTTCAGCTGGATATTGATGTGACTTGGCAGATTATGGAAGCGCTTCCGGAAGATGGAAACTGTAGACACAGTTTCCAGACATTCATCGTGATGTTCATCGACGTGCTGCATCAGAAAATGGAAGAGCTTTCTGTGCCGATTTCAACGCAAGCGATTGCAAATTCGAAGAAAACCGAGGAGTCTGTCCGGGAGTTTCTGCAGCGTTTCATCACGGAGGAATTTTCGCAGAAGCTGTTCCAGTGAGTCAACCGTGTTCCGAATCAATTTCCGAGTATCCTGTCGCATTTGTAAACTCCATATCAATATTTTTTCGATCTTCATTATGTGCAGTAAACAACAGAAACCTCTCCGACGATGAGTCGTTCGTCTCGTTTGTTAGGTTTTGAATTGACCGGTTTTTTTCTCTCTCTCAGATACACATCGAAAGCAAGGGACAAGTTGTCAGCTTGGGAACCTTCGGATGAGCAGAAGCGCGCTAGCCTGGTTATGGACCTTGCGGCAGCAAAAAACCCGGTTCTACAATTCGTCAAATCGATATGCAAGGTTGATCCTGAATGTAATCGCAATGAAGATCTGATTGAAAAACGAGTTTTTTCGTCTTCTCTATTCTAGGTGTTGTCCTTGGAAGACAGCATTGAAGAGCAGGTTCGGTCGCTGCGACGCAATTTGCTGAAGCTATTGCAGATTGGAGAGTATTCTGACGAGAGTGAATGGGAGAATCCGGTCCCGAGTTTACCGCTTTCGAAAGTGGTTTGCAAAATCTGCTCCATGTGCAGTGACATCGATCTGATAAGGTCCACGCACATCAAGCTTGTGAATGGCCGGTGAGGAAAAGATGCATTTGATCCATTTTGTTCCCACTCCTGCTTGAACGTTTCCTTCTCTTCGTAAAGATATCGCCGCAACTTATTTTGTGGGTTTACATTTGGTTAGGACGGGTCGTACAATTTTACGTTGTCTTCTTTGTCTGGTGAGCTTCGGTTAATGCGTTAATCAGGCTTGTTTCAAATTGGGGTTTCATTGGGTCCAGTGAGGTTTCGCGTGGCCCAGCTTATATTTCGTTCGTCCACCCGGTTTCATCGTCGCCTCGGGGTATTCATATCCTGGTAAATTATATGAAAGGAAAAAGCCAGCAAAATCCAGGCTTCTAGTATTAGCTTAGTTTTTTCGTGTGTAGACGAGTGCACAAATTAGACTCGTAATAGTGATCGAGTGCAGTATCTCATGCATAAGTCTGAACGTTAACCTGCTTTAGTTCAAGTTTGGGCGACACCTGCTTGATGTCCCAAGAAGACACACCGGGCGTTCCAATTAAACAGCAGCTTGCATTTTTGGACATCTAAGTTGGGAATTTGAACTGAAGCTCGATAATTCTCTTCATTCGCAGGCCACATTGGACGTGTCCGAGTTGCGATTCACCCTACGAGAAGTCTCACATCGAGAGCATCCTCATCAACATGACGCGAAGGGTGTTCGTGGGTGCGACGTTGCGCGACTTGACGTGTTGTCGTTGTAAGCAAGTTAAACTGGCGAATATGTCTGGGCATTGCGAGTGTGGTGGGAATTTTACGGATGCGGGTATGACCGGAGGTGCAGAGGAATTGAAGAAAACTCTGAAATTGTATGCCTGCGTCGCGAAGCATTATGACTTGCCATTGCTGCTTGAACTCGTTGATTTGAATTGATTTAGTTTTGTAAGCTCTTTGTACTCTTCAGCTGTGTGATTGAATAAAATTGAAAAAATTGAAAGAAAAAAGATTTTAAATTTTACTCATTTGTAATCAACATGATGATATTATATTCGTCGTACGAAATGTTTGGAAGGAGTGACATCTACCCGCTCGATAAAAATCGATGGATTTTGTATTGAACATTCGTCAATAGATGTCGCTCAACCAAACACTTCAAATTTAAGAGCTACATCTGTTAACTCAATAAAAAAGTTTTAATATGTATGCCAAAATGTAGGATAGATGCCGCTCTTACATTCGCCTGCTGAGAAACGACATCTATTGAATATTTTGAAAGTTGTTCTGTATGCAAAAAAATGAACTGCATTGAACAATTTTTTTGCATACAGATGTCGCACGTTGATTGATTAGGTTCAAATCAATCGATCGGTTGCTGATTGATGTTGCTGGTGAATAAATGGAAATGCAATGTTCATTTTCATTCAACCATTTTAATGGAATTACAATCAATCATTGCATGCATAAGCCAATAATTTGCCACACATGGCATAACCACTCTCAAGGGTTTAATCCTCCTATTACTAACACATATCTGAGCCAAAATCCCTGCAATGCCAGCCACACCTGTCATATGTCCCACTGCAGCAGCAGAGAGCATGGCAATCCCCAGCAGGATAAATGGAACAATGCCATTATCACAGAACCCTAATGTCATGGACGAAACAGCTTTGTCAGCTGCACCTGTAGCAGCACTGAACGGAGGGATGAGGACAATCGTGGCAAACAAGGCCAGTGGAACTGCTGAGTAACCAAGAGCAGCACAAGTGAAGTGTCCAGCCACACAGGGTAAGCCAACAGTGGACAACATAGTACCCACACAATTATGCATGCTCTTCAAATGACGACTTCGGCAAGCTGTGAAGTAAAAAAAAAAAAATGAACAGAATGCTATCTTTAATAGGAACGCTGCATTACTATTAGCTTTGAAAATTATCCTGTTTTAGGCCAGTGAAGTGCCAAAGGAAGAGAAAAAGTGAAGTCTGTTACTAGTAACTGACTATATGCTAGGGTCCAAGAAAAACGAATGATCATTCTCAAGTAGGGGATACATTCTAAATTAAAATACAGATCCAAAGCAGAATTGTCCGAGAGAAAGTAAAAATGTCTCATTCAGGAAACAGTGTCTGATCAATGTATTGCCTTGCACTGCATTGGGAAAATTGTCGAAGGAAATTCTTCAGCACTGCTTCTATAAAATTCACGCTGGTGCAGATTTTTTTATAAACAGTTTCGTAAAATAATTCTACCGACAGCTACCTGAAGCAATTTTATTTCAACTTGAATAGGTCGTTCGAAGTATACTCACTAGTCCGCAAGACCTTGAAAAACGCCAAAGAAGAAAGCAGAGCAAAGTAGAAGACTCCAAAGGATTTCGCAGCCACCTTCACATCCAACCACGTGTAAGGTACTTCATTCCTCAAGGGCCAAGTTCGACGAGTTGAACTCCAAGCAGGCAGGAGAAACAAAGCCGAGGCATCACAGGCCCAAACATTCAGCATTCCAGACAATGCCACAGACAATAATGCAATAGACCCAAGCAGAACGAGCTTCGAGCCTGGTCTCCCTATATTCACAGTATACGTAAATGCAATTAATAAAAATTAAACTCGTGGAAACTAAAAAGAACTGACCTTGACACGAGAACTTGGCAATGAGAGACAGAACGCACCCAAGCACAACTGTCGTACCTAAGGGATTGAGCAGCATTTCTCCCCAACAATTCGGCTAACAGAGAATACATCCATGCATCAGTCAAGCAAAACTTCGGATGCAAAGAAACATGCTTCACCAGCCTCTTGCCACAAATCCCTTTTGAAGGTTCACCAACATTTTTAGCAACCAGGAGGCAAAATTTTTCAAGCGTGGAGAATCTGGGTTACCATATAAAATTCCCCAGCACAGTGGAGTACCACTGCTCTTACTCCCCCACTTTAAATTCTTTCCAGCTGTTCCTTTAAAACTCAAATTTCTTGGCTTCGCTGTTCATGGTGAACTTGCACTGCTTTATCCTTTAGCTTCCTAACACCATTATGGCGGCCTTCAGACGAACAGCCATTTATCACATGCTGGCTGTGCTGCTATTGGGATGCCTCCAGGTTGATTTGGCTCATGGAGGTAAGATCACAAATTTATGAAAAAAATGTGCTGCAAAAATTACACATGAATTGCCATTTCAAAATAAGCAGCAGCAACACAAAAGAAACAGCTGAATGACTGGTCAAACCACCAAGAACTTGAGGTTTTGGGAAAACTTGGAAGCGCTGAAGTAGGAGCAGCATTAAACACACAAGCTTTTCAGAATGATGCTGCATATGGAGTCACAGGTATTCTTTTCCCAGTCCCAAGTCAATAGCCACACAAGCTAAACTCTTTCTTTTTGAATTGTGGTACATTTGAAAAATTATCCATTAAAAAATCTTCATCCACTAATTAAAATCCCACTACCCAACTGCAAAAGGGAAAAAGAAAGATAAAATTAATTTTTTTTCTTGTAATGCAACACATGGTGCAGGCCCTGATGCATTCAAAGCCAAGTATGGAAGTCCATTGGTGAGAGACAGTTCAGCTCCCCTGAAAAAGCAGATGATGCAGGATACAATGGCAACTCTGAAGCAAGCCAGCAGTTACTCAAAGGACTCAATGTACTCCCCATATGCCACAGATGTCTTCAAGCAACTTCACAACAAGTTCGGTTACATGAAAAAATACAACATATACTCATGTATAATGATATAATTTTTCAGTGCTGAGCACAAGAACTATCTAGCAGCCAGCAACTCTGCACCAGAGGCTGCAGAACGGGATGACATGGCTCTCCACAGAGACGTCACTGCAGACAAGTCCCTGCACAAGATGGCTGCAGCAGGTAAGGCCATTGACGGTCCAATGCATGATCATGTCCACCAGATGGCTGTTCTTTTGCAAACATATGGTTCTGCAGCTGACGTCAAGGGGCTTCAGGAAGACTATCCTTCTCCAGCTGCACCAAAGATGGCCAAGGGTGAGTGTCCATGAAGGGGCAAGTGTGAGACAAAGCACAGTGGAACACCAGCTCTAAAAAATCTCTCTGCATCTAATATTCTCTCAGTAAGTTCTATGCAAAAATTGACCTCTCATGACCATGAATGACCTTTTTGAGAGGCAACCATTGTATAAATCAACAAAAGTTTTAGAAGTGGTGTTTCACAAAAGCTTTGTTTGGCACTTTAGTGCACTGCTGTGATTGTTCCACTGTGACTTGGCTCTCGTTGTTGTGTAGTAGCAAAGTATGAAGGAGACTATGCGAGGTACCCTTCTGGGTACCAGAGGCAAGCAAACCAATATCCCCAGTATGCTGACCAGCAACCACAGCAAAGGTACAACTCACCAAGGATGAATGCCCAGTGCAATCCATGTGGCCCACCACCATGTCCATTGCCTTGCCCACCTCCACCACGTGAGTTTACTTGGTTTGATTCATGCTTACTCTCTAACCTTCATTTTAAATATTAAGATCTTGATTGGCATCAATACCTTAAAATAAATTTTTATAACAGAATAACCAATTCAAGTATCCAGTTCAATTCAGTCATTGACAGAATTAGTTAAATTTACATTAAGAATAGATAATTTACCTGAAGGAAAACTATGTTTTCATCCAACAGCTCCTCCAGTGCCTTGTGTGACTGAAATCCCACTGTGCATTCAGTACCTCATCAACCTCATAGTCATCATGTTTGGCTTGGGAATTCTCAAATGGTACTGCTCAGCCATGTCTGAACTTGAGTAAGATAGCATTTTTTTTAGCATTACAAAAATCAGCTCAATCAAAACCAATTGCATGTATTAAATTTCACAGCCGGGAGTGTGGTTTGGATGACAGAGCAAGTGGAGGCAAGGACAGTATGGGCAGAAGCCTGGGCGTGAAAAAGAGCAGCTTCAGCCCACCTATGGCCACCATCTCTGCCTATTATGACCCACAAACCAACCAAGTCCTGCTGCCTCATGAGCACCAGCATTACCAGTTCACCCACTAAATCCTGCCCTCCATAGCTTTAGCTTTGTTTCTTAGCGTCACTTGCCCCAGTGCTCATCTTAAATAATTTTTAGACAATATAAAATTTGTGTCACTTTCTGAGCTGTGTTTTAGATGTTGGGATCAAACTTGAAGATGGCATGGGCCATGTCTTGGAGCTGGAGCACCTGGAGGAGGATGAGTCTCAGAGTAAGATATTTCTTAAAAAAAAAACTAAAAAGTAATACTATACCTTAAAATATTTGTTGTTCTAGGTTGGAGAGACACTTGGCCAGTTGGTCAACACATCAGCTCTGCTCCTCTTAAACTAGGTCCACTACAGAGACTAGCCCTGGTGTCCATAATGTCCACCCTAATTACCCCTTTCCTGATCCTCATTTTTCGCGGGATTCAGAAAGCAGGGAAGAAAAGCATAAGGCTTGCATCCATGGGAGAAGATTATGACAGTGATGAAGATGATGATGGTGGTTGTCAGTCAAGCAGCAGTCGCATCACTCCAGCACACTTGTCTGCAGAGACAGAGACTACTGATGAAATGAAGGCCAGAACTGATGGTGCACCTGTCAAGGTGGGAGGGTCACACCCATTGCTCAGTCCTACCACCAGGGAGGCCAACAAGTCTCTGACAACCACCACCACTTCCGTCACTGCCAGTGTTGGATCAAGTTATTGAATAAGGGGGTTTTTAAATGTTATTCTCTTTTAATAGTTTGGTGTTTTTTGTGCTGTTATTTATATTATCGTTCAACCAATTTCATCAGTGTGAAATTATTTTCATTTTCGGCTGAATCTCACATGAAAAATTATGTGCTCCAGTCTGAAACGCACGTACCTGGTGTACTAAAGTAGTAAAATTTAATAAACACAGATTCATTTTTGTCAAGCTAGAGGTGCACTAAAAAAAATTTTCAACTTGTTTATTTGTTTTCCTTTCATTTTCAAAGATATTTCCAAGATTACTTCGTCAACCTTTTATTAGTGTTAATCGTAATTATTATCAAATATAATTCAATAAACTCTGAAGATAACTTGCTAAAAAAAACTTTTCTGTCGATCTTAAGCAAACTCATACTTATTAAAAGCATTTTAATGAGAGAACCAACCGACAAAAAGGTCTGAATCATGTGAGGCTAAAATGTATAAAAGGTGTTGATTTGATAAATCATACCCACCCCTGAGTTCTGATACATTTTGAATACCTCCCTCTAAATTAAGATTTTTAAAAACAATTTCAGTATGTCATTTGAAATGTCCCTCTGTAAAGTTGGGATTTGGGCAAGAATAGAAGTTAAAACATTTTAAAAGTTTTTCACATGAAAATGAATTCCGAATTTCTTGAAAATTAAATAAATAAAAAATTAAATACAAATTGAAATACTTGAATTAAAAATTTGGAATAAAATTTAATTATTTACATGTCTTTTTCTTTAAAACTCAAGAGTAAAGAAGTTTGACAGAAAATCCACACTTTATATTGCAAGCAATTCCATGCAGAAGTTTGATGAATTGTACGTCAAGTACCATGCATGATGTTAAGAACAATTACGTTTTCTTCAACAAATCCCTCCACCTTTATTTTCATCCCTCAACAGTCCTTTAGCATTCTGGAGACACAAAGAAGTGTTTGAATACAAAAAGAAAAGTAAACGAAAGCCTCACCCTAATTAAGGACCAGAAATACAGACACATTCATCCAAGAAAAAGAAAAAGAGCCCGAAAACCACCGAAAAAATCTCCCTTCACCGATTGACCGCCATGATCACAGAAGTTGTTCATCAGATCATTTCAAGACAGTTGATGTTCACTTCTAAAAAGCACCTCCAATTATTTTAAGGAACCAATGGTAACCTATCCCAATCTCGACACATCTGGTGTCTTCAAAATTTCGATTCTCGCACATCACAGGACAGGGAATAGTGTAAAAAAAAACAAAAGAAGGAAGAACTGCATCTGTATACACACCGATCAGAGGCAATCGAAACACCGACGAGCACCCACCAAATAAAAAAAAAGAGAATAAAACACTGAAATCGTATACTCAACATTTCTAGGAACCTTCAGGCAATAATTCATTAGCCAACTTTGAGCCATCTGTCGATTGAGAACTCCAACGCTGCAATCCACCTGTAAAAAAATACGGATTCCAACCATCATTTTACTTCAAATAAAAATTTTAGGATATTTTTCAATACAGCATCATGTCATTCCTTAAACCCTTCGGGTATGAACATTTGAGATGTCCAAATATTTTTTCAGCTTACACCCTTCATTTTGAACTTTGGAAGACTTCATTAATTAAGAAGAATTTGATAATAACTTAATTACTTACTTTAATTAATAAAGTACAGTACTTTCAGGCATTTACTCGAGTAATATGCACTGCGCTGGTCTGATCTTTCAACAGAATATACTGTACATGATGAAACCATCTGCTGTAATCCCACGTACCTTTTCTTGTCGGTGTCGCTGTCAGTGTAGAAAAAGAAATGGCGGAACTGTTCGTCAGGAGGGATGAGTTCAAAGGCGTGCTTTTTCCCGCCGACCCCAGAGGACTGGACGCGGTAGCCGTGGAGACAGGCGACACCTAGCGCACTCACGGCCGACGTGTCCGCGTAGAAGAACAAGGCGGCGTCCTTGAGGACGCAGTATCGCCGACGCCACGCGCGCCATCTGTGGCCCAACTTGCTCAGGTAGCCAAAGCAATCCGGGAACCGAATCTCCGTAGCTGGACTCAACAGAGCCTGTCTCTGCATTATCACCCACTCATCCTGAAATTATACATTTTTACGATTATCTTCAAGGAATCATTTTACCAAAACATCCGAAATGAAGAAAGCAGACAAACTTTCCCTGTTCTGTGAGCATATTTCAAAGTAGATGTCGCTGTTCAGGCCTAACCAAAGCTCACTGTTGATTTTCTCAATAATTATTCCCTAAATGGAGATGCAGGTGACCTACACACAGAATAAGCATTGAACTTACCCTGACCAGAGGGTTATGAAAAACAGAAACCCTTCACTATAAAGGGGAGTGTCTTATTTGAGGAAAGCCAGGCATAGATGTCTTAAGTCAGATACAGGTGAATTCTTTCAATTGATGATTTAATCACTACACCCCCAGTGGGTAAATTGGTGCATACTAGGGATATGTTTGTAATTCTACACAGTGACCCTGCTGTGCACCTGAAGTGTACCAAAGTTCTTCTATTGCACATACATATCCCTAACATGCACCAATTGAGTGTTCACACCAGGATCACTCAGGTCACATTTGTAAACAAATAAGTTACACCAAGGTTGGTGCATTTGCGTGATACTCCTGTTATGTCACATTTGTGCAACAAGTGTAGCCCTGGAATGAAAGCAAAATTTCCTCTACAGGAGTACACACTTTTAACCCCAGAATACCCCATATGCACCAGTTGTGACCCAGGTGTGCACTTACTGTGGGGTCACAGCAAATAATTATAGTAGATTAAAAAATTAATCTAAAAAACCACGTTTTGAAAAAGGAAAAAATAACCTTAAACGTGGTGCGCATCTATTTCATTTGTATTTCACTTCTTCCCAACAATCTTCATGCACACCACGTTTAAGGTTATTTTTTCCTTTTTCAAAACGTGGTTTTTTAGAATAATTTTTTAATCTACTAAATTTTTTTGTGCTTTTTAGTCTTACTTGAAAAACGTGGTTTTTTAGATTAATTTTTTAATNGGATGAATGTGGGTGGGGAGGGGAAGGGGTTTGGATGTAGGAACAATGCTTGAACCTAGTGAATGCTGAAAAGCAGAAATCTTGCTGCTGCTGTAATGACAATATTGATTTTTACTTGTACTAAAAAGCGAGTTAATAAAAACGTGTTAAAATAGCTCCCCACTTGGGCAGTTGAACACTGGTATATCAACCTCCGTCCTGAGTCAAAAACCTCCATCTTGTCAAATTTTTGTTTCCTCCCTGCCTGACACCCTTAAAGAAGTAATTAAAACCTCAATAACCTAAAGAGTTACCCCAGCAAACTTCTATAACTCCAATGTTGAGTGGCATTTTAGTTATTACTCAAGAGACTGTGATGAGAAGAGCAATGAAAATGTAACATAGGATGCTTTTAAAAAGGAAGGTAGATGGGTATAATTTGAAAATTGTGCCCATGTATCCATCAAGACCAGCATTCTTTCAATTTTCTATTTTATTCCTTGCAAATTAGGGTGATTTCCCTACCTCAAAAAGCTATACAGTATACCAAAGACAAATTATTCCGTGGGTCCCCCTGAGTTTGCATTGAAGAGGTTTGACAAAATGTAGAAACTGATATCATACTAAAACTTACAAAAAGAACACCCAGAATCCATGCGTCTATAGTTACTGTATTTCACTTTTGCCGGTCCCTGTGTCAAAATGACCACGGATGAGTGTGGTGGCTTAAATTTTAGGATTGACTCTATAGCCTGGTGGTGACTGCTGAGAAAAAGGAATATGACTGCATATTTTATTTCGAGCATATATGGCTCTGAAAAGTATATACTGTACAGAACTACTAACATTAGAGTTCGGGTCAGCAGCAGCCTGGAGACATTCCACCCAGACCCTGAGATCCTGCTCAGACAGTGCTGCAAAAGTGTGTGAAGGTGAACCTTCCCTGCTGAGGGTGAACTTGAGCTGCTTGTCATCCTCATCTTCGTCATCTCCCTCCTCTGGTCCTGTCGTCATGTCGATTGAGTACCCCGTCAAACACACTGCCCCAATCGGCTGATTGTCCTGTCATCAAGATAAAAAAAAACCATGAAACAAATTACATCCCTCAGACATGAGTTACAGGAAAATTCAAATATATATATATATATAT